ACGAAAAAATTAAACACTACATCATAATAACAAAAATTGTACAGTACTTATTTTAGCTTATCTTGAATGTTCTCCTTTATCAACATTTTTTTGCAGCCGCAAACGTCTTTTCGAAACGATTCGAACATAGTCATTGTTTAAATATATAAAATGTTCTGAGGATTCCTGACGTTGCCTGCCTTTAAGACATTATACCCAAGGGGAAGACGTATTAAAAGCCACGATGCAAAAGTGACTTGTACAGCCCATTGTAACCTCTGTTCCGTCTTATAGTTAACAACAGTGGCCTTTTTATTTGAATATTGCCCCTATACTTCTCGCATCCTTCCGCCTCAGAGAGGAACCTCTCACTGTTCAAGTCGTCTTCTCTAAGTGGTATTGTTCTCTGTCTTCAGGAGGTGTTTAAGGAGTATACCAATGAAGCCAAATTGGTTGACGTCATCAATAGGTAACTCACCGCTCCGATTGTCCGTATGTATTGCTGGGCATAATCGTTAAATGCGGCGTGCGTGTTATAATGGTATCATGGCATGATGCCCCTGGAGTCACGTACCTTACAGTTACACCCCCCCCCCCCCCCCGGCCCTGCTTTTGTAATTTTCCAAGCTTGATTTTGGAACGGTGCATTTCGTGAGCAAATGCACCTCAGCTCGAATATCCTGCTCAATGGCCTGAAACTCCAGTAACCTGACAAGCTTCAAGTTTCCTCGATCCAATGAATATCACACTGGCTTAAGATAAACGAAAAAAAAACCTTGCTGAAAGCTTAAATGGTTTTGTCAAAATTGCCTCCAAATCTCCCAACTCAATCAACCTTGATCAGCTGTACATGTTCAAAGGCCAAAAACGCACCTCCCCGCGCAGAAACGACGTGAACAAAGTGCTGTTTGTTGGGTTGGTTTTAAACAAGATCAACCGCGAAGCTATGCCGAACAATACGGTAAAATATCAAAAGAAAGATTTGCATAAAATAATAACAGTCTTTGGAGGATTACACGTACAAGACTGCCTCATAGTTTTATTTATTTAGATCGATTAGGTATGGATAAATTGGCGTTTATCTTAAAAGGGCATTACAGCCTGAAACTCCTAAACATTTCATGTTTTGGATTGTTTACTTAACCTATTTCAAACATCTGGGTGAAAGGAAACTAACCTTATGTCTTACCGTTCCTAAGAAAAGACGAATAAAAAGGGGTTGTTTACATAGTGTTCATTCGTTTTGAACGTACGCAGGACGGGCATTTACGTCTCAGCCAATGAAAAGCTTTGCTTGCCACGCTCCACCCACAGTTACCGCCCACCGTGACCGTCCACTGCCTTACTTTTATTATTCAAATTGTTCGCTGCTTCTATTAATCACGATAACAATGCAAGAGGATTCCAAGTCGTTGAGCGGTACAAATTTCAACATAACAAAAGAACATTGTAAGTGGCAGGATCGGGAACCATAAAGTGGAGTTGTATAGTGCTGTACCTATAGGCGACATATGACGTGATGAAGAAAAGCACTGGAAATGTTGTACATGTACGCGTATACGTGTATAGGATACTATAGTGCACGTACAACTCAAACTCATGTTGAAATCTTTCGACAAAGTTTGTCAACCCTTTTTCCTGTCAATAAAAGTAAACACAAACAAATCTCTGTTTCTTTGAAGCTCTATCGTATAATCTCCGATAAATAAAAACTGAAATTAACAAAATAAAAGACTTGTTATCGATTATATCACATGTATTATAAATAAATAATTATAAATAAAAATTTGAAGGACTTGCCGAAACATGGGTCAGCTTAGTTTGTTGATTGTAGTTTCAGGTCAATGTACTCTTTAAACAGTTTGAAGCAGTTTTATTCGTTTTTAGTCATGAAAAGAATATGATAAAAATACGGTACATACAAACATTTCTTTTTATTGGAGATTCAGTTAAGGTTAATTTTAAACGTAATGAGCCAAACTTTTTTTTCAGCGTCGTTAAACATTTGTGACTCTATAAACTAATGATTTACTCCATAAACCTCTTCTTTGTTTATAAACTTTTGGCGATATGCATTTAAAACAGGTGCCCTCTCCTCATCATTGATATTCACACGGGCACATTTGTCGAACGTCCCCCATTTCGTGCCTCACTTTCGTCTTGCTTTCAGAGTGACAGTACCCGAAGGTACGTGGCCTTTAGCTTTAACAGGCATACAAATGTATATGTCTTGTTAATCTGAATACTGACTGTACCCTGCGTAACATTTATAATCCTATGTACCGTTTTTATTGTTTTTCTAAGTAGCGCTCGTACCCTGCCTTAGCCTTATTATTTCCTTGCGTTCCGAGTGTATTGTTAATCTGAATACTGACTGTTCCCTACGTAAGCCTTTTTAATCCTACATAGTTTCTATTGTAGCGCTCGTACCCTGCCTTAGCCTTATTATTTCCTTACGTTCCAAGTGTATTGTTAATCTGTTCCCTACGTAAGCCTTTTTAATCCTACATAGTTTCTATTGTAGCGCTCGTACCCTGCCTTAGCCTTATTATTTCCTTACGTTCCAAGTGTATTGTTAATCTGAATACTGACTGTACCCTACGTAAGCCTTCAGAATAGTTTCTATTGTAGCGCAATCTTGGTAAAGGTGCAGGCAAACAAAATATGCCCGTGCAGAGAAAACCCATAAACAGAGTGTTGAAATAATTCCAAAGAAAAGCCAGCTCTTCGTCGAGAAAAAAATCAACAGGGGGTACACTTATCAATAACAGAAAGTAATAACATAGAAAGGAACATGATTGTGGCCACGGGATCCATGACTAAAGGCAGTATGTACAGTAGGCTTAAATGCTGAGAGGACTCCCTGCAGTTTGAATTCATATACCTGCACTAAACTAATTACGTGCGTAATTCTGTTTGCTTTACCGACTAGATTTTGTTCATGACACATCATGTACAATGTACATGTACTTGCAAAATTGCTTCGATAGAGAGATTCAGCAGGTATTGTGTCAGACAGCTTTCTTTGTAAGAGATACTCTTTTGTTATTTAGATTTTTGTACCGCTCAACGAGTTGGAATCCTCTTGCATGCAGCAAACAATTTGAATAATAAAAGTAAGGCTGTGGACGGTCACGGTGGGCGGTAATTGTGGGTGGAGCGTGGCAAGCAAAGCTCTCCATTGGCTGAAACGTAAATGCCCGTCTTGCGTACGTTCAAAACGAATGAACACTCATCGGACGCGACAGACGTTATGTGGCAAAGCATACGTATTTCCAGCCGTGTCTATTCAATGTACGACTCTACACGTTGTGTGTGTGTCACATAATAGACACAGCCCATACACACATGTTGTTTCTCTCGCACGTCTGCAATATGCGATGCACTGTGCCGCAGGATTCACAACTGGGTCATTCTATAAATTTGGGGTCCAAAGTGTGACATTTTTCCCGTCCCTGTTACCTTGGTACTTTGTAATTTTGTTGGGTAGGTAGTTTGCTATTCATAATCACTCTTGGGAGGATGACTGCATTAAGGAGTGCATCAGAATTATACAATCACAGATGTCAGATGTAACAGGGACGGGAAAAAAGTGGACCCCAAATTTATAGAATGACCCAACTAGCACTGAACAGCTCGATTTTCGGGACAACATTTTTGTGACCCCCGAAATTCGTTCTCGCATGGTCCTCGAAGAATAACACAAGACGCCTAGTTGAAAATGATGGTTGTGTGGACGTTTATATATAGGATTTCCGACCAATTTCCTAAAATGTTCATTCACTCCTGAAAATCGGTCATTCATTTTCTTCTGAATTTGAGAATCGCTCTGAACACGCGTTTCATTTTCGCTACCAGAGCATTCGATTCCATTTCAATTCAATCAGTTAAGTGATTGAGCAGTACCATTCGTTGATGTCCATTTAGTTTCGTTTACATGACTTCTTTTTCGCGTTTAGAAGGCGATTTCAAACATTCACCATTCTATGTCACTTTTAGTTTAATGCCATCGACACGAGATACAATTAGAGGTTTCTTTTTCATTAACCGTCAATCAAATTAGCTGTACCTGAAATCAATTTAGAAAAGGAATGCTTGCGTAAATGTATGCACAGGTCACGTAATTGGCCGTCTGTTTCTCAAAACCAACTCATGCACGGACAATGAAAACGATTGAACTTTCGTTGAATTGAAATGGGATTAAAGACGTGCATTCAAATTCAGACGAAAACGAATGACCGATTTTCAGAAGTGAATGAACATTTCAGGAAATTGGCCGGGAAAATCTATATTAATGCTCTTTCCAATTAACATCATTTCGTTTAAAATGCGTTTTGTAGCCCAATTGGAGGCATTCTAATAGGACTGTAGAAATGGGAAAATCTTCGTTCGATTAAAAAACCAAGGTTTGAAAGGTTGGTTAAGAGAGAATGATCGTTTCAGTTCGGATGCATGCGCGAGGACTTTTTGGCGTCAGTCCTTATTGGCGTACATCAAGGAGGGTTATGGATATGGTTGCTAAGTATACCGCCACCAGCGACCAACATTATAGTTAATTCTTACAATGAGCTCAAGCTCATTTGTCACTCGCTGTACAAGCTGGTTGGAAAATAAAATTAAGGATTGTGTGGATGGGTTTCTGTATCTAGTGCATTACGCCATCACTAACTGTGCATTCAAATTATACGCTGAGGGCGCTCGTAGGTGAGCTTAAACTGGTTCCCTCTATTTATTTGTGCGTGAGATACCAGCAAAATTCTAAATGTTCGGTTCGCCCGAACCCCCCGCCCTGCAGGGCGGGGGTACGAGCGAAAATGTTCGGAAGGACCTCATATCATCATTGGCCTGACAACCAATACATACATCTTGTGTGATAATTACACTTTTCAGATAAACCTGACCTATAGTCTTCCAATTGTGGCGCCTTTAGTCTGGAAAGGAATATGACTAAACATCAACTAAAAACCAAATTCACCTTCCAGAATAATTAAAACGTATTTTTTACATTTGTATTTCCACAGGGGATATATTGGCTCTCGTCGTGGTCATTTTCCACATCACGGAGTTTTTCCCAGTCACGTGGCCCGTCCTGTGGGGTCACGATTGGCAGTGCGCCCTCCATCGGTTCTTTCGATTTGTGGGCTTCAACAACACCGTGTTGACCATGACGGCCATCGCGGTGGACCGTTACTACGCAGTGCGCCACCCTGTGGCCTTCAAGATCAGATTCACCGTCAAGAGAACGAGGATCGTTATCGGGACTTTGTGGACGCTTTCGCTGGCTGCAGCGACACCAACCATTTTTATGTTTCAGGTAAGGACACGAAGTAGGCCTACAACCAAGGGCGGATCCTGAACACAATTTTGGGGAGGGCCCCAAAAATGTGGTCCCCAAAAAGAGGATCCACAAATTTACGGCTTGGGTATGGGGTTCGTGGCCCGCTTAAGGGCCACGGAAATTTGTTGGATTCTAGATGCTCTGTGGTGCGATCTGAGGCAATTTCTGACCACTTTAACCAACTTTGTGAGGAAAGATGCTGGTGTACGCAGTGGCTGCTTTTTTGCGACATCACTTTAAGTTTAAGAAAAAAAAATGGGTTCTTTTTTGGGGGATGGCCCCCTTTGGCCCCGCCCCCTCTTGATCCGCCGTTGCCTTCAACCGAAGTACAAGTCTCAGAAATGACATTTGACCCTCAGGGAAAAGTAGGAAGTGTCCTGCAGACCCCCTCCCCTCACCAAAGTAATGTCTGCAGTTCAGAATGCTGAAAATGAAGGAAGTAATCGAAAAAAATGAAAGGGACAAAATAGGAAATCCTATTAAACTATAGGAAAAAACTATCGACGTGCCTGGTACAGTACGTGATGGCGTAGCTGGGGTCGAATTTGCAGGGAAGTTTGGCACTAACAACGATTTGCCTAATATGTAAATGCACTGCCAGAATCTACATTGGGTATCATTTTACATGCTAAGTTAAACAAAGCGGAAACACTAAATACAAAAAGTCACAAAATTCTCAGCATTGCTCTTAGATGCGTATCATCAGCTGAAACTGCAGGTGATGGCGCTGTGGGGTGCATGCATGACTTCAACCCTTAACGCCAAAATGCACAATCAATCACAATGGCATGGAGACCGGTGACTGATTCCGTCCCTCGTTTTTCTTCGCAGAGCATCTTTGGTGGGAGTGGCCAAGCAGTGACGTACCCAGGAAAGATCAACTTCGCTTGCAAGCTCGTCCTTCCCTTCGGCAGGTGGTTCAAAGACTTCAAAGCCATCTACCTGAACGTCGTCTTGTTCTACCTTCCGGTCGTCATCACTGCCGCCCTCTACGTCCAGATAGTCATACACGTGTGGAGAAACAACAGGTTCGTTCGCGCCCGAATGGGCCGGGTCCCTCACCGGAACTCCCACTGGAAGACCGCCAAAACCCTCCTGACGGTTTTCGTGGTGTACGTGGCTTGCTACATCATCCTCATCACCTACAATCTTCTGGCACCTTACGCGCCGAATCTGTTGCCGCCGCAGTTGAAGAACGTGGGTCTGCTTCTGCCGTACGTCAACAGTTGCATGAATCCCATCGTCTACTCGTTCACCAATCCCAGTTTTCGCAAGGCATGCTGGGATGCGACGCGCTGTCGCCGATTGGTCCGCTCTGACACGTCACAGACAGACGTCATGAAAGAGGTCAACAGTTCCGCGGACGACCATTACATGAAAACGAATGGCGAGGGGCTGCACATGCCTCCACCGACAATCTCTGTTGTCGTCGCTAACTTGTATGTCAAAGACAAATCGAGTCCTTATCCCAATCTTGAGCAGAACACAAAAATGTAGCTTTCTTAAAAAATGACTGTAATTTAATTTTTCTTTTTAAAACTACGCAAGAAGTGGAAAGTTGTAAAATTGGCCGAATTCATTTTGCACATCATTCTGTTATATCGCGCGCGAGAACAATATACGGCCGTATCAAAAACGGACCGCACGAACTCGTCCAAAAGTGTTCGGAGTCTAAACGGTGCAGCTACCTTTCCCAAAATCTCTCTTGCATTGTAAAGTAACTTGGGAAAAATTGTAAATAACGCTGTCTTAGTTAAGTTATGCTTAAGCAAAGCAACAACATATCGTGATTCATTGCACGGGTAATTGTATGCTTAAGCGAAGCAATTATATCGTGTTTCATGTTGATACCATTTTGATTTACTATGCGTATATAGCAGCTACTGATCAAGAAAACAGAGGCGAAGTCGGGTGTAAGACATGAACATTTTTGGACAGATTTCTGCAGCTGAACCGACTCCTCGTCAAAGTCGACGAAGTAAAATCCACAAAAGGCACAGAGAGAAAGACAATTGTAAGGTTGATATAAGACATTGATGAGCAGGATTGTTCAACTTAACTCAACAAACGTAAATTAGTTTCTATTTTGAGAAAAGATTGGGTTTTTTTGGGCGATTTCGGCCGTAATGGATCTGATGTTTATGCAAATTCTCTGCTTACAAGTAATGGTCGCACTTGCAAACAAAAATTGAAAGAGCAAAAGTAAACAACAGGAAGACAATGAAACTAAATAACATGGATCTTACAGCTATATTGCCCGGTATAATATCACATATTCACAAGTATTTTGATATGAAAGTATGCAATTTGAAATTGTAAAAACTCTATTTTAGTATTCAAATCATAAATATACATATATCGCAAAGTATTTTGCAAATGATACACTTTGGATGATTCCATATGTATACATGTATATAATTAAACCACATTTCCAGCTTGCACTGTATACCTGCCAAGTTTCACATATTTTGCGTAGCACATTGTTATAGTGTCCATCAAAAATCTAAGCACATTTTTTGTTCATAATTATAATTAACCAGAAACATGCTTCCCAGTGGAGCATCATTAAATTTTTACCAATAAACAAACCCTTATAGCAGTTTACAAGCCGACAAATGTTGGCACTATTTGAAAAAGGTTTTCAATTTCATGAATAACACGTGTCTGAAGTAGGCAAACAAGTCTCTTGCAGTAAACGTATCCAGGTTTTTGGTCCGGGGGTGGGGTGGGAATGGTAAATATTTCTGAAAAAGTGCCCCCTTCTTATACCGTTCTTAAACAATGATATATACAGGGTGGTGCAAAAAGAAGGAAACCCCCTTTTGGCAGCAATTTTCACCTACTTGTTGAGCATATTTCAACAATTCAATTTAATGATATTTAAAATATTAATCTTTAAACATAAGTGACGAAAAAATGATTGCAAATGTTGTAAGCAAATGTATAGTTTAAAAAATTCAAGTGCCAAACCTGTTTGTCCACGGACGGCTATATTCCATCCGCTTGACTGAGCTCCGGAGCTTGATTTGAAAACAAAAGCACTGCACTAGACTTACACGTGGACAACAGTGATTTTCGTGACTTGTATTCAAATTAGCATAAAAACACTATTCTTGCGATTGTTTAAAAGATTTTTTTCACCATGTATGGTTAAAGAGCTATTCTTCGCAACATTATTAAAAAAAAATTCAAATAAGTTAAGAAAGTAGGCTAAAATTCCTGTCAAAAGTGGGATTCCTTCTTTTAAATGCGGGCAGGGTTTTACTTCCAGTAGCAGTTGTGAGGTGCCGGCACCTTCGTGTCTTAAAAAAGGCAAAGTATCGCTGGGGGGGGGGGGGGGGGGGCACGGGGGCACTTGACCCACCCCAACCCCTTGCTGGATACGCCACTATTCCCTTATGCGATCAAAACGTTCCATGTATTAAGCTTATATCGATATAACATTTGTGATATATTTTAAGAGAGTGATGTTGTCGAATTCGATACTGAGAGAATAATCTTTGGACACATTGTCAAAACATTCTTATTTACTGTTTTGAAATCAATAGTGGTCATTATAACTTCGGAAAGTATAAAACTACACATATTATCTCTACGGGGTGAGTCAAATATAGCGGAACCCAAACCAAAAAAAATTACATTTCACAGTTAAAAAAAAATATGTAGCACCAAACTTAATAATGACTGGAAAGCCATTTTTATAAGCTACTTTTAGCTGAAAAACAACCCCACTAAAATGGGCCAATCCGTTCAAAGGATATCAACATTTAAACACATTGACCTTAAAACCTCTTTTGAACAAAAATGCGATTTCAAGAATCGTTGTCACAATTGTCTTCAAACATCGATCACCAGCAATAAAATCTCAGATTAAAAGTGAAAAAAAATATTCAACAAAGTCCTTAGAAGGCCCGTCTTTAAAACAAGGTGGATGTTATAAATCATATTGTTTGCCTAACCAGGGTTGTTGATAAAGATATTGTGTACTACAGTTGTTGACAGTTGTTTAAACAAGTATTCTGTGCCATTTTCTTTGTTGTTCCAAACAGTCAGAATACACACTAAACTGTTTTTTTAAGACGAAACAGGTTTAAGGGTCATTGCGTTTTAATATTCTTTGAACAGATTGAGCAATTGCAGCAATAATTTTTGCATCTAACAGTAGCTTATAAGATTGGCTTTTCCAGACATTATTATGTTTGGTGCTATAAATTTCTTTAAATATGAAATGTATTTTTTTTGGTTTGGGTTCCGCTTTTTTGACTCACCCTGTATATTATCATTATAAGTAAAAACAAAGTGGGTGCTTCTTTTACTTTGATGATGTTCTTAAGAAGTAAAAGAGATGAAAAAAATAAATGTGAAATGAAGTGATACAAAAAAATAACTGTGCGTTTTTTTGGGGAAATGACAAGTGTACTGAGGAATTACCATTAATATTTTTTTACAAAACATTTTTACAGCAAACATTCGGACACAATTTTTTTGTCAGCGCAGTCTGCAGATTGCCAGTGGACCAAATCATTTAAAGATATACAAATTTTGAAATTGTTCCTCAATTATTAATTGTTGACAGAAAATCTATTTGTTTTTTTTGGTTCTAGAGAGACCTAATAGCGACCGAAATAGGAGAAATATATATACAGCGAAAAAGAGAAGCTTTGTAAGATATATTAAATATTAAACATTATGGCCAAGTTTTGTCGGCACAACCAAGATGGATTTAAGAGTTGTGTCCGTTATTTAAAGTTAATTTTTGATGTTTTAGTGTTAGCACTCTGTGAAGTAATACGCAGGTTGGAAAACATCGTCATCATCACTCGAGAATTCATCAGAGGATGAAAACGCGACATTGGCAGTACCAGTATCGAACTGTCCCATTTGTAATGGTGAGGTATCGGAGATATCAGCAGAACTCGTGTAAAGAGCGGCTGAGTCGAAACTGCTGGTCCTGAGGTGTCGGATACCTTCACCGACACTCACGCGGTGCATGAGACCTTCCGAAGGCAGGTTTTTGGAACCAGAAATGTGAGCCACGGAGCATGAGTTCGACTTTTGGCGATACATCTGTCTGCGAGGGGGCACAGGGGAGGCCTCGGCGTGGCTGGTAAGGTCAGTGAGGTGCTGGAGTATCGGCTGATCAATGAGGTCTTCGTCGAAGGAAGGATTCCTGGAGGTTGAGGGCAGTGGTGAGCGTGAGGCGAGAGGGACCTGTGAGGCTACAGATGGAGGTCGCGATCTCGCTCTCGGGTGTCCTACGGATGTGACGCTGGAGACCCGCTCCCGACAGAACCTCTTGAGGTACATGCGGTAGACGCGCCTGTTGAAGATGTAAGACAGGAACATGAAGACTCCCTGCAAGAAGTAGAAGACGAAGAAGAAGTACCAGAGGATGGTGTTGTGGAGGATGGAGGCGACGAAGGCCAGGTTCCAAGCGAATCCCATGACTGTGGCGAGCTTGGCGCACAGCGCGAGGTGGTTGTGGGTGTTGGTGTTGCCGGAGATGACGGCCGATTTGCGGTGGTAGCGACGCAGGTTGCAGACAGTCACAACGAACATGATGAGGTTGGCCGCGTTAGTCACCAACATCGGCACGCCGAAGAAGACAGAATAGGCGATCGGGTCTGAAATCCAGCAACTGAAATATAAACCGTAGTCCACGTCCAACAAGGTGCACTTGCAGAAGTCCAGGATGGCAGATATGCTCACGATGAGGACTGGCATACCCCAGGCGTAGATGGCGTAACGGAGATATTGTTTACGCTGTGAGGTTTTGAGGTTCACCTTCGTGAGGCGCTTGCGACCGAATGTTTTATACACGTCATAGGCTATGACGTTCCCCCAGAAGAACTGACAGAGACAGATGAAGTGTAGGAACACAGCCACTGCCCGGCAAAAGGTTTGATTGTCCGTTGCGTACAAGCCAAACAAGAAAGTCCAGTCATTTATCAGAAGGATCACGGCAAGTGTCATCAAGTTCATGCCGGGGAGAGTCCTTAGTTCCTTGAACAACACGTAGGTCAGCAGGGTTGCAGAGAGACAGGTGGTACTCAGTCCAACACCGACCATAGCGATGATGTTCTGTCCCTTGGTGAAATTGAAATGCACCACGTACTTTGTCTCGATGATATTATCAAAGTCACTACAAACGAAGACCCTACCGTCTGCGGCTCTCTCGTACTCCCCCGGACCGTATTGTTTGCCGTTGGTGCAGATGACGGTACTGTTTACGATGATGTACTCCGAGGTGTTGTACTTGACACGTACGCAAGACGGATCCAGCATTGGGGTTTGGTCCTCGCAGACTACTGCCGTGGTGAAGCCTTCCTCTCCGGCGTCGCCATCCGACGCGTCCACGTTCTTCAGGAACACCCAACACGAACACGCATAAGAGACACTTGTGTTCCTGATTTGCACGCTCAAACAGTCACCATCAGGATACTCATTAACTACGAGTTGTCTTCTGCTGTACACGTTCTTCACCCCGTCCGGACACTGCTCCAAGAAGCTTGCCAGTTCGTTTGTGTTACCCTTCAAGGAGGTGATGAAATCCTCCACGGTGTTGGAGTCGATGTTGAAGACGTGGCCGGCCACGTTGACTTGCAGCGCCTGCAATTCAAATGAGAGTACGGACAGCCAAAACCTGGTCGCGTCGTCCAGGGTGTCGTTTTGTGACGCCTGGTCCAAGATTCCTTGGAACTCAATAACCTCAGCCAAGCCCATGGTGATGTTTGACCTTCCTATGACGTAGGTCCTCACATTGATTCCGTCATTGGTGTCGTTGAAGGACCCATTGACTGGAAAGGGCAGCACGCCATCCGTCGGGTCTTTGAATTCCCCGCTATCGTCAACAAACCACGTGAATTTGATTGTGATGGTAAACGTCATCTGGATTGAGGCATCGGGAGTATACAGCGGGTCAGTATTCTGTGTTGGAATGGGTTCCCTGATGCACTTGTTGTTACACATCACATATCCGATAGCACAATATGTGGGTCGACACTCACCGATGTAGGGGTCGTAAACCTCGGTGTCTGGGCATTTCAGGTCGACGGGTACCAACTCGTTGGAACCATCGGTCCTCAATATCATCACATTGGAGCCGTTTTTGATGTTGTAATTGGTGATGACGACATAAGACGGCTTCGGAAGGTCAGCTGCGATGTCCTTGGTGTTAGGTGACTCCACATCTGTGAAGTAGTCATAGTAACTGACGTCATCAGAGGAATAGCGAGTCAGTGTGGGTACGTCACACGACATCTCGCTACGTTGAACGCCGTTGCACAAGGCGCAGAAAGGATTCTTGTAGATGACGGGGATGCCTGCCTCACTCTCTCCCTTGACTAATCCTTGGTACTCCATCTTACAACGCTTCACAAACTCCACGAACTCACCCCCAATCTGTTCCACAAGTTCTGGGTTGCACCAGTCTATATTTTGCAGACAGAATCTCGCTTTGGCTATGTCCGTCACTTTGGGTTCGTCGATACGGGTTTTGCAGCTGGACATGAGATAGATGGCCAGGGATGTCATGTTTGTGCCGGCATCAGTTGGCGGCTCGTGGTAGCACGCCGACATGCCGATCCAGTAAAAGTAATTGACGATGACAAAATTGCACTGAGCACAGTACATGTTCCTGTATGTAAAGCCATCAGTACCTTGGACAGGCAATCGAGCGAGCGTGTCACCGCTGTCGACATCAGCACAGAGTTCTGCCATGCGAGAATCAGTCCATCTGGGATCGCAGTTGGATTTCATCCAAATCATTCCACCTGTAAATTCATCAAGTCCAATGCAGTCGACATCGACTTGAGATCCCAGTGACGATTCGCTAGTGGGGTCTTCAGAGTCCGCTACGGAGGTATCAAACCCGGACATAGGGTCATCTTGAGGACTCTTTGTCCCTCCTCTTAGTTCAGTGTTCTCGGTCTTAAACTTGGAGCACAGTTCGTCAAAATCCATGCAGCAGTCTTTGAAGAAGGTACAACGGTGATCGCAGAAGCATCGGTACGACTCGGATTCGTTGGCGGGGCTTCCGCAGCGTCCCGCGCACGACTCGTCCTTGCCGCAATGCGGAATATCGATGTCATCATCCGCATAAACCGTGGGCTGCAGCTGCTGTTGGTCGGCCACAGAGCGGCGTTTTACGGCAGACGTGCTTCCCGTTTTCTGCAAAACACCGCAGAGATTTGGCGCCAAAATCACGAAGGATAGCAGGACCAAAAATATACAACAGCCTGCCATTGTGCACCTCGAGTACTGCATCCGATTATCTTTATGACAAAAACCCAAGTGTTGAAAGTGGTTTTTTAGATGTCGAAACAAAGAGCCCACATTTTGTTCTGCGCGTCGCTGCAAAACAACAGATTCCCTGATATCGGTTGCAATGGAAAGTTGACAGCTGGTTTGCTAAATGATATCGTTACCATTTCATAACAAACGACTGGCTCGTTCTATTTTAAACCAGGGGTTTGCACATGGTAGGTTAACAGGGGCGCAGTGTTCCTAATTAATGTTACGCCTATTTAAGTCCAACAAAACATTCACCTCGGCATATTACGCCGAGATTAAAGTTGTCAATACCGGACGTGGTTTATCTGGTAAAATAATAAGACGGAGAGAGATTGAGATCTAAACAGCCACCCCTCTTTCACAGGAATGGGCAAGGCCCGATAATTAAAAGCATCAGTGGAAAGTTGCTCATAATCACGCGCCGTATACTGTTTGCTTTTCGGTTATAATTTCGATAACTGCGCATTGTGGTAGGGTGATAAAATTAACAATTCCTAAGCTCGTTCTGGTTGATATTCCGATAACGCTGCAAACAAATGGAGCAAAGATTGATAAAATTCGCACCGTCTCCATGGATATACTGCTGAACATGACGAAGGTGAAACACAGATCTGAACGAACTCGACTGTAAACTTTAAAGGCACACATCATTTTCATTTAAGGCACCAAATAGGCAAATACCTCAAAAGTCGACACAGCAGAACAGAAATTACTTTAAATATACAAAAAAAACCGAAGAACGGAAATGAAGAAAAAAAAACACAAACAGATTCTACCATTATTGGCATCAATCAAAGGTGTTTTCCAAAACACACAAAAAATGACTTTGATTAAAAAAATACAAAGTGACCGCAATTTTTGTTTTTAAAGATGTTTCATCATCGTCTTTCGGACTGCTCTCATCAAAAGATCCCTGGATATTTTTATTTGCTCAACAGATAATTTGTAATAAGATCTCTCCACCGATAAGACGGAACCCTTAAGTGATAAATTACACACCGCCAAAGCAGACAGACGATTTGCAAAAACAACAACAAAATACCCTTCTTGTGAAAAAGTGATAGATTATGCCCGACGTGGGCAACACCGGTATTCCTAAATTAAAGTCGGCTCATTTAGGTTGATTGATATCACTGTAAATGTCAACCGAGCAGGCGGCTAGTCAGACAGCACTAGATCCTCCCATGTTTTGCTACTATTTCGTTTCTTTAGCCAAGAAAGGGGGATCTTGTCATAGTGTATTCCTTCCGTCTGTGTGTAGACCTATCCATTTTGGTTAGGTTAACTGTTTAGTGCCGTCATATGAAAAGTCAGACTTCAATCTCAACCAAACTTGGTGACAAAAATCTTTGGGTAGGGGGACTTCAGATGACATGAGACTTTTGAGGTCAAATGTCATCTAGGGGTCAAATGAGGTCATTGTTGATTTTGGTTAGGTCAACTGAACAGTGTGCTTACTAACTGACTGTATAAATACAGCCAGCATGCCAGGGGGATTGTGCAAGTTTAACTTGCAGTATGTTTAAGATGAGTGAGCCCTCCCCGTTATGATTCTTTTAACAAAATAAGAACAAACTTAATTCTTATTAAAGGCACGTATAAATTACAGTAACATTGTTAATTACTCTGAAAAGGAACTAACACTCAATAGAAAGGATCACTCGCATTTATCCCTAAAGTAACCTACGGAATTATCATCAAAAAGCTTAGCCTCTACTTGGATTAAATATCGCACTGGTACTAAACACCCTATGAAATTATTCCGTCTGGCTTGCTGGCACTTAAAAGAAATCAGGAACTGTAGGTGATTTCTAACATGTTGTTGGGAACAAAAGGTGTATTGACGAAATCGTGTTCCGTGATCAAAAGGTTGCATATGGTATTTCACTGATTATTTGTTCTCGAAAAGTGCAATATCCACTGAGCTGAAACTTAGGTTTGAACATTCGTCTTTGGATTTTGAGAAGTGTCATTACTGGAAACGAACAAACTGCACGAAGAGCAAATGATCCTAATTAGAGTTTCTAAGCAACCACACGCGCTTTTTAAGTCGAAGTCGGAGTGTTAATGACAGCTCAACCTGCTAAGGTTAATAAGCTGTTAAAACATTCGTCAATAATTCATTGCCAATTTACTAGACGCCCTTCACATTGCTTGGAAACAGAATACAGCCAGGCATAATGCGTTTCTACCCTTTTCTGAGCTATTTTTAAAGATTTTAATATACGGCAACACTTTACAGCAAAAGTTCTGTCCGTTCGTGCAATTTCGCGCTTTTTTTAAACATAAATTCAAGGGAAAGCAGAGGAAAGGAATCCGTATACAGGAACGCTTTACTCCTTTTTCTAATTACATTAATAACTTTATCCCAAGCACAATACGTTTTCCGTTCCACGGCCCGCAGGTCAGAAAATGATTAAGAAATACATGTATACAGCTAGTACAGAGCTTCGGTAGGGCCAAATTCGATGTCTTCATTTAGTACTAAGAGGGTTAATTTGTTTGAAAACTTGTTTGAAACGTGCATTCTCTATGGATATCCTGGCACGCTATCAATTCTATCACGATGGCCCCCTTCAATGAAACTTTAAACAATATGTGCTAGCTATTGTTCAGATAATCCGTCACGGGGCAGTCGCGTTATATAATAGTGTGCACAATGCCTCCTCCATTGAAGGGGGCCTCGCGAGTGTATGGTGATCACACAGTACGAAGTAAAGTCCCCGACCGCACTTTCAAGAAAACTGCACATTATGAAGCCCGGGAAGGGACAGGGTGGAATTTTTATTTCTTTCGAATTACTAATTCGTTCGCACGAATTGCCATTTCGTTCGCACGAATTGCTAATTCATTCCCACGAATTGCTATTTCGTTCGCACGATTTCCTAATTCGTGAGAACGAATTGCCAACTTGTGCATCCGGGAACGCGTTAGTAATTCGTGGGAACGCGTTGGTAATTCGTGGGAACGAAATAGGAATTCGTGCGAACGAGTTAGCAATTCGTGCGAACGAGTTAGCAATTCGTGCGAACGAATTAGCAATTCGTGCGAACGAATTAGCTATTCGTGGGAACGAATTAGCAAATTACAAAAACAAAATCTACCCTGTCCCTTCCCGGGCTTCATAGTACAACGATAGTCCCAGGTCTGTCAAATTTCAACAACTGCGGTCAACCAGACCTCTGCAAGGTTCCCCCTCCCTAGCCCTGCGTGCATGCTCCCGTGAAATCCAAACAAACTATCGATTCCTGAACGTAAAGCTACTTTTCTGATGGAATTAAGATTAACGCTCAGGCTATACCGTGCGAAGCTAGCCAGCTGCGCTTGACTTCAAGCGTGCGTGGTACTTGCTGATTGTCATCGAGATTCTCTCCAACAGCGCGGCATGATGACGTAAAATTAAAGGTAGCCAATTGTTGATTAAAAGTAGCCAGACAGACGAACAGACAGACAGACAGACCAAATAATGTCAGCAAACCTCACTATAATAGAAAGTTTTCCTCAATAGGCATGTACACTGGCGTTCGATTTGCAATGCAAGGGACACATAGGGGGCCTCATCTTCTGAAGCGGCATTTGGTTTTAACTATGAAAAGCTCATTTTGAGCCTTCCCCTCAATTTTGAGGGGGTGGGGGCACTACCCTCAAGCAGAGGGGGTCATAGTGAGGTATGTCATATGGCACAACTCATCATACACAATGGAGGGGAAAAAACACACCACCTTTTCTCTCCAGTTCGTATATTGCTCTAATTTATTAATACTGATCTGAAATATATACTTTAATGTGCAATTGTAGGCCTAATAATTACAGCACTCGGATGCAGTTGTTGTCCACAAGAAGGCTTTAAAATAAATACTGGTTAATTTACATGATCTGAGCTGATGACATGACAACGTACATCCAATCAATCATGGACATATTACAAAACACTTTAACGAATCAAAGGTCGTAATCTATACCCCTTAAAGAAAAAATTATCTGGGGAAAAAAGGCGGACCACAACATCGATCTGAAGGCAACATTATTGATCGAACATTCAACATCAGTTTGACATTTATACATCAAGTAAGCAAATTATTAACGAAATCCAATCTATATTGTGTATAGTACAGTTGAGAGTGCAATCCTGTTTTGCGAGAGAAAAAATATGCTCTTCCATCAACTCGCTTTAAAAAATGGCAGTTTTATCATACAAAATAATGCACAGCAAGATTCAGCATTAAAACATATTTTACCTAAAAGGCTTTGGTCGAAAGGTTTGGCAATGTTAACCGGCGTCGTTAATAATTGAAGAGATGACTTTCTTATTTAGATACGAATCTCGGTTTTTCCCTTTTAAATCACTTCAGTTCTCAGTATACAGTCTTAATACTTCAGTACATGTATTTTCACAGCGCGTGTTTCCTATACCTCCATGATGTGAGGACAAAAACAGTCTAAACTTTAATGTTCATGATGCTGTAAATAGAAAAGAAAAGCACCGATATAAAAAGCCTCTTACGTACATGTCTAGCTTCATAAAGCAATGCAAAACATAGCAAATATTGTAAGTTAAGCGTAGTCATAGTGCTTTCAAAACAATGATACAGTTTTACGGGAGGTGTTTACTAAAATGGTTAAGTGTACGAAATACTCAAGTAGAGAATGCTTGTACTTTTTTTCTCATCGAACATGAGCACATACAATGTACTGTGACATCATACAAGACGACACTGTACATTTTTTGTACTTTAGCTGAAGTACATAACTCGTCTGGACATGGAAGAAGATATACTGAAAGGAGGCAAATCCTAGCCACTATTGTTTTGTGAAAACAATAACAATGGTGAAAGAAGGATCGGATTTATTGCAAATAATCCAGTTTTAATAATGCTTATCAAAAGGTTCTTTGTCGGTAAATTTATAATTGTAAAATTAAGATAGCCGTCTACAGGCCTAAGCTGTAAAACAAACTATTGGGCATGATAAATGAACCGTTATATGCGTGTAATCTTCATACTGCTGAGATAAATAACGATTGTTTATAAACACACTGCCAGCTGGTCGGTATACTAGCCTCAATTCAAGGCTTTTATCATTGAACTGTGTCACTTGACTATGGCACCTATACTAGAAACAGGCACTTCTCAGAAAAAACAGTTACAATATCATTTCAGTCTGGTTTTCCGACCACAAATGTAACAAAGGCAACTACTGCATATATGTCTTCCAAGTTAAGGTATTTTCAGATGATATTAAAAGTCCCTAAACAAATCTAGAAACAAAGGCAAAATGTTCTCATGTGCCCATTTTAAAGCAGAGGTTTTTTGTTTTGGTATGAATATTTACAGGGCACCATGACTTTACAACATTGCAGATTTGGATTTTTTAAGGCAAGCCGGGCAATTGTCCAACATATTAATCTAAAAATACTGAGTGGTATGAAGTATCAATTGGTGTTTTGTCCAAACTATAGGCATACAAATTATAACAGGGTTTGAGCTAAGAGGCACAGAAAGTGCAATTGTGCAGCACTATTATTAGGATATGTGAGTAATAAGCAGGTACGTAAGAGGATTCAGACATTTTTGCCTGAAATTTGAGGTATGAAGTAAAAATATACACACACATGTATGACGCCAATTTGTAACTTGAAATTTGGAAAAAGCCTGAAATCAGGCAATTGCAGGAGGACTTGCATTCCTGTAATAAGTTATGTTGAATGCATGAAGTGCAAGTTCCTTTCCAAATAAATAGATGTAAGCACACAGAAAATACGAAAAGAACAATTGACTTTTCTGGGTAATGCCAACAAACTAAATGTTGAAGGCCATTTACACTATCGTATACGAGTATCAGATGACCGCCTGGTACTGCTTTGTAACGTAACTGGTTCAAACTGGTTTACACCAGTTATAACCAGTTCAGAGTGGATGAAGCTTGCAAAGCTGAGAGAACTGTCTTATCACGTAGTTACTGACTTTGAAGCTTGGCAAGCTTTCTGGGAAAAATGGTTTATTTTAAAGGTAACCAGGAAGTTTATCATACTTCAGTGAAATTCCACACCACCTACAACTGGTTTGGAGGGGATGACTTAGAAAAGACATCAAAAACGGTTGATTCTTTTTTTTTTTTTACAAATTTCTTAAAAAATACTTTGTTAGCAAAATTTCTTTTCAATGATAACGGGTTTTAAGTTCAGGATCCTTAAAGGTCTAGACCCAACAGATCGAATTACTCCCTTCTTTAAAATAAATATAGAAACCTCTTCTCATTCTGTTATTAAATCAGACTGAACAGATTCATTCTTTATAACACTGGCAAAAACCACTTTCTAGTGCAACTCGCGTATTCTTTTCATTTTCTTTTGTTTCTGCTGTGACCCACAAAAGTCTGGTTTGCTCTGTTTCAAACCGGTCATAACTGGTTTCAGGTCTTAGCCTTATACTTTTCTTCTTTTCTGCTCCTGTTTGATTTCTGAGTCTCTGCTCCTCCTTTGAACCACACAAAAACTGGTTTACTCTGCATCATACCGACCATAACCAGTTTGTAGGCCATCCTACTTGTGGAATCCATGTCTGTCTTCCTGCTGTCAACTGGACTAAACCGGTTTACTCTACTTCATACCAGCCACAACTGATTCGAAAACCATACTGTTTGTGTAACCTCAGCCTCTCCTCTTGCTGTGAACTGGACCAAACTGGTTTACTCTACTTCATACCAGCCACAACTGATTCAAAAACCATACTGTTTGTGTAACCTAAGCCTCTCCTCTTGCTGTGAACTGGACTAAACCGGTTTACTCTACTTCATACCAGCCACAACTGATTCGAAAACCATACTGTTTGTGTAACCTCAGCCTCTTCTCTTGCTGTGAACTGGACCAAACTGGTTTACTCTACTTCATACCAGCCACAACTGATTCAGAAACTATACTGTTTGTGTAACCTAAGCCTCTCCTCTTGCTGTGAACTGGACCAAACCGGTTTACTCTACTTCATACCAGCCATAACTGGTTTACTAAAATCTGTCCTGCCTGTGTAATCCAAGTCTCTGAACTGGGCCAAACCAGTTTACTCTACTACATACCAGCCATAACCAGTTTGTAATCTGTCCTGCTTGTGTAAATAAGTCTCTGAACCAGCCTCAACTGGTTGACTCTACTTCATACCAGTCATAACTGGTTTGAAATCTTTTCTGCTTGTATAATTGAAGTCCCTGAACTAGATCAAACTGGTTTAGTCTACTTCATACCAGCCGTGACTGGTTTGAAATCGGTCCTGCTTGTGAAAACCAAGTCTCTGAACCAGCCTTAACTGGTAAACTCTACTTCATACCGGCCACAACTGGTTTGAAATCCATCTTGCTTGTGTCAACCAAGTCTCTGAACCAAATGTAAGTGGATACTGTACTTCAGACTAGACCGGCAATAACTGGTTTGAAATCCAACTTGTTAGTGTAAACCAAGTCTCTGAGCTGGACTCAACTGGTTTAATTTGGTTAAATCTACTTCATACCAGCCATAACCGGTTTGAAATCTGTCCTGCTTGTGTAATCCAAGTCTCCACCCCCTTCCTCCTCCCCTTCATCTTCATCTTGTCTGAAGAGAGGATTGCAACAGGAGAGATTCAGCTTGCAAGGAAGCTGTTCTTGATGCAGGGAGTAGTGGTGGACCAGTCTCGGCAAGTCGGCAAAGTCTCTTCCAAAACCCTGTCAAAAGCAAAGCAAATTACCAGATGAGTGATTACGAAAGACCGTAAAATGCAATTAATTATATTATAAAGAACAACTTCTTATAGTAAATCAACTAGACTATAAACTCTTTAACCCCCCTTCTGTCTGAACAGTCACAGACAGTCAAAAATTAAATCCTGTTCCCCGCCATGCCTTTTACACAGGCTAGTCACCAACAGTCAGATCATATTTCAAGCAAGCACTGTGACTAGTCAAATGCAGTCAACCGACAAAAGCAGAAAAGTGGTAGGCACAGCTGGCTTATCATTCACCTACAGTCAAAGTATAGCTGTATCAAGTTAAACAGTCCCAGCAAGTCCATCCTGCTTTATGTAGGCTGGGAGCTCTTAACTGTTGAAAACAGGCACTTGACTGATTTTGACTGAAAGGACAACTTTGCGCAGAGTGTATGTTTGCATAGGAGGTTAAAGAACGTACAAATTCAGAATGGATACAAATACAAAAGATTTGAGCAGATAAACACTACATTTCCCCTCGGTACTGCATTGATCAACATAGTTTCTGACCTTTACCACAGCAAATCAGTTGCTGAGTTTTCATTATCACACCTGCCCACGTCAACTGTCTCAAAAGAACACAATATTTATAAATTACCTTGATTGTGTAGCCGCCATTCTTGGTGCGGACTACCAGGTAATTGGCTATGCCGCTCTCGTTGAAGTCGCCGTCCACTTTGATGGAGAGTGCAAAGCATCCTGGGTGGCTTTTGCTCTCGCGGACGATGAAGGCTCCTTTCACCTCCTGCTGTAGTATCTCCACAGCGATCTCTCTGTACAAAATAAATAAATACATAAATAAATAAATAAACAAACTAAAATGAAATTTTTTGTTTCTAAATTGAAAATTGAGAAACAGTATTTATTCAGGGAGTGGGATTCAGTAGCAGTCTGGGTTCCAGGGGAGCAAAATTAATAATTTTTCTGAAAAAGTGTGCAGTCACTAGGCGGCCCCCAATCAAAAAATCGCCCCCTGCTCCCTGCCCCCCATCCCCTTCCCCCACCCCCCGATACACTATTGGGATGTGTGCCACTTCTGCCAAAAAAAACCCATCAATATTGCATGGTTTGAGAAAAGTTTGGATGAGGTATCATGTTACCACACCCCTGGTTACAACAGTAAACACAAGACTAGGAACAAGTCTAATAACAGGGTGTCATCCAATCAAGGTCATAAACTAGGGCACTGGGTGTGGCAGTGACCGAGACGACGACCTATTTATTCGGCCTGGATCCCTCCTGGCACATCTCTGAGGTGCGGTAACGGAAATACTTTACTTGTGGGATACTGTACTTAATAATGTCTCAGATACTTTTTTCATTGATAATGCACTAACTCTGCAATGGATAATATTTCCACAGGACATTTAACGGAATAATAATATTACACAATATTCGTGTTTTGAAATACGTATTGGTGCTTCTTTCAATAAATTGCTCACTTAAAACTTTACAGATGTGTTCTTAACATTTTCAATGCGTACTGTTCTAAATCTTTATTTGACAAATTTGTTTCTTACTTGTATTTTTGAAATGTTCTTTTGGTATTTTTAGCAGCTCAACAAATCATCATGTCTCTCTGTTAGTCCGGTAGTTAGTTTGTAACAAACATTGACATTGTCTATTGCTCCTACATAGTTTGACTAATTTCAACCAAACTGTGTCAAGAGTATCAGTAGCCCAGGCCCAACATGTCACATGACCAAACTGGGGTCAAAGCAAAGGTCATCATGGGGTCACTCGGGTCAAAAATCTGACTTTTTTGGTATTCAAAACACTACTCCTTCCAGAAATTACATGGCACAATCATGTGATCATGCAAGTGCATTGGTTATGGTCAGTGTCATCCAACCAACAATCAGTGTGAACATGAATTCTTTGACCCGCAGCTTCTGAGATATTTCCGATTGAGTTTCCAATATTTATATTATGTTTGTTTCAGGTCAATAAAGTGATACTTTCTGACATGGGAAATGCACATGATCTAAAATTGGCTCTAGTAGCAGATGTCTCGACATCACAATCCCTTTAATGACAGAACTACCTACTTCATCCAACCTGGCTGCAAGCCAGAACTTAATAACTCCCCTCCCCTTAAACCGCCCTGAAGTTCTGCAGATTATCTGGTTAACTTGAAATCACAAGAAACATCTTGGGGTTGAGGAGTAAAGGAAACAAGACAATGACAGATTTTGTGAAGTAGTTTCCTGTCAATTAAGTTCTGCATCCTGAAGGAGGAGGGTGTGACCTGGGAAACCTTTGTTGTGCTAATTAGATTCAGCTGTAAAATTAACGAAATTGCTGCCGCAATTTTTTTTTATGAATCCAAAAACTGTACATGAATACATCTTCAACATGTACTCTACAAAGAATAAATTTGCACTTCGCATAGGTTGCGTCATTGTCTATCAACTCAACCCAACTGTGCGATTAAATGAACTTATTGCCACTTTTTTTTTTTTGGGGGGGGGGGGGGTTGGGGGGGTTTGAAATAGTCTATGTAATAGATGCGAGCAGATTAGGCGATTAATTATGCAAAAACAAGACTGTGTCTTGACCGAGATTCTGACCATTCAGCGGGCGTCTTCTATCGGTCTTCCGTAACCTGTTGTTGTATTACAAAAACATAGCAGCCAAATGGACCAATCAACAGCTTAGTCCATATTTATGATCAAAATGACGTCACAATTTCTAAAGTTGACTCTGATTGGCTGTACGACCGAGGTCACATAAAAAATTTGCATGCTTAGATATACCAGACGTTGGTTAGGGAGAGGGCTCCATTGGACAGCGAGAGATGCTCAGAGACTAGGGTTGAAACTGAAATGGAGAAAATGTTGCAACCTGACGCCACTTTTTTCTTTGCAAAAATGATGATAAGACATGAATCTGGGACTGAGAAACATTTCCAATTTTGTTAGGAAATACTTAGAGAAAATTTCTTTGACTCTAACATACATGTAGACTTTGCACATAATCGCTGAAGTGGCGTCAGGTCGGTTGTATTGACAACGAAGACTCCTAAAACCAAGACCGAAGACCGAAGACACACTTGAAAACAACTACCCACTCGAAAACAAAGACCCACTAGAACGAAGACCCACTTGAAAACGAAGACCCACTTGAAAATGAAGATCACTCAAAAACGGGTGGGTCTGCAGTCTTCGGTTTAGGGGTCTTTGTTTTCGATACTACCGTCAGGTTGCATAATTTTTTCCTCTGAAATTTGCACCCACTCTAAAACTTGCACTGTGCTTATGTTGTCCGTCTATCACTCAACTGCAGGCAAGCCAGGTCATATATGTCAAGAAGGAAACACGGCATACAAACAGAGGAAGCTGTTGGAGGCGTTGCAATTGAACTTGTTGGGGTTTACACAGACTCTTGCCAAGTATGTTGGCTTAATAATAAAGGGATGTACATGTACATGACATTCTAGAAATGTTTAGATCACTGTTTGTTTGCTACTTTAAACTCTGTGAGCTAAGTGTCTGTGTTGTACATAGCGTACCTTTAAATTAAACAGGTGCAATTTTAAAGGGCTCCTCCCCTCCCCCTCCAAATTGTTAAGCCTCACCTTTAATAAGCGTCAAAGGCTACATTATTTCAAGCATTTGTGTTGCATGGTATGTTCATCTTTGTATGCATTCAGATTGCACCTTTAAATTCAACATCAAGTTGACAAGTTTGATTTCAAGTTTTCAAGCATTTGTGTTGCATAGTATGTTCATCTTTGTATGCATTCATATTGCACCTTTAAATTCAACATCAAGTTGTTCGTTTGTAGTGGTTTTGCAAGATCCCTAAAGTAGCTTTTATAGACTACAACTTCAAGCTCAGAAGGCAGCACTTTGTAGTGCTTGAGTTCCATATTTAAGTGTGTTCAAACTGTTCCTTTAATTCTTACCAGTTGCATTTTAAAGGGCCCTGTTAAAATATTATGGTGTTGCAACTGCACTTTAAGCACTGTAGGGGCTAAAGAGTGTGTTGCATGCATCTATTGCACATACTGCTCCTTTAAAGACTGTACTTTAGTTTAAAGGCACTTCTCTACTCCAAGAATATTGAAACTCCACCTTTAATTGAATCCCTTGTCTAGAGCTATTGTCTGGCTCTATGACAATGGCTACTACAATAAAGCATGCTGACAATAGACATAGCCATAGCTCTGGAAGCCCAATTAGGACACAGTCGTAGCCTTGGGCGGGTTGTACCTTTAAGCAACCTTCAAGCAGAGGTCACGACCCCAACGTTTTGCCAGCCCAGCCAGACAGGAAGGAGGCGGGAAAAGCTGCTAGGTACTGGGTAATCAATTCCCCTGGACCACACCTACACGTACCTGGGTACTCCCGCCTTGAACCAGGGCGCTTCAGTCACATCTTTGTACTGGATAGGGTTGCCATGGGCACCGCCGCCATCTTGGGCTGTTCCATTCTCAACGAGGGATGTGGACCTGTGAGAGATTGTGAAATAGGGTTTGAAATAAACCTTACAAGGAACTTTTTGCACATCCAAATAAACAAAACGAAACGTAATACATAACAATGATAGTTGGGTTAAACAAATTGGGTTACCCCAAACTGGCCGCAATAATTTTAAACTTTCTTCAAAAATACACCATGATATAACTACCATCTCTAATCACATGTTAAAGCTTTTTTATGACATACATGTAAAAACACAACTTTATTTTCAGTTTTAGTTTTTGCTTTCTCTGAGGCAAAACTACATTTGTACCTTTGCATTCAATTTACTGCTTCCACCGATCATTTCCTAAAATCAATGCCGAAGACAAATTTCAGAAGTTGAGGAAATACGGGGTTAGGGTTCAGCAAAAGGAAATGGAAATGTCACTGACTGAGGATCCTGTTTAGAATTATCTGACCTTTTGGTAGCATTTTGTAAGGGATGTGAGGAAACGTCGAATTCTCAACTTGTATTTTTGATTCTGTAACAGCTACGTAAGTGGGTAATTGCAAAAATTGAAGGAGTAGAAAAACACGTCCTGAAGTGACAGCCGTTAATTAAATATTAGCCACATGCCTTCCTGCTTATTCCTGAAATGTTGAGGCAAGATATTAGTAAAACCCAAGAGATAAAAAACATTCCATAGCATTTTCATACCTTGTGGAAGCTGGTGTAATGCATTATATTTTGTACTTTCATTTGGCATAACTAGGCATTTAAGAACCATTTTGCACTAATCGGTTAGATTTTCAATGTCATAGTTTGTTTTTTGAAAGTATATATCTAGTAAACTGCAATCAACCCCGGAAAAATGAACATAACATTTCTGTACCAAGAAATCATGTTTTGAAGCTTTATTTTTTAAATTGAGCGTTAACGTAAGCGTGCTCCTTTTAATGAAGACCAAATAGGGTACCCTTGTATATACATGTATATATAGAGTACCGTACTTTACATGTTCTCCAAAATAGGTTTAGTAACAAAACAACACGTCTGAATGAGAAAACGGTTCAGCAAAGCTACATTGTAATTTTGTTAAGTTCTTTCCAATAGACCATTATCATGTTGCGGCATTCTTGATTTTTCCCATTCAAATCAATGTAACCAAAGCGAGGCTGGAAGGAAAAATAGTCTGGTTCCTTTTTGCACAAAAAACATTATTATTCTGTACTGCTATAAGATACAGGGAACATGACTGAAATGGTGGCAGCATGATAAAGGTCTATAAGATCAAAAAAAGTGCAAAAGATGAAAAAAGACAGAAAGAGCACTGTGTACTGTCACAGTGTGCATGCTTGTCCTATTTCTAGACTGATTGGGAAATGCGTGGTCCACCGCATTAAATTGAACATTTCTGGTACGGGGAGGAGACGCGGAAATATCACACTCTGCTGTAGTGTTTTGGGGGTTCGTTTTCCAATCTGTCAGCTTTCAAAATAAACTGTTGCCAACGAAAACACAAAGCTATTTTGGGAGGGTTGTTGTTGTGGATGGATAACAAAAGGGTGCTAAGCAAAATTTCTGCGCTGATAAGGAAAAGATTTATGGAATTTGGAGGTGCTCAAAAACGTCTCCAACAGAGCTATTAGGAACTTGTTATAACACCAAGGCTCAAAATTAAATTGGAATAAGCCGAATTTGCAAATGTGTCAAATGGGTTAAGACTCCACTTCAAAGTAGACCTGTACATGTACTTTCAAAGTACATGTGAGTAACCACACTGTACATGGTAAACTGTGAAACAGAAAGTTATAGATGCTTGTGAACAGAAATTCTAATTGAAACCGACATCACCCAATTGATAATTTAGCAGAAACATAAAATGTAGGTCATTAGTCTACCAAGTGCTTCTAACCAACGAATACAGGAAATGAGACTAGCTAATCTTCTTGAGTTCAGTGTCTCCACACCCATCCACCATCAACCCAAGACGTATTCCGATAATTAAGATGTGAGGTCTGGATTATGAGATAGTGCTAAGCACGGACGTTCTGAAGACGAGTTCCGTGCAGTCCCCCACTTCACTCTGAGTGATCAACCCAACATATTACATTTAAATTAACCCATTAGTCTATGAACTGCCAAGAACCATTCAATCTATTACTCCCTGTACTGTCTGAAACCGTATAGAACTCTATGGTCTTATGGATTCTTTAATACGGAATAAATACAATGTAATACAATGTAATACAATGTAATACAATGTAAAACAATGTAATACAATGTAATACAGGCCAGAAACCTTCCTGAATCCTGCAAAATCCTCCACTTTGCAGAAGCCCAAACATGTTTTGTTATGTTACTTTCAAGGGCATTAAGTCCAATGTATTGGCAAAAGTCTGCCACATCTTCAAAAACCAACTTGTGGATTTTGAAGAATATGGGAGTTTCTACTGCATTTTGTTCAAAATCTTTCTATCTTTAGTAGGTTTGGGTTTTGATGGTTACATGTGGGTGCATTTTGTCATGACTACGGTATGACATCCCCCACAAGTTTAGAAGTTTGAACAAGATTTCCTATTCGAGTTGCCTGAGCTTAAGTGTCTTTTTATACAAAGATTTGAATGCATCAAAATTATCAGCAATTTCCGTCACAAATGAAAAGTCTAAAAGGTATCCATACAAACCTTGGTGGAAGTGGTGGAGCAATGCCATTATTGGTGACTTTCTTGCATCGGAATTTGCCAATCTCCACCTCCACCTTGTGACCTACGTGACCTGGTGACCTCCCACCTGACCTCTTGCAGCTGTCCTGGCTTGATATGGACGACTGACCCTTTAGTAGCCTTTGACTGACAGCGGCCGCTCCGGCAATGTCTAGTGATTTCGGAGCAGCGAGCGCTCGACTCGACGCCTCTGCATTACTGGATGCAGACGAGGCGGATCGTTTCAGATTGTTCTTCTCGCTTGCTTCATCAACGTTTACCAACTTGTTAACTTCTACAGGAATGGGCGGTGCCGGTCCTTTTCCATGCACGGATTTCACAATGTCTACCGGTATTGGAGGTGCAGGTGCCTTCCCTTTCCTCGGCGCCGGTTTGGGTTTATCCTTCCCTGGCTCCTCATTTGCATTTTGATTAATATTCATAGCCTGGCCATTCAAATGAGCCACTCGGTCCTCCTGACTGGATGGCCTACTTAACCTCTGACCTTGATTGTTTGGTGAGGATGACCTCTGACTCTGTAAACTCTCAGGAGCCATGTCACCTTGTGCCTTGCTTTGACGTGGTACTGGTTGAGGCGCGTTCACGTTATCTTGTGAATTTGCACCGTTTTCATCAGCGAGTTTCTGAACGTTGTTGTTATTCGGTATTGAGTCTCGTTGCTCTGAGTTCTCAGATTGCACATCCTCAAACGGCCTTTCACTGGGCTCCTTAGAGACTGGTGACGGTCTCAGATCGGGGTCTAGCCAGTCACCAGAGATATCACACGTGGCGTTAATGAATTGCTCCAAGATGGCATAGCTCCGATCGTAATCGAACGAGTCTCGATCCGAGTATTCACTCAGTCTGTTCTCTGAGTAACCATTTCCGTATCCGTAACAATCGTCGTCCTCTCTATTGGGCTTGTAAGTAAAAGGAGGCGGGACCGTTGAATCCTGTAGAAGGATCTGCCCTGGGGTTTGAGCTCGGTGGCTCTCCATGAGCGCCATGTTGCCCCTGGATGTCGACGGAGGTGCCTGATCGTTCTGAAGCACTAGATGCTTGGTCTTCTGTTCGTGGATGATTGAGAAAGCCGTCGTGGGTAGAGCGATGGAGCGAGCAGTCCACTCGTTGCAGGGCTCTACCTCGTAGTAAGGAGCTGGTGGTAGAGCAATAGTCCGGTGAGTTTGCTTGAAAGCAACCTACAGGAAAAAGAAATAAAAGAATTCATCATTACTCCTGAAAATAGTCTTCTTGGGATGATAATACATTTGGCAAGTGATGAACAGCAAAGTCGTACGACAGTGGCATTTAAATAAACCAATCTACGGCCTTCAAGTTTTTTACTAGATACTGAGGACCAACACAGAAAAAAGGAACTGTCAGGTACAATCCATGCACTGTCACACTAATAGATTCTTCGCATTGCAGCCATCTTTGAGGTACGTTCTTCAGCTCCACATTATTATTATTAATCATTTCTGGTAACAAAACCAAGGATTCCTCAAAAGCGCCCTAGGCACTGTAGCTCCAAAGCCTGAGCCTGTGGAGAGAAGACAATGAGAAGAAGTTACAGTTTTAGAGGTGGGAGGAAAAGCCCAGAGGAATATTCTGGGGGAAACCCACAGAATCAGGCAGGGACTGAAAACCCAATCCACATGTTGGCCCAGGCGGGATTCGAACCCGGGTCACAGCGATGGAAGGCGAGGAAAGTACCGCTACGCCAACCTGACTCCCCATGGATAGGTAGTAGACATCTTTTGCATTCATTGTCACCAAATTAGAACAAAACAAACCTCCAAGATAACTGCTGGATGGAAAGAGTCTGTGATGATAAAACATTGCTTCGCATTTCAAATCAACCATGCTACCAAACAAATTATCAAAAATAAAACGACCACGAAAAAAATTCTTCCCTGCAGAGTCAATGTCATCTGCAAAAACTATTCATTTTGCAATGCACAACTTCATAGAAAGCAGGACACTGCTAAATTAAAAGAAGTTTCCTGCTTGGAGGAAATAAAAACATCGAGCCACTCACAAGGAAAAACAGTCAGTGGAAGGATGCCACTACTAAACGACTACAACAAGACCACGACAAACAGTCAAGTTAAAATGCTACCCCAGTCTATGCTGGGGTCCAAGACACGTACTCGTCTCAAGAATGATGAGTAAACCTAATCCCCCTCCACCAACTTACTCGTCTCAGAATGCTCTCCCCTCCGCAGCACAAGCCAAACGGCAAATAGTTCCACGTGTCCATGTGTCAAGGATGTCACACACACACACACACAAACTAACCGCAAGAAAACGTTGTTAGCAGGCCGAGAGCCGGGCAGTGTGTGTATACATATTGCGGACTGCTCGCTTGTCGGGTGTGTGTGAACGTGACAGAGTTGAAAACGCTGGCCTGTGTGGACCCCCCCTGGGTGGGATTGGTACGGAATGGTCTGTATCCTGGCAGAGCGGGAAGACCGATTAGCCCCTGTATCCTGCTCTTGTTATGCTATGGGGGCCCACCAATTTGGAAAATCACTTCTGCTGTCTGGGCTGCCAAGTGCTGGTGGCATCTCATGAATATGTATGTCACTTTAAATATTCATGAGTTGTCCATTCCGTTCGTGAACTTTTGGGGCGGAGTGAAGACCTAGTATGTTTCAGACATGGCTTGGGAATCACAGCTGTCACCTTGGCTTTGCTGCCACGGTTACCATGAGTATTTATATCCCTCATATTATTTATAACTCGGATTTCATTTACCCTAGTGATTAAACTTCTGCATAATACCGGTACATACATTTGGGTCTTGCCAATCTATGAAGGACACAAAATGTACACTATAAAATGATTCCATTGCATGCCACAAACATACACAAGTGCGTATACAACTTCAATTGTGGACCCCTATTGTCCCTCTTTTGTTTGTACTTTAACTTTTTAGGAAGAACTCGTATATATTTTGCACACGATCGTCAATTGTGGACCTTCGGGAATTGTGGACCCTATTGTCCTCTACTGTTCAATGTCCTCTATTGAATGCAAGAACAGACCCACAGCTTTCAATCACACCAATACAATTCAAGCAAACAACAAAACCGTGCAAACTCAACTACGAAGACACGCTGCATGCATGTTAATTGCACAACCTTCAAACTTGTTTACAATTTGCACACTGGCCAAGTCACGTGACACACTACGGACTTACGTGTGACATCCTTTTCCTATTGTTGAGATCCTGTGGGCCCCAAATAAAAAAATGGACATGTGTTTGTGCACGTGGAACATATCCTGGTATTCAATTTGCATACAAATTATGAATATGCATGAGAGATTTTACTACAGATGGCCTGGTTGCTGCTTCCGTTTGTTGTGCAGCTGAAATTAAGACGTGAACTCTTGACCCCTTAAAGGGGCAGTTGTGAGGACCATTCGGACAGGTGTTTTGCTGAGGACTTTTTAAGAATCTTAAGATGGACACTGGAACTCACCATCTTGTGGTTACAATTGCTCAGTCATCTTTGTAAACACCAGCAATCGTGGACCCCCTATTGTCCCTAATCCTCATTCCTTTGTTTGTACTCTTTTTAGCAACAGCTCTCATTGGTTTTGTACACGACTTTCAATCGTGGACTATCGGTCAATCGTGGACCCTTTGTTTGTGCCCTAACCTTTTTGTCCCAAGTCCATGAATGCCAGTGTTTACATACTCATACATACCGGTACACGTTTGAATATTTTTAATCAGTGAACTCTGCGCATACAAGTACCCCCTCAACGGTTACGAAGGGAAAGTTGGGGAGACCACTGGGAGGGACATTTGGACGCATTGCTGATGGTGCCTGACGCTCACGCAGAGTCAGTATTGCTTTGCACACATTCAGAATAAAATAAGTCATGCGTACTTTGCGCCATACGCACGCCACCAGTGCGCACACGTGTTACAAGTGTCACTTCCACGGGGGTTTCGAAAGTGGTCACAAAGGAGCATCTCCTACCCGGTACTTGTGCACAGAGCCCATAGTGAACATGGAGTGCCGTGGCCTCGTGGTCCATGGCATTGAATTCGTGGTCTGCGGGTAATTGACCTATCGCCATTTGCGAGTTAGCCACACCCCTTAGACAACCCTATGGAATGTTTGTACGCTAAGTTTTGTTTGTCTCAGATGTTGCGTGTTCTGCGTCCATTTGTTTATCATGTAATTGGACAATATATCACAAGCTGCGCTGATGCAATTCTAACGCAATTCTACCATGATAAGTCAATTCTGCATGTTGTGGGTTTGAGCCCAGCCTGGGTTATGACACTACCAGGCCTAATATGGGTAGAGGCATTATTAATGCCTTGCAGTGGACTAGTTACCCATCCCAACCCTACTCATACTGTGAAGAGATTAGATGATCTTGTCTTGTTTCAGTGTGAGGGGCTGGTTCGTCCACACTTCCCTCTGCAGCCCTCACCTTAAGTGGCCTTCGGTCTTGTGATAGGCAATTTGCATTAAAAAAACAAACCCAAAACCCCCACAACTCCAGCTTGTTGTCCCAGGAGCGGACAATATTTTTGGCAGATGAATAAAAACCATTCAAATGAATCAAATTGGACTGCCTGTCAACTTTTAATGAGGTTTACTTTAAACATGTGTTGATTATCCAAATTGTTGCTGACACGAAAAAAAACCCAGAGGACCTAACTTTTCCAAGATGCAGTTCTAGGTAACCGCAATGAACCAATCCATAAGACTCCAGATGTAAAACCACCAGGTTGAATTTTTCAGCCCCAAAAATGTCAAAAACTTGGACAGGAAATAATAGTGTAGTGAATAATCCCCAAAGAGGGGCAACGGCCGGGCAAGTGTCAAGAACTCTCTGCTGTGTTGGGAGTTTGGAGATGTGGGAGATCCAAGCCCTAAAATGATGCTCTCTGTAGATGTAACCATTGGGATTGTTACTACCTGGCACTATGTCAATGGCAATCCATTATAGAGATGTGAGACATCAGTCGATATGTGAGACATCAGTCGAGACGTTTTGAGCCTCTGCTGGCCTCAACTACTGCATACATTCCCCACAAATCTTAAATGACTGCCATTTTAACAAGATCTGCTTGGTTACTGTTAAAAGCTTTGTCTGCATTGAGATCTCAAAATACAAAAAACTAATTTAGTAATCGAGATCATGCTCGGACGTCTAGTAAGCAGGAGGTCGTGGGTTCATGTCCCACAAGAGTAAGCTTGGGAATTTTCTCGCAAGCTCTCGGCAAACACACATACTGGAATTTGTATCCTTGTGGAGTCATTTCTTTGTTTTCGTATACTAAAGTTTTCAAGTTTGAACGTGTAGTTTCAAAATGATCCTATTTTAACCAGAATTAATTTCCTGGGCTGAAATTCGGACTAAATATCCCTTAAATAAAATACTTCAATTTGCGACACATCAACCCACCTTGGAAATTCCTAGTTTTTGAGTAAAATCCATATATGAATTTCGTGATAACCTTGTGGGGACGTATTCACCTATAGAAATTGCCCTGTGAAGACGTATACAATCTTTTGTTCCCTATTATGCACATGTCTCCACAGGGTACCATGTACCAGATCAGTGTTTACAAATACACTAAGTATACAGTGTTTATAAAATGTAATAAGTATACAGTGTTTATAAATATATCGACGAAGGGAAAAACCCGATATAAACATATTCCATCTGACCAAAAAAAAAAGTTCAAAATTCTACTCACTTCTGCTTCAATAGTGGGAGCGGAAGCCTGGGTATCGTCCTCATCAATATCCTCTTCTGTTACCCACTCAAACTCCTCGGCAGAGTCACCTGACCCAGACCTTATTATAGGCACACCCCGATTGGCTGATGCTCCACTCTGATTAACATCCAATGATGAATTATTCATGAGCTGTGCCTGACTGCTCGAAGGCTGCTGGCTTTGGGGCGGGGTGGCAAAGTTGACAGGTGATCGACAGCGATTTGTGGGCGGGGGAATTATCTGGTGGGCGGGGTCTATACCAGCGATGATGTGGGGTTGTTTGTGCTGCTTACGCCCAGCAACTTGTTTTGCCTGTAAACAATAAGAAAAACAAAATGCACAAATTATGAACAGCTATATTTGAGTGACACAGTTTTCATTAGTTCTTGAACTACATATCACTTACATGTACACATTGCAGAGTTTTGGCAAACCTAGTCGTATCTGTGAATAAATCATTTTTTTATAAAGAATAATGTGAGAAATAAAAGGAAAAAATCCCAAGCTTTCCTGCTACAGCATTACGGACAAGAGAAAAAAAATACCCAAAACTTCTGAAATTTGCAAACTTGATATTTTTCGAATTCCCAACTGAATTGACGGACACCTTTAAGAAAGAAAACCCCTCCAGACCAAATTCCGAGGGTTTTAAGACAATACAACAAAATTACCGGCCAAAGTTTTTAAGGTGTCTGCCACTTTATAGGTCAATTGTCTAGCCGAGATAGATACAGCTTCCTTTTGCCATAGACGCGATTTATCCCGATGTGATCCCCACCCTTAAAAAGTTAATCAAAAACTGCTGCATGTACGTCAATTCGGAGGGAGAACTTAGGGGGAGATTGTGCTGGGAGAGAGGATTGTGGGTAGGGAGGGGAAGGGCGGGGAAGGGCGGGGAAGGGCAGGGACCGTGGCTTAGGGGTGGGGCTGGGTGGGAAGGAAAGATTCCTGAACAAGCATGCACATAACAACAACCCATTCCAATTGCATCCATCTTAATTTGCATCATGTTATAAATATAATCCTCAATGTTTGAACAGGCATGCAACTGGGACGTTAGATAAAAATGAGGAAACTCCAAACCACACAAGACTTTGTGCAGTATTTTTCAATTTGTAATGGCATTCATGAGAAGTAAGAAATGAGGAAATCAGCAGATCTGAGGAAAAGTTGCATGCCTTTTTGAAGAAAGACACAATAAAATACCGACTCACCAACTCAATTTTTTTTTTTACATTTTGTCCATGCTTTTGTTCTCCCTACACGATTTTTACATGCATACATTTTCTTGCACCATGCAATAATTTCTAGATTTTATTCATATCTTTGGGAGCAAAGCTAACAATTATATGACATTTTAAAGTTTTGTAGTTTATTCTATGGTACATTACAGAGTAACAATATGTATTACTTTATTAGTTTGGACAACACTTGGCCCTCAAACAAGGTACTTTTATTGACATAAATGGTGTGCAAACACTAATAATAATAATAAAATAATAGTGGCATCTTATTAAGCGCAAACAGGTCCATCACTCAGTGACGCTCATGGCGCTATACAATGAGTAGGAACAAACTACAAAAGGTATAAATGACAAAAATTATGCACTAGTGCATATTTGTATTTTTAAAAATTAGTATTTGTATCCGTCACAGACAACGCCTTCACGAAAGCGTGGCAAGAATCAGACAAAAGCTTAGAAACACTTGGAAGTGTGAAGCCGGATACATTTCATTTTTTTGCAATGAAATTGCAAATTTCTTTTTTCCGTTTTTCGCATAGTCAGCTTACATGTCTTAAGACATAAAATTGTATAAGTGGACTTTTTGCTCTTCATGGGGTATACCCAGTTTATCAGATAATAACATCAAATTTTGAATAGGGCAGAGTATTTAGGGTTAAGCACCCAATAAGTCCCCCTGTCCCCCCAGATCGGTCCCCCTACTCCCCAGCATCCAGCTGGCCCACTGAAAAATAAAGACCGGTGCCTGTGCTCGCGCTGTGCGGAACTGACAAGCAATTAGTTCCAATTTGCACACCGGTAATCCCCTCAAATCCTCTATTTGGCCTTCCAAATCCCCGGCGAACACCCACAGAGCCCCTCCCTACCCTGGCTGGGGGAGATATTGCAGCATCACAGCCTGGGCAAGGAAGGACCTGATTTGACCTCATTAGGGGGCAAGGGCCGGCCGGACCTTTCACAGAAATGCGGACCACTGAGGCATCTGACATGATAACATCTCAGCACATTTTAATGCAAAAGAAAATATTTTAGAATAACTAAATTAAGTGTATACTCTTGGGGATCCACACCAACACATGACGATTGAAGAGTTAATTTTTGATCACACAGGGCTGAGTAGATTGTGTCCAATGACAAGATAATTTACAGTGATCACTTTTCAACTTACAGTGAAGTTAAAAATCTACCTTAAACCACACCAAGTTGTAATACAAAAATGTGTTTATTTTGTCTGAATTCCCAGTAGTGGTGTTAATATTTGTACAAGCATAACATTCACTGTGTGGACTTCCGAACAAAAGATGTCCACATAAACCAGGTAGAGGCGACGTTGTGTGAACTTGCCCACATCCACACTATGTTTCCCCCTCTCTGGAAAACAGACTTAGAGGCATTTTTGGGTTAGCTTTATTTGTGGCAAAATTAAGAGAAACACTATAAAGGGAATCACAGAAAAAAAATGGCTTGAAAACTTGAAAGAGTTTTCATGGTGTGAGTAAAATGATTTTTTTCAGAGGTTTTTCTTAACTACAAGAAAACAAAAGAATGTCCACACTAGGTATGTAAATGTAAACATGTATGTGTTTGCAGAACAAAACGTTTTCAATCGTGTCTGCCAGAGTAGATATAATCTTCATTTTTGTAAGGGCAGGAGAGATATGTATCAGTCTTGTAGCGTGCCAGTAGTCTCAACGATAAGTGTCCATGGCAGGCTAGAGGGCTAAGGCTGTACCTTTCTAGTAACTCTCGTCTAAGGCTACACCTGTTTGCAGTGACGCTTTTCCTTGCATCCGAACAAACCGAACAGAAACCTTGAAGAGGGATTTCCAGCGAACACACCAGCGTAATTTGTTATTTTCCTGAATATTGGAGCTGAACACCTTGTTATTGGCGAGCGTTTACCTAAAAAAAAAAAACGCGCTGGCCACAAAATTTGTCAATCTTGGGCATAGGAAAAACAGACCAAAAATGGTGTCAAAAAATTCAGTCGACATTTGGGTACTTTTTGTTCTCTTTTTTTTTTTTACATTTAAAAGGAAAACCAGTGAGATGAATGAATAAAAATCTAAGAATGAATTAAGAAAGTTATCATAGCTGAATTTGAATCTACCACCCGCGGAATCCTTTACCGATGCAAAACAATCTGTTGAAACTGAGCCATTCAGTTCTGTGACTGGTTTCCAAGAATGCTTTTGTCCCTATCAGTTAAGATGGGAGATTTTTTTTTTATATGAAGTATAAGCTTGAGACAGTTTGTTTTGAGAATGCCACACAGAAAAGACTTTGTCCAATGATCCTCACATTCCGACCCTTACATGTACTGAGAGGGGGTTCATTTGCAGAGACAGAGAAACCGCGAAAAATACTGGCTATGCAACTACCTGGAGCAGTCTTTGAATGGAAGCCTCCTAAAAGAACAAGTTATATACGGGCCTGACATTCTTGAGTAACACATTGATTACATAGACCAATCCCATATTGTTTCATTCACAAATAACATCAAGAGTCCAATTTTAATTACTTGTTCGTTCGCTCAGACTATTTGCAGATATGTCACACAGGACAATCAAGTGGCCCCACATAAATGTGAAAACACAATTTACAATTTCATCCACAAAATACCCAAAACCTGCTTTTAAATTTGTTTCTAATTTTCCCTTTCCCAAAACAAAAGATGAACCCCTAATCTAATTTTAACTTGTACTTAAAGGGAATATACATCATTTGCTTTTGCTGTAATTTTCAGAAATGGATGGAATTGGGGGGTTGGAAATATAAAGCAAATATAGTTACACTGACTTTTTGGAGGTTTTGGGTTCGAAAATGCTATAAAAACCAAGAAAAACGATCATTTTCCTGTAGTCTGGTTCCCCGACTCCATATAAGAAGAAACAGAGCAGTTTACATACATTGGGGAATTGTAAGGTCAGGGAACGAGTCTAGCTGGATCGTACCCGTTCATAGGTTTGTAATCGATTGCAAACAAGTGCAATGGTCAATTGGGGCCAGTATTTGAAAAAAAAGCCAGTTGTTTCCAACGCTGATCGGCCGATCAGCGTTGGAAATTGATACCAAAATACCACTTTTCTTGAAAATTACAGTATACCATGTGCCATAATTTTACAGGATGCTTTAGACTGTCATTTACCAACATCCTATTAAGGTATTTCGCAAAAACTTGGTAGTTTTATTTTTCGATGTTTGCAAATGTTGTATATTCCCTTTAAATGGAAAATAGAACCACAGAAAATTACATGTTTATGGTTGTACACTATTTGTAAATTATAGACTGGATTGATACCGGTACAAGAATGAAACTGACAGGAACCGATTGGAAAATTGACCTTCTTTCTAAAACATACATTAAAGTTAACAACAGAGGGGGCTCTTTCTTTGCAGAGGATTCTGTCAGGCCGGGTAGACGTTAGAGAAGCATGGATATTGCTGACCACAAGAGGGCCTCCTTTACTTCATCCAGTCCAGGATTTTGCATTGAATGAACCAGAACAGGGGAACCTTGCACTTCTGGGCATAGCAAGCGATATGATTCAGAGTACATGTATTAGATGTACATTGTACATGTTTGAGTGTAGTCTGAACGTGGTGTGCAAAAAATTTAAAAATGCTTGAAGACAAAATGACAGCATGAGAGAGGTTGTCTTCGTCATGAAAGCTTAGCTATTACTAATATGAATGCAAATAAGTTTATGACCTTGACCTTGACAACTTAGGAAAAGTTTTCTAATTTCATTTATTTCCCTGGCCTTAATTGTACCTAAATAACTACAACGTAGTGCAAGCATAGAGCAGTTAAACTACTGTAGGATGCGTGCTTATAGACAAACAATATACATGCAAATCTAGCAACAATTAGAAGAATTTATAATTGAGGTGATTCTGTGCTCATAAGCAGGTCGTTTTCACCTGCTAAATATTTTGTTTGGACCATACGGACCCAGGACATAATGAAATCACACTTTATACATGCGTCTTCTTATGAGAGCTCGATGGAACTCGTCCCCACTTGGCTCCCATAAGAAAGCGCACATTTTAACAAACATGGCATCATTAAGTTTTAGGCCTATTAAGACTTGCAAAATTCACAAGCATCTCAAGAATGCTGCACTGCCCGTGAAGCAAGCAAGGTGTAGCCTCATTGTCCATACAGGGTGAGTCAAAAAAAAAAAGAAGGAAACCCAAATGGTAGGACCATTTTCTTAATAAAGTCTGTATGTCGCACTTTCATATTCTAGGATATGAAAGCCCAATTCATAAGCTTTCTTTTAGTACAAGAATCATTCAAATCACTCATGTACCTTTGAAGTTACGGAACTTTAAACACAACCACCATTTTAAAGTTCTGTCCATGGATCACAGAAAAAGGTAAGTGTTCTTTCAGCAAAACGAATACAAATCACATAGGGATGTGTGTGAATTGTTTTCGTTTTGCTGAAAGCACACACACCTTTTTTTGTGATCCGTGGACAGAACTTTAAAACAGTTGTTGAGTTTAAAATTCTGTAACCTGAAAAGTGCATGTGTGATTTGAATGATTTTTGTACTAAACGAAAGCTATATTATTTGGGCTTTCATAAATCTTAGATTTTGAAAGTACTGCATACAAAACTTTAAGAAATGGTCCTGCCATATGGGTTTCCTGTTTTTTGGACTCACCCTGTATAACAATTTCTGAAAAATTGGAACAAGGACTGGGACAAGAATTCCAGTGGTACCTACCCAGACTCTGCCTTGGCCAACACTGAGCTCCCTCTCCCTGCCGTCTACCCAGCTACCGACCCGTGTCGCAGCGTTCTGCTGATGGGTGATCTGTGCAAAGTACTCCTCCTGCTCACGATTCAGCTCCTCAATCAACTCAAAGAACTGCTTCTTGCTTCGGAGGCTGGCGTAGGCCACCTTGAAGGCTTTGCCTACGATAGCGTTGATCTCCTCAGTCTGGAAAGAAAAACATGATTTTACTCAATTGTTTATTTTGGACTCTTTCTGCAAAGTTTCTAGCAATGAAATCTGCAAGGACGACTCAAAAATGCATATGAAGAAGTATCTTACATGTAAAAGCTTGAAATTCCTTACAAGAGAAGACAATGAGAATATGTTCAGTTTTAGAGTTGGCATGGAAGCTTCGAAACATTTCATGAAAAACCAAAACCATCAGTAAGGGACCAAAAACCAGATCCAGAAGTCAGCCTGGTTGGGATTTGAACTTAAGTCACAGAGGTCAAAGGCCAGTTATACTTGACAAAACTGATTTTCAAAAGCCATTTGACTGTCAAGAAAAACCCAATGATGTGTTCTTTATCAAGGGTCACGAGGTCATACTTTGTCTATTGTATAAAGTGGCAGGCAAAATCAAAAGACATCGATGTATCACCACTGGCCTCTGAGTTACATGAGTTAAAATGCTAGAGGGCGCACTATGTATGATCCACTTTTGATCACTAGCGTCTTGGGCCAAGACTAGAAGTCAGCCTGCTTGGGATGTGACCTTAGGTCACAGAGGTCAAAGGCCAGATGACAGAACAAGAATACTTCACAAAATAGATTTTCAAAAGCCACTTGACTGTCAAGAAAAAGCCAACGATGTGATCTGTTCTTTATCAAGGGAGAAATGGGTGATTGGGTCTTGAGGTCATATGTCTGTATAAATTGACAGGCAAATGGCCACATCAAAATACATCAACATTGGCCACTGTCAGTTACATGAAGTAAAATATTGTATTCAGCTGAAACAACTCATATTTTTTTACATCACATCCATTTTTGTACGTACTTATTTGTTTAAGATGATTGCAGCAAAAAATGGGCCTGTGTGATCAAAACCAGACAAAAAACTTCACCTGATTCTTCAGAAATTATGCAAAGCGGCCATTCTTGTTATTTTAATCTAGTGAAAATGAATTGACAAAAGGCTTACTTGTAGCTATCCAAACAATACAAAAAACAACTGCCATCTGAGACTGAAGGTATGTATTGAATGAAATACCCTGCAAAGCATTTTGGCTCAGACTCGGTAAAAGTAAACGTGAAGTGGAGAGACAATTTGTTTCTAAGGCTGCCACGGCAAAAAGGTTTCACTTCTATCTGCCTCTTGTTTCACCGACATCCTGTCTCCATGACAACCATTTCCTGAGTTCATGGTTATTATGGTAATTATGGTAATGCGTTTTGGTTTAACTGCCGGCTTAAAATGCAACAACAGCCAGGCTATGGTTGCAAGGTAGTTGCTCATTAACAATGAAACATGAGCTAACATCTCAACTGAAGGGTTTTTAGATTGCATCCGACAATTGACTCAAAGCAGATATTCAAAAACAATAAAAGAGGAATCAGGTTGGCGTAGCAGTACTTTCCTCGCCTTCCACCATATGACGCGGGTTTGATTCCTGCCTGGGCTATGGACCCGTATCATGCTGCCACCATTTTAGTCATGTTCCCTGTATCCAATAACAGTACTGAATGATATTTTTTTGCGCAAAAAGGAACCAGACTATTTTTCCTTCCAGCCTCGCTTTGGTTACGTTGATTTGAACAGGAAAAAATCATGATGGCCATAACATGATAATGGTCTAATTATGCAGATTGGGTTTTCAGTCCCTGCCTGATTCCGTGGGTTTTCCTCAGACTATTCTTCTGGGGTTTTCCTCCCACCTCTAAAACTGTAATATCTTCACATTGTTTTCTATTCACTGGGCCCCATGGGAGACCAGTGGATTCCACTGAATGGGCTACCCAGTTAAAATAAGAAATAAATATAAACAAAATAAGAAATAAATAAATAATGTTCCCCCTTTCCAACAAAAGTGTGAGTCCTACAGAAACGATAACTGTACATTTAATTCAAAAGTTGTTTCTGAAATTTCTATATTCTTTCACTGGTCTGTTGTTGTATTTACTGTGCTCATAAATAAGAAAGGTATCCTCAATATGTGCATTTTCTTACACTCAATTTCTATGACGGTCTTAAGAATCTTTCAGATAAGTGTCAGCTTCATCACTCTGTGTCATACATAATTAATAAAATGAAGATTGTGAACGTTCTGCATGGCTGGCTATTAACACTAGAAGTTTGATGTTTAAGATCGGACTAACAGAGAGACATGATGATTTGTTGGGCTGCTATCCCGCAGCTAAAAACTCATTACTTGATTTCTGTGACTCTGTGACAGCATCGACACTCCATATTTTAAACTTTATTCATAAATACCTCAGACAGTTTAGCTATTCCTATTGGTCGAGAGCCCGTCACGTGGCCGGTCTTAAACGGATGATAAAGACATGGCTAGCTGGTCTTAAACACTTTTCCAGTGTCACAATAAAATGTGGACTCCTAAAAATCCAGTGCCTCTTATCGTTTCATTGGTTGAACGTTCACAATACTCACTTAGGCATGCGCAACACTACCAGGGAGTCAGAATTTTATAGTTCTAAATTCAAACCCAACGCGCCAGGTGCGTTCTGCGCGACATCGCGCAGAACATGATAAAACATGAACAGAGTGATAAAAACCTCCGCAGCACACATTTATTCCCTTAATAAACGGATGCTTGCTCTCTTGAAGCATGACTAAACATTTGTGGCATGCATCTCAAAATTACTTGCAGAATTACTTGCAAATCTTCTTTATTAAACATGGGAATAACAGGGTCTGGCAATCCACAAAGAGTCATCATAGGCAGAGATGTACAACACATGCTTCTGTGTGTATGGCAGATGTGTGCTTTCCATCAGTTGAAGGGGGGGGGGGGGCGAGGGGGAGAACGGGAAATGAATCATTGCTTACATGGAATTACCCAACACCCCTAGATACAGAGACCTGGAGACAACTCATGAGGATTGCCACGATACAAGAGCATGATACAATAGAAAAAACAAGGAAATAAGGCAAACTTCTTAAGCTGAATGGAGCTAGGTCTGGAGTGAGGCAGGTTGCAACAAAGTACCTGGAATATACCTGAATTTGAAGATTTCTCGGGGGTTATTTCTGATAAATTAATAAATTTCAGCATTATGAAAGGAGGTGCAATGTCCGTGACAGAGCCACTTAACCATGGTATTTAATTAATGATTCAGATAAATGATCCAAAAGTCCTAGTCTGCAATCTTTTATACTGTATACCCTTAACATGCTGCCACCATTTTAGTCATGTTCCCTGTATCCAATAACAGTACTGAATGACAATGCTTTTTGTGCAAAAAGGAACCAGACTATTTTTCCTTCCTGCCTCGCTTTGGTAACGTTGATTTGAATGGGAACAAATCATGATGACCCCAACATGATAATGGTCTATTACTACATGACGGATGGATAAAATTTGAAGAAAAAAAAAAAAAATTTCAGGTTTATTCACTGAGCTCTTTAAAGGTCTGTCACAGATTACATAATTTTGAAATTGCCCTAATACAAACCTCGTTAGGTTCACGCGTGATGAAGACGTGGCAATACTGGATTCCGACGGGCCCTTTAGGGTTACGAGAGAGGAAGGCAAATTGGCAGAAGTCGGGGTCACAGGTGGCATAGGAGATCCGCTTCAAGGCATGGGCCATAAGCGTCACCTGTAGTCACAGGAAAGAAAGAACAAAAGATACACTTGTGAAACAAGTGTTTGAAATCTTCTTTCAGGGGGTTACAAATATAAAGAAATTGAGAATAAGGCATTGCGAAAGAATGTAATATCCGGACGCCACTTCAGCGGTTGTGTGCAAAGTCTATGGAGAGTCAAAACAATTTCTAAGTATTTCCTTACAAATTCGAAATGTTTCTCAGTCCCAGATTCATGTCTTTGAAACAGTTTTGCAATGAACTGATCTTCACTGAGATGATATATGAAACAAAAAGTGGCGTCAGGTTGCAACATTCTTTCCAGGCATTGTATTATCTTTTATTAAGGTTAATGGACTTAATAACAGGTTTCAGAGTTATTCTTTCAGTTTTAAAATAAAACAGCCATACAATGAAGAACAGGAAGATAATTTATAATCAAAATAATGTCAAGAGCCAAATGACACAGAGCAACTTTTGTTTTTCATCATTAGCAACCCCAAATTGAACTGTCATTTCCTTTTGACAAGGAAGAAGGTGTACATTGGTTTGATGCCAGAACTCACAAATACTGGAAACAGTCCATGCACGCACTCGTTATTATACAATTCCCAAAAGGTTCTTTGTTTTCAAATCAGAAAGTTATTGCTCGCTGTTTTCGGTGGCTGTCCTTCAAGTTTGTGATACATGAAACCCTGAGAAATATTCCTGTATTGTTTTATGATCTGTTTTCAGTATAGAGGTATTGGTTTCATTTTGGACTTTAAAGAGTATAATAAAGCTTTTCAATAATCCTCATTAAAATAACTACATGTACCATGTATTAAAAGAGTAGTACAAGTACCCGTAACTTGAGCTTGGGATAATCTTTTGCGAATTCCAAGAACAGATGCCTTTTACACAAATCTTTGGGGCCAGAATCACACTAAACATGTCCAAAATTCATGTCCAACTGGAAGAAACCAAAAAGTCAGCGCAATTTTCCGATTCTTGCACTTGTCAAACGAAACTGCGCGCATAACATTGATTTGTTTCTGTACACAATAACAAACATATTTCATGAAGGTGTTGACAGTTACGACACGACTTAGTTGGCACTTGGGAATAGTTTCAATGTTCATGTCATAGTCCGTAATGTATAAAATTGCATCGACAGTACAATGATAGTCATGGGGAATTTGAACACCAACTAAGCTGTTGACAGAGCAAAAGCATTTGAATTCAACAACCAAAATGTGGACATATATGCTGTAAACATTTCCAAGTTTAAGATTTATGAATATACGAACACGTACCTTCTGAACAAAAGAAAAAAACCTTGTCCAGAAACAAAGGAATCATGTACTCACCCTCACTAAATAGATTTGTAAAACGTAGTGTAACCAACACACACGTTCAGTACGTATGGCATTTTGTGTACCGTACATTGCACGTAAAAAATATGCACTTGTTGGAAAAATGGACTTTGGACGCTTTCAAGTGCAACTTAAACAAATGTGTCAAGTTAATCTTATTTGTAAAAGCTTCTTCTGTTATTTCAAATGTCACGTTCACATTTTTGCAAAAACTAAAACCAACTCATCCGTCATTTGAACTAAACCTAAAATTGTCCAAGGACCACCAAGAAATTCCCAATAGTTTCTACTCCTGAGGGCTCGTAAAAAGGTGTGAAAACTCAAGAAAAAATTGAAACGAACCGGGAAAATTCCCTACTGAGGGAAACGGCTGTCAAAATTGTGTCAACACATACCGCAGGGGAGTCCTTAACCTAAACAGCAACCTACATGCATTCATAAACAATTTAGATATCATTGAGGCATCGCTCAAGTGTTCTGTTGATTTTTTGCAGGACTCTGTATACAACCTACGGACAGTTTGAAGAATCTGTGCTTGCAAAGGTTTAGTTTCAATCGCTTTGTTATTTATCAAATTTAGGCCGTTGTGGCAGATCGACAGGGTGGGGGTGTCGACAGGGGGGGGGGGGGGTTCAGTGGCACAGCCATGGGGGGGGGGGGGGGGGGGCCTGGGGAGGCACATGCTCCCCCCCAGGTGCCCCCACCAAAATACTGATAATGCCCCTTTTCCTTCCCAGCAACCAAAAATGGTTTTTGTAAGTTGTTTTTTTTCCCAGTTAGTCAAAGGCTTATACTGTTTACAATTTCTTATATTAATGGATATACATGTAGTGAGGCATTGTGGGGCCCAACTGAGAAAAACTGCAATAGGATGTTTGCGATATGTGCCCCCTGTGATATTCTGATGCCCCCTCCTGTGCCCCCTCCCCACTAAAAAAATCCTAGCTACGCCACTTGGGGGGGGGGGAGGGTGTTGCACAAATTTGGAAAATCATGCAAAACAACATAGCACATGTCTGTTGACCCCCAACCGAACCCCCCTTGACAGCTACCCTACTCCCCCCTCCCACTTGAGCCAGAGGTGGACCCGCCCCTGGGTGGTGTCCGAATTGCTTGTCTAGAGCTATCCATTTCGTAAGTGTGACGTCACTTCATCTTAACCGCATGCCACTACACATGGAGTAGCATTGAAACCATTGGAACCAGAAGTAATGCAAAGTGGCGTGTTTAGTCAACGGGCGCTCGTAATCAGTGGTATATGCACGTGTATGACGCAGTCACTTATGAACCGGATTGTCCAGGTTTTCATCCATTACAACTACCAGTATTTGGGAAAAAGCTGACAAGGTAGCAGTAGCCTTGGAAGCCTGTTTGGACACGGCCTATGTTTGTGAAGATGGGTCAACAGTGGAAATGATAATAAAGGACTGAAAAGACAGGTTCTTCCTGTTTGGTTTGTGGGATGTCTGGACTGACCACAATGGACAAATAGCCGGACGAGGAAGTAGTGACCATAATGGGCAGGTGGCCACATGGTTCATGTACAGGCGGTCATTGCATGGAAAAGTGGCCACCATGGACAGCTGATATTGATGGACAGAGGACCAAACTTCAGGAGCATTTGTTTGATTCACATGGACGGTGGCGGATCTACAGGACGGGTTCTACCCCCCTCTTCTTGGGCCACCCCCCAAAAAAGAGATAAGGGAAAAAATATACCAGATGGCTGTTTGACTGCTGAACACAACCCCCTCCGTTCCCCTTAAGCCAAACCTGGATCTGCCTATATATATGCATTAAAAGACTTCTTGTGCATTCACTGTTACTGAATTAAAGCCATAGTCCATCATTTGTAGCTATCCAAAAAGTAACTTGCGTAATTATTGTTGAAAAACATACTTGGTTGAAAGATAGTAAGGGGGACTAAACTCCCTGTGAAATTATTCTTTCTGGCAAGCTGTCATTTTGAAGTAATCAACGAAAGAAGGCCTTTCCAACGGTGCTTCTTAAGACGCACCGTAGGAAATCTAAATTAGTAGTTCGTTTTGTTATTCGGCGAAGCGCGCGCAAGCATTGACACGACGCACACGTGCGCGCGGTTGCTATAACTCGTCGGATCAGTGCGCGACATCGCGAAGCTGCAATCGGCTCAGTGAGAACGTGTATCGGATGCTGAATTCAGGCCCAATTCAAAACATGATTCAGCAACTTTTGATTTAAAATTGAGATTCTAGAATGCTGTTTTTCTCTGGATAAACAGCTGAAGCTGAGCTGAAACTTAATCAGGTTAGTTGTTCAGTATCCTTCTTTAGATTTTGAGCACTTTTGTTGCTTCAAACGAACAAAATGCACAAATAACAAATGATGGACTATACCGGTACCTTTAAAATAACAAAACACTTTCAAGAGTGCTTCAGGATGCAAAGGGTCTATTTGTGTACATCCATATATTCATTTAAAAATGTGCTAGTTGCAGTCACAGATGGGTAGTCACATTGGTCACGTAACCATAGTCAACAGCAAAATCTATACACCGATTTCAACAATGCTATCAGAACAATACCGTTGGGGATTATTAGCAATGTTTTCCTGGGTGGTTAGAAATTCCATGTCCATGCACATTTAGCTTGAGTATGACGCATCTTTCTGCACAATATCACATTACATTTAAATCTGCAGAACACGTACATTTGAACAATGACTACACAGGACTTGTACCAGATGGGTTAGGAGTCAAGTTTGTGTTCCCCAGAGCTGAGTGTTTATGATGGACGATGACTCAGAGAGAAATTTATGACTTGGGTACAAAATCTCTCATTCACGTCTCCTCTCATAAACACCTGTTTTCATATTGAACTCGTTTCCTGTGACAGGAACATTCATAATGAGGTTGATAGGGATTTTCTTTGTCATTTTTTTCTCCAACTAGACAGAGAAATGGTGTAAATTGTTCATTAAAAATGTGGTTTTAGTTTTAGCACTTGTATTACATTGTTCCTTGTTATTAATACCATAGCATGCTGGGGCAGTTTTGGAACGGTATTAAGGAGTAAAATTCAAGGCCCTTTAGGGCACTAGAAACACCAATGAGTTAAAACTTTCCTTGCACTTTTATAAGGTACAGGAAAATACTACTTGATGATACTCTCATCGGCAATTATGCCCAGCTTCATGCGTAATCAAAAGAGAAAAATTGTTGGTTTTAAGAGTGAATCTGTTCCCAAATGAGAACGGGTAAGAATAATAGGTAGAATGGCTACATTAGTATGTACCTGTTGATTTTCAGGATCGTAGACCTTGATACCTGAGAGTGAGATGAAGAGTGATACAGGTCGAGATTTCTTCGGATTCTGCAAGACAACCAGAAAAGTAAACCGTGACATGGTACACCAGTAAGAAATATGGCACAAAAATGGATAAATATACAAGATATGAGGAAACATTTCAGCAAATAAAGAGGCAAGCCAATTTTTACCGCTGCTCGTGACAAACAGAGCTATCCATAAACAGTGAAAAATACTAGATAGGTAAAAGCAACTAGCCCCAACATCCCCCCGTAGAGCATAGGTAGAGGCTCTACGGGTAAAACGAGCGCTGTAGACTTGCATTGTAAATCTTTAATTTTCTTTGCAAAAATCTTGTATGTTGAGTACAAAGAAAGGCTGCAAATGGGTAATGTTATTTGTAAGAATACATCCCTGACAGACTGAAGTTGTGTGTAGATGTACCTGGAGAGACTGAAGCTGTAGTCGCACAAACTCAGCTCTGTTGCTTGGTTGTAGATGTGCCACAGAGAAAGATCCAACATACTGCAAAAAAAGGTGAAAAATTAGGTTAAATATTTTGTCTTCAGGATTATTCTGCAGTTTAAGGTTAATGACTAAAATTGGTTGTCATCTTCTTGAAATGCATTAAAAACAAATATCAAAGATACCAGTACAATGGCCAGTTCAGCAATTGCACAAAATAAATAAATAAATAATAAATAACAGCTTGGGAGGGGCTCAAATTTGAAAAAAAAAGGTGATATGTCTGTTATATGTAATTATGCATGCTTACAAACTACATTGGAAAAAAAAAGCTTTTCGTAAATACGTAAGTACCAGATATCACTCTAAATGAGCAAAACTACATAATGAATTTTTGCTTCACCATATTTTTAGGAGTTGTCACAATCTGACCAATATCTTTAGTTTCCTTTCTTAAAATTTGTTTTTCCTTATCACTGAAATTATCTGTAGTTTAAGACTTACATGTTACTCTATACAGTTTTTTTTACAATAAAGGTAAATTTATCATATGGATAAACTTAACTTTCAACCAACATACATGTATTTGTGATTTCAATGTTATTTCAAGTCTGCCTTCAAATACTCAGATACTACAGCAACTCATATGGTATTTTAATATATTTCTCAATTTTACAACTTGTTTATTAAATCCAGGGAATAATGTGAGGAATATTGTGACCTATCCTGATCTTTGCTCGACCCAACAACTCATCAAGATCGCGCCTAGCCTCCAACTGTGAAATCTCTGGGTGTAACGCAACGAGACGTGAGGCATCCAATGGAATACCAGCATGTCAGCATTGACAAGGCATAACGTAATGACTTGATGAATCCAATATTCCAGCAACCAGACCCCCTCCCGGCTTCTGATATGACCGATGGCCCGAATGACGCGATCTTGCGTCAGATGTCAAATGATATATCAGGAGTTTGGATTTTGGAAAGGCTCTCCGAGGATTTGAGTCAAGTCATCATATGGATACATAGATGTAGGCCTATAGGCTTATATTTAAAAAATTCAGATGACAAAAAAAAGTTTAGTGGATTATTTTCACACATGTACAGTGTATCACAAACCCAAACATTTAGGCCTACTTGGTCCAAAAACACACCCGGATCAGAAGGTAAATTTATTTCAAAACATCTTGAGGATATTCTTTTGAATTTTTTTTATCAAATTGATTTTTAAAATCATCATCAATTTAAATGGAAGACACTTTCTTACACTTGATAAGGGGATAATCCTAAATTTGAGGGGTCATATTACGAACCATATATCCACTCCATTAAAGGGAATATACAACATTTGCAAACATTGGAAAACAAAACTACAACATTTTTACGAAATAGCTTACTAGGATGTTGGTAAATGAAAGTCTAATGCATCCTGTAAAATTATGGCACCTGGGGTGAAGTCATTTCCAAGAAAAGTGGTATTTTGTATAAATTTCCAACGGTGGTCGGCCAACCACCGTTGGAAAAACCTAACTATTTTTCAACTACTGCTCCAAATTTACCATTTTTTTCAGTCCAAATTTTGTTTGCTATTGGTTACATGTTCATGAACGGGTGCAGGCCAGCTAGACTGGTTTCCTTACCATACAATTTTCCGGCATCTATAAATTGATTCATTTCATCTTTTGTGGAGTCAGGGAACCAGACTACTTGAACATTTTTGTTTTTCTTGGTTTTTCCAGGATTTTCGAACACAAAACTTCAAACTTGGCAGTGTAACAATATTTGATCTATTATACTAACCCCTCAAATAGTTCATTTCTGAAAATAACAGCAAAATCCAATGATGTACATTCCCTTTAACTGTTTTAAAACCACAGATATTAATAGGAACAGTATTTCAAACATGTATCCTGACCTAAGCTTGAAGGTAAATATTTCACAAGGTCAGGTATCCTACTATCATCCCTGAGTGAAAGCTCCTGTGGTGAATGATTGCCAGGAGCAAGCGATCTGCTTGAGTTTCACCTTGGCCTAATGCACAGGGGGTGAGGATAATTGGTGGGCTGATTAAATGGCTGATGTTGCCTGATCCTGAATGACATACAAAGCCAATACAGTCAAACCCTGAAAAGAAGAGCACTGTTTCAACATCTTGCTTGTGACATAGAGCATGGAGGAAGGAATCCTTGCTCTATGCTTGTGACAAGGAACTGTTGGGCTCCAAGTCTTTATGTTTCTGTGTTTTCATTTGTTTGTCATACTGAGTGATAATACAAGGTACCTGTTATAACAAGGTAATTTGTCAAGTCCCAAGGACCTTGTTATAAAGGTGTTCCACTGTATGTTGAACAACAGCATTTCAAAGGGTGACTGTATTGACTGTTCATGTACAACTGACCATGGAGGAATCCTCCATGAACTGAGGTAGTGTGCAAGTATTCAGCACACTCAGCCAACACACAGACATAAATGGATACATGTACATGTACCGTACATGTACAGTAGGTGTGAATTGTGCCAGTACACGTTAATGTGTAAATTTATGTGCCTACCGGTACTTTTGATTATGAAGACTTGAATTTAATGAAAAAGGCTCTTGTGTGTGAATGTGATGGATGCAGGTTACAGAATGTTGCCATGAGTTATTGTTCTCTTGGGAAAGATGGTTGGGTGGAAGGGGGGGGGGGGAGGGATACATGCTTGGATTCATGCATTCTAAAGAAAGACATCCTACATGTAGTGTTTTACACAGTTGCAGAAAGTTTATCTTGTTAAGAAGGCTAGAAATACAACTTAAAACATTTTATTTAAGGCAACAAGTTGAGCCAGGCCATGCCTCTTGGATACTGTGCATACAGGTATGAACTCTACGTTAGTAAGCACACAATACCAGACAACGAGAGGATGACCACTCATTGTTGCATTGTTGACAATTCACTACAGACATGAGTCACAGGAACACATCAGACAGTGCAGATGTTTAAAGCCATCACTTTGAACATTACTGAACACAACTGTGACAACTTAATGGTTCAACCTGGCAGTGAAATTAGGGAGAACTGGAACTGACAATAGGAGAGTCAGGTTGGCGTAGCGGTACTTTCCTCGCCTTCCACTGCTGTGACCCGGGTTCGAATCCCGCCTGGGCCAATATGTGGATTGGGTTTTCAGTCCCTAGTACCTGATTCCGTGGGTTTTCCTCAGAATATTCTTCTGGGCTTTTCCTCCCACCTCTAAAACTGTAATTTCTTCTCATTGTCTTCTCTCCACAGGTTTCTTCAGGCTTGCGAGCTACAGTGCATAGGGCACTTTTGAGGAATCCTTGGTTTCATTACCAGAAATGATTTATAATAATAATAATAATAATAATTATTCATGAACTGGGTTTGAATCCAATTTGAGGCCAACGTTTCCATCGATTCCAAAGTATGACTTGTCAGGGGTTTTTCCTCCAGTTTGTACAATTACACATTTCCTGGACAATTGCTCCACACAAATCAAATTTTTTATTTCAAGCCACTGACTAATAGTGCCACACAGACAATGCCCTCAGATTAGGGTGGGGGGGGGAGAGAGTGCTTTTTGGGGGTAATTTTTTTTCTAAGTCCCACGATTTTACCTTGGTGATTATGTATGTGGCCTTTTTTCGAGCAGTATATTACAGGTATAAGTGGCACCACCAATGCCAAAATAGTTCGCCCCCTCAAAAAAACCTCCAATTTTTTTCCGCGGCCAAATATTTTGGGCAACATTTTTTGAAAAAAAATGTGAGCCCCCCCCAACCAAATCCTGGGTGCGCCACTGCACCCCACGTTGGGGTAGGGTAAATGGATAAACACAGCTCTTTCAGGACAAGCTATGTATACACATGTAGCTCTACATTTTGCAAAGTGCACGTCGTACTTTTATCAATGCTTTTTCCAAGCTTATCCAACCAGCTTTGTACGTGGCATTGAACCACCGTTCATGCACAGCATGCACCATCAATACCCTCCGATTCAAAACCCGTCTCAGTTTCTGCTCTTTCCTCTCAAGTCCTCCGCCGTCAACCAATCCAACGATAGCATGAGGTCCTTGACAGCCCGGCAGGCCTTATAGAAACAAAATGACTCACTAGGCCCGGTTGGGGAAAAGGAACTGAAACCCTAAACTCAATCTCACACTAGGAGAGGACAGTACCTGATGAGAATGTGAAAATGGTATAAAGATTCGAGTACGCTGCTCGTATCTCCAGGTTCATGAATATCCACGGCAACTGTTTTGGTACACGTTAACGATTTGACCCTTGGGATATAGACAGGTGGGGAATCATTTCTTGATTTAGAGGTGTTCTGCAGTCATCAGGTTACATGCTTCATTGGTTGAAGATTTCAATGTGTTTTTCAATTTGTATGCAAACTGTAGGCCTATTTAGTTAATGAACAAAACCAAAACTACTTACAGGTATTGATTTGTAAACTTCAGATTTTGTTTCATATACGGTACACTTTATATTGAAAGCGTAACATTTCTCTGATATTCCTTAGCTTATACTGACTGTAAAATTGACAACTAATGCACAAAAGGTCTACTCAATCCCATCCCAGCAGTGCAAAAAAACTGCCCTCTAAAATGGCCACTATGCAAAATGTCTATCGCTAATTGAATGTACCTGTTGTGCCCATTCTTGAAAATCACGCATTCTCGAGAATGGGCATGCACATTCTTGAGAATGTGCAACTGGATCCTTGCTCAATCTTGGCAAAAAATAACTCTTCCAGATTGAGCGCACATTCTCGAGAATGCGCGACAAGATAACGGTCTTGTCGATGCCGAGCACCGGCTGCGCTTGGCAAGTCTAGCTGAATCCCCGTTCACTGATTCTCAATAATTATACTGTTGCAACGCAAGGCGCTGAAAAGTAGAGTGGATATGATAAGTAAAGGCGTATTAATATGGGGGGGGGGGGGCCGGGAAAATATAAGAGACATAATAATACTAGTGCAAAGAATTCTGATTTTTGGAATAATAAAAGCGGGGGGGGGGGGGGGGGGGGGGACGTAAAAATGAAGAATGTGAAGAATGAGAATGAATACTGCGACATCCCATGGTGCTAATGCTATTTCCCATTTAAATTGCCACCAATTTATTGTTCACATCCCACCATAACGTCGCAGAGCTGGATTCTATCTAGTCAAAAGAGCAATTTTGGCAGCTTCTGGACATCGTTTTTTTTCGTGGCACGCATATGATACATGCAGGGACTTGTAACTTGTCTAGCCTAAACAAAGCACTTCCCAGACTAGTTCCCAGTCCTCCGTTATTACAAAACTTTTCATAGTGGGCAGAAAAAAGCATAGCACATTTTCTTTCCTCTTTATATGAATTGTTTCCCTTTTAACCGCTATACAATTCATTTAACATAATTATGTCGTGCAATGTTTGTTAAGATTGGGCAAAATTCATAAATTGTGCACGTGATATTCCCACCCAATCTTAAGAATGAGCGCTCATTCTTAAGAACGCGTGCTCGTTCTTAAGAATGGGCGCTCATTCTTAAGAATGCGCGCCCATTCTCGAGAATGTGCATGCCCATTCTCAAGAATGCGTGATTTTCAAGAATGGGCACAACATACCCAGTACTTCTGACACCTTAATTATACATGTACAGGTCCAAGAATAAGTTGGAAGTGAATTGGATATAAGGCCAAAAAAAAATAGTCGGTCTCTGGTCAGACCGAAGTTCCAGAATTGATGCGGCGACGCGGGTTTTTTTTTTTTTTTGGTGGCTTTTTTTTTTTCAAGCTTGTATTGTACAGACAAAGTGGGTACTATTTTGCTTTTTTGTGTCCTCATTATACATGTACATTGGTGTCCTCCATAATTTGCCTTGGTGCCCTTTATCATTTGCCTTGGTGCAATTTCCCCATTCCTTGGTGCTCCTTGGTACAACAATTTGAGGAGGCGCAGCAATAGAGGGCGCTGTTGTAGCTTCCGTGTTAATTTGAAGAAGAAAAAAGGTTGACGCGCATGATTAAAAACAACGCGCACGCTGACCAGAGACCGAGTATTTTTTTTTTGGCCTAACACTGGTGCCTGCAAAATGCACAGGGGTTGAGCGACACCTGCCATGGTGCCATATACAGCTTGATATTGTGTGAAGAAGAAATGAATAAATAATACTTCAACAGATGGTCAACTGGGACTAGTGTAACTGGGGCATTGTGAGAGAAACTATCCAAGCATGATAAAACTCTAGACCAGGATAGAAAAGTGTATGTATACATTACATAGCCTACTAAGAAACTTGGTAATTGGTATCATAGGCCTACATCATTTGTAAATTTTACATTTTCTGTATTGAAGTACAGTGTACACCTAGTCCGAAAATTTGGGACTCTCAATACTGTGTATGAGTATACACCTTGCATGCCTGTGATCTCTATGTCTATCATCATGAATTCAGAGAAATAAATAAAACTGTTATATGCCCTAACAAGACCACAATCCATTCCCAACTAAAGTTTTCTACATGTAGTTGGAACACTTCAGTCCTGATGATTTGAAAATCACAGGTTAAAAAAAGCACACCTGGATTTTTTTAGGCGTGTGATTTTTCTAGGCGTGTGATTTTCTAGGCGAGTTATTTTGCTAGGTGTGTGATTCTAAGGTCAAGCTGGGATATATTTCATAATATTCATCTTGGTTTACAATAAAGGCTTTCTTTCTCTTCACTGACATACTTTATTTTTCACAAATTATGAAGTAAAATTATGCTGTAAATGTATGCCGAGGTGTGCGGTACTGAGGGATTCAGGCATGCGATTATTTGCACTTCTCGGGAAACTTTTAGGCGTGTGATGGCGTGGGGGTGCGATGGCACGCCTCAAAACAGAAGGACTGCACTTTTGTTGGGACTGTCCAAGTTGGGACATTCCTAACTAAATTTGGGACCACTGGTCTGGCTGGGGTGCAAAAACACCACTAATTTTATTGATTTATTTTGGGTTAAGAGCAACATGAGAACTTGGCAGATGGCCAGAAATTATGCTCTACGTCCTCTATAGTCAAGATTTTCATCGGATCTTAAAGTATACAGAATATGTTTTTCTCATCACTTCCTGATTTAATATAAACGTGTTTGTTCGTGTGCATTAAAATAACACATATTTTCAAGAGTGTGAAATATTTTTAAAAAGTGTTAAATAATTGAACTGAACACTAAAAGAATAATTAGCTTATCAAAGAGAATGGGCCACTAACACAGTATACAAAGTTCACCTGTTTATTATTACAGGACGGTTTGGGAAATTTTCAGATGTAGGAACGGAAGGATTTTCGATAAAATTGGAACTAAGCAGGATATGAGAGTTCATTAAACGTAACACATCCTTCCCTTGGGCAAAACATTGCTGATAACAAAAATCTGAAAAAGTTGAAGCAAAGTAAGGCCTTCAGAAAGGTCCTTTATTAAAATACAGTAATCCAGCTTGACCCCATTAAAATCCTTTAATTCAAGAGGTGTCAATGGGACTTTTAGCAATCATGAACGTGTGGCTTTACCAGTAAGTGCAGATATAGGCCCTATACTGAACATTCAATCTTTTTTAAGCATAGAATAGCACAACAGACACGCTGTTCTTGTACAAAATAAACCAAGCCGGAAATCTGGATCTCGAGCAAAACATCTGCGAACAAAGAGCTATGGACTGACCATTGGTGGGATCAAGGCATCTGCTAGTATTGATCAGGGTTCATCTTTGTCCCAGATTACCACGCTTAATACTTTGCAGAGGGGTGTACAATGGGTTGTACAGGCGTACATGTACATGAATTATATGCCGTGTAATCCAGGAAATGACAAACATGAAAAATTGAGTTGGTGTTTATGACTTGGCAAAGTATGTACTGTTGCGTATTATGTACAATGTACAATGAACGTTAACATATTGATGAAAATAAGTGTAGGCTATGGAGCGCAAATTAGCTGGTGTAGAATTAACGTGCATCATCAGCTTCTTGGAACTTTAGAGAAGTGGGAATCACATTTCAGGCTTGAAAATGCAAATGAGTAGCAAACGGGTAATGTTGGGATATGATTTTTCAACAAAAATGTGAATTTTATGTCACACACTTTAAATTTTCAAATGGCCAAAGTTCATTATGCCTTTCCATTTGTTGATAGTAAACTAAATTTAGGTAAGAAAATGTCCTTTAAAATCAGGTGTTTATTTTAACTGAGGTCACTGAAAGTTTTAAAAATCTTGTTTTTTTATTTTTAAAAATCAAAATTGAAGATACTATACTAGACAGCTTAACATCTCATTTACTGGTATGATACGAGAACAATGACGAAATATTTTTGTCCGCAAATTCACTATGCACACAAATATGGTGTACATATGGGCACCAAAAAAAATTCTATGAATTTGAGCATTGAACAGCTGGTGCATAAAATGGGCCATAGTTGTTGATCGCTGAAGCGTGACATTATTGCACAATGGAGCATGGATGGACGCCTTGCTATGGGAACAAAGGGCAGGATTCCCTAGGGCACGTGGTTTACGAACCTTGGCTGTTTTTGATACTTCTTTGTTGCGATTATATCAGGTTTACGTGAAATTTGATGTGTTTGTGCTAACTTGGTTCATTTGGGAACAACGAGAGTAAATAAAAGTGCTGGGGTTAAAACATCTTATGATATTCATGAGGTCATGTATGGGTGCCGTTTGTTTGGCTGATTCTTTGACTTTTAATAATGTGATTGTGAAAGTAAACAAGCTTTGTTCGGTGAAAGCCATCATAAATTCACTCATACGCACCTTTTAAAATGCACCGTTGAAGAAAACGATCACTTCATAAATTTATACTTTTAAATAAAAATAATAAAGCATGTTATTTTTATGAGTACGCATTTAGTAGAAGACTGAAATGCTTAAATTCAACTTTATCAACAAAGATCTAGATCTATGCAGATTGCAAAAATGTGTAACAGTTGTTAAACTTTAATAAATAGACATTTTAAAAATAAGTCCATTTAATAGTAGGGCACCAGTAGGCCTACATGTACATTATAGATCTTATAATGAAATATCCGGGATTTTTTTTCAGAGCTACAACACACACTTTTAAGTGTAGGACTAGTATTAAGTTATTATTAAAAAAATAAATAAACATATTAATGCAATAAAATTAGTTAAGGCCTACTACTACTACAAGTCGTAGTAGTAGGCCCTACTGTGCGGAAAAAAACTGTGGTTAATTGAGGAATAAACGTAGAACCAATTATTAATATTGTGGCTTTTAATAATCGAAACGATTCTTTAAAAACTATATTAAAAAACACTTTTACATACAATCACTTAACTAATTTGTAAAATAGCCAAAGTAGCACCGTGTTTAACTCATATATCTTCGGATTTTAATAAAAGTAATACAAATCCAATCAACTAATTTATAAAAATCAAAGTCTTACTCACCTCACATGCTTTAATCACCCCTTTCGAACTCCACTCCTCCGCGAAATCTCCGCCGCAGTTTTGTCCGGCAGCGCCCGCCGCGCCTGAGCGTGGGCCGCCCGGTGAAGGCACGGGGCTTCCTCGTAGTCTCATCCCCGCAATGCTGTCAGGATCGGGCTCAGAACCATGCGAAGAGCTCGAACTCGAAGCGTCGCTCAACAATCGGGCCCTCCGTTCTAAATAACTGGCTCTCTTTTTGCCGGATAAAAGGAGCCTACTCTCTTCCTCTGTGGCCACTCTGCTTCCTCTGCCGTTGAACATGATGGTAGCGGTTTGGAAACAGGGGAAATACTAAAGTCAAAGTTCTACCAAAGTTCGATCATCCTGTTGTCCTTTTCAACTAGCATGACTAGCTTCGCATTGGCGCTGGCAGGCGTGCACTGCACACTGCACGCAATGCATCATGCATACTGTAATACTGCAGCCGCATCACGAACGTACTAAATTCCCCAGCGGATTTTGTTGTCTTACGTCACTTCCGGAATCCCACTCTCCGCCACTTATCAAATATAACTTGTAGTTGATGGCAACCGATGCGGCCGCGCAAGTGTACTCTATTTTTGTTGCCAGAAACTACACGATAAACAACAGATGGGGGTTGAAAGTAGGTCATAAACATCGGTCCTACTAAAGCGCGTCAACAAGCGTCAACAAGCGTCAACAAGCGTCAACAAGTTTTAGTAGTCGTTAAGTGCGCGTCAACAAATTTTTTATAGGCTTTTGAACAATAAAAACAGCTTTATATGGTAGAAAAAGCAATAATGAACATCTTCTGTATATCAATTAAAGTTAAAATTACTTAAAAAGTGGTTTTCCAGCACGAAATCTACGACGGGTTTTTCGGTTTAGTATTGGCCGCCATCTTGTTTGAGATCTACATACTACGCATGCGTGGAGTGTATCATTCACACATAGGGGTTTCTTTATACTATACGCTTTGCGAAACCTCGTTTGGTTTTTGCATTGGGATTTTTTGGCAGACATTGTGAACCGTGTCAGTCGGCATATTTTTCAAATAATTAGCCAAGTACCGTGACCAAGTTTTGCATAATTTATAATTGAAAAAAAAAATAGTTGTCCTAATTTCTTAATAAACGAGGTATCGCTAAGCATATCGTATAAAGAAACCCCTATGCGTGAATGGTACACTCCACGCATGCGTAGTATGTAGATCTCAAACAAGATGGCGGCCAATACTAAACCGAAAAACTCGTCGTAGATTTCGCGCTGGAAATCCACTTTTTAAGTAATTTTAACTTCAATTGATATGCAGAAGATGTTCATTATTGCTTTTTCTACCATATAAAGCTGTTTTTATTGTTCAAAGGCCTATAAAAAATTTGTTGACGCGCACTTAACGACTACTAAAACTTGTTGACGCTTGTTGACGCTTGTTGACGCGCTTTAGTAGGACCCATAAACATAGGTCATAACAACTTCCTTGGATTCAAAATGGCGGCCTCCAGTGCGGTATAAACTGTCTAGTTTCGGCGGAATTGCGGGGGAAAATTCAAGGAGATCAGACTTATGCAGTTGGTAACAGAGGATTGTAATTAATCATGCTTCTTTTTCTGTATTTATTAAGGTCAAAATGGGCCGTTCTGTACAGCATTCCTTGCCAAATAATGAGGATCAACCTCAACTTGAACTTTGAAGTTCACGACACAAAAAAAATGAACGAGCGTCGGTATTTTTTCTTTCGCAGTGGCTATTGTTACGGCAGCTGTAACGCCATTTTCAGCTGCTTCGTTATGGCATCGTCTGGTCCTGACCTTGGACCTGGTGGAAAATGTCAGGATCTTTGACTGTTGGAACCAGACTGTCATTTAACTGAGTTTGGACCTTATTTCGCTTTAAAAAAAAATTCTCCAAAGCTACGGATTACGAAAAGAAATCTACTTAAATATAAAGAACGATTTGATTAAAAACATGAAAGTAAAGAAAACAATGCACTATTTAAAAAAAACAAAATGAGCAGCGCGCTAGCGCGGTAGCGAATTTGAACCCAGATCCCCAGTATAGTAGTCAAACGTACAACTATAACAAATCGAGCTTTCGAAGCATTCTGGTTGGACGGGTAGTTCTAAATAATTATAGATGCACAATGGTGATTTTACAATACCGTAATGGCGTAAAGATAGCAGTTGAAAAATGCTATCATTACGGCTACCGTGCCACTACGTTGGGTTTTTTGTGCATAATTGTTAAGACACTCCTGTGAGAAGATGTTTGGTTAAAAAAAAAACCGATTTGGTTGGTTGTGAACCTGACGTTCCGATCAGTGTGCTCTGATTGTCATCAGGAGAAACTCCAACGTTGAATATGTCCGACATTTATTGAACCAAATGGTTCTCGGACTTTACTTCCCTTAAGAAAAATCTTTCAGAGCCATGAATAAAAAAAAAAATTAGTTTAAAAAAATAGGATTTGATTTACACTACAGTAAAGTAAAAAAATACACTAGGGCATTCAAAATGCACATTTATCCTATCATCTCAATTGCTGTGGGACTTTAAAACCACATATAGATTGGCAATGTTATGTTGCCATTCTGTAACTATAACAAAGTTAGCTGTTGAAAACTTGTTACGGCTTCTATAAAAATAGTCACTTTGTTTTTATTTGGGAGTTAGCCAAGGTAGTTCAATACATGCAAGTTCTTGACATCATTCCCATTCATTATGATGTCCTTGGCAGGTTTAACTTAGTTTCTGATAGACTTTTCCTCACTTACTGACTGCCACATTTCCACTTTCTTGTTCCCATAAAGATTAAAGAAACCAATGACCAAGGATGAAAAACGAGGATGAGAAAGTCATTGAGCGTCTTCCCTTGGAGCACCCCCTCCCAGAGGAGATTCAGAAGATGGAGAAAGATGAGACGGTCTGTCAGTTTTGTGGCGTCAGTTATCTGATCCATCGAGAAGTCAAGGCATTGGAGGATCAGGTCAGTTGAGGGCATGGTAAAAGTTATTGGCCCCCCCCCAAAAAAAAATATGTCCGCCCCCGAAAAAATTCAAATGCCAAACAAATCTTCCATGAATTAACAAAAATTAAACAATTATTTGTACAAGGAATGAATGTTTGTGAGCGCAATGGTAACTTTAATTTCATGAGGTGACAGAATTGCCTTGTGGAATGGAACATTCCATCTGACATCTCATGAAACTATTCTTTCCATGGCAGGAATGTGAAACATTCATTATTTGTTTTATAGAGTACTGAAGTGAATACATCACACGCACAATTATGTGTGTATAAAGACATAAGCGCGTGATTCAGCCTGTGAACCAACACGTGCATACTCCATTCGTTTCCACTACACTTCCCGATTCAAAATGACGTCACACTTAGGTACTCTATACAACACCTGAATAAATGCTCGTCATCTGATTGGTCAAATCGAGCCACCAAAACTATGACTGTGCAATGGAACTTCCGTTAACCATGGACTGGAACTTTTGTTTTTGCCGTGCTGCCGCGCAGTACATCTGGACAAAATAATTCAATGGTGATCAACGACCCACCAATCAGATAACGGAGATTTATTCAGGCGTTGTATAAACCACAATAAATAAAGACAGTCCAAGCATAATCCAGAAATGGAAAGTGAATGGTACACAAGGCGTAACATTTAAATTTATTTCCTAATGGACTTTTTCTGTTTTACTTTGTTTTTGATTGACTCACTGGGAAGCATTGTTTTCAAACTCGCACTGAATATTAGTAGTCTCGTTAATACCTGCTTTACAAACCCAAAACTGGCAAAGAGCTTCTGCTATAAAGTAACAGTAAATTTATGTTCTTGTGAAATTGGACTTCCATCCCCCAGCAAATACTTTCTCTCCATAATCTAGCTGAAGCACAATGTATCTTATTTATTGCATAATAGCTTGAAAAGGTACGTGAGGAGTTGGCGCGATATGAAGGCAGTGAAGAGCGAGAACAGAAACTCAAGGATGAGTTGGAGAAAACCAGGAAAGAGAAGGATGCTGCCATCTTCACAACCCAAGAACGTGACAAATCGTAAGGAAGACATAAATCGTCTCTCACCATTTTAGCTTACAAACACAATGTATACAATTACGTGAAGTGTGTGCTGAATTAAACTAGTGTAGATGACATCATCAACATGTTCATTCATAAATTGTGCACATTTTTCTGTAGTATCCAAGGTTTAATGGAGGAGGTAGATCATAAAAACACGGAGCTGAAAGAGTTGGCAGAATCCAAGAAGACTCTTCAAAGTAGACTTGAGGAGGAAGAGGAAACTTCAGAAAAACTGAGGTAAGTTTTAATTATAACATCGAGTAATATTTTTATATTAGTAATAACAGTTCACATGCAGTCAAAATTCCACCAACTTTATACAACATGAGCCTTAAAACACGGAGATATTAAATCATTTTGGTTTTATCTCTTTCAGGAAGCAGCAAGAATTCTGGAAGACGAGATTACCCAGCGTCAATTCGGCTGTTCAGCAACAGAGATCTGAGCTGCAGAACATCCACACTTTCATTCATCAAATGGGGAAAATTGTGACGGAATCATCCAATAAGCTGAGGCATACTGTCCAGACAGTGTGCTCACAAGAAGCTAATGGTAACTTGCAGTTTCCTCAAAAAACAATTTGTGTAAGACAAAAGAAGTCCGTAAGGTGTAAACTCGATGAAAGTTTGTACATACATACAGTGAGCCTCTTTCTTCCTTCACTTGTAGTTATTGTGAGACTAAAAGACGAAGTATCCAGACTTGAAGAAGAGAGAACCTCTTGGCAGAACGGCCAGGGTGGCATGGAGAGAAATCTAAGGAATGCCCGGGCAGAGGTGGAGAGACTTACGCAAGTTGAGGGACAACTCAAACAGAAGGAGCAGAAATGCTTACAACTCACGTCACAGATAGAGAGTAAGGAGCCAGTTTTATCCTCATTTATTACATCCGAATCTATACAGTGGTTAAAACACTGAAATCAGTTTCCAAGCACAGCATCTCAGTGATTGCCCCCCCAAAAATTGCAAGCTACCTTAGGTTAGTTTTGTACCCAAGCCCTTCTGCTTGCTTGTGCAGCGGGCCGACGTTGACCTTGAACCTTTTACAGCAGCAGCACGGCAATCAATGACATCCATTTTCAGATGTCATTGATGACATCTTCGCATTTTGTTGCATAACACTGTCAAACGGCATATTGTACATCTTTAATTGTCAGGATTAGAAACGGAATTGAATGAAGCTACTACGAAGCAAAGAACGTTGAGCACCGAGGCAGCCGAACTCAGAGGATTACTGAAGTAAGCTTCACTCTAATTTCATTTTTGGAAACTTTTCCTGTTATTATATCAATGCGCTCCTCCAAATAGAATCCATGCGAGGACAAGGAACAGAGGTTAGCGCTGCTATGAAGTATACAGTCTTGCACGCATCATGCGATTGTCCTTAGGAGTGACACACTGCTTTATAATAAGCCATTTGCGAGTTAAATCTGAATTAAGTTTGGAACGCTGACTTAATCCAATGCGTTGCACTTTTAACTTTGCATTCTCCCGACCAAAAAGACTGTTACTATATCATGTGATTCAAGGCAAGCCTTATGCCAGCAACCCCCAGCTCTGGTATGGTCTGGTGACTATGTGCCATTCTCACCCATTGTGAACGATGTATTGGTGGTGAGCGTCTCTTACATAACTATGCAAGAGCTTGCCCTGAATCATGTGATTAGCAACAGTGTCTTTGGTCTGGAGAATTCAAAGTTAATATGTGCCAAGCATTCTGAGCAAGTCAGTGTACCAGATGTTTTTCAAATTTAAATCTCAAAGGGTGTAGGTCACTCGCAAGTCACTTATCAATATTCAACTACAGACATTGAGATTGTACAAATGCAACCTGCGAATTACTATTTATGCTTGATCTATCCAAAAGTTAGTAATTTTACGTATTTACATTAACTGTGAAGAGTCACTCACCCGTACTTGGAGGTTTCCCTACCTGGTGGCACCGTCAGTTCCCAATGTCAGGTTGATAAATCTTAAATCCAAATATCCATCTCTCTATTTTTGTGACACAGGAGCAAGACACAGGAGGTAGAGGACCAGCAGACACAGCAGAGAAGAAAGGAACAGATCTCTGAACAGCTGTCCTCCAAACTGCAGCACGAACTCAAACAGAAGAGCAGTGAACTGCAGGTGAGCAGAAATCTCTCCTTGAATCAAAGGGTTTCCATGGTCATCTGAAGTCTTCCATGTAATTCAGCTTGGATTGTTTCTGAGATGAATTGAAAAAATGAAGATCTTTGTAATCCACAGTGTCACTTGAACCTTACACTGATGAAAATATATGCCAACTATAGCAAACCCAATCTTTGTGAGAATGAATAGTTAATGGCTTTATACTGTTTTTAGTAACAGCAGAGAATTTCTTTTTCCTACGGTAAGGTTGCATTCTGGCTTACTGTTTTTGAACAACAGGTGAAACAGCAGTTTTATTTTCATAACAGGTGCAGAAATACATTTTAAGATGTTTAACATAGGAAGCTTTTTCTTTTGACTAGATTTACAGCAGTTAACATATGCGATAGAAACCATCAAAGACACCACAAAAGAAATCTTGAACTTGGAAAATCAAATCTTTTATGATTCATTGCCAGAGACCAAACACACTCTTTTTGCTTGATTATAAAATTAGGATTTCCAAAACGCACAGTCAAACTGATACTGAAATTTGATGCATGATATTCTTTTCAGTCGGCACTGGCTGACTACCGCAGGCTGGAGCAGCGTGTCCGTGACAAGGAGAGAGCGGAGGAAGAGATCCAACGACAGGCGACACTGTCCATGGGAGAGACGGATCAGATACGACAAGCCTTGATGAGGAGCCAGGAGGAATGTAATGCACTCAAGACGGAAAGGTAAAAGTTCTTGCCAAAAATAAAAGCTCTTTTACACTACCAAAAATCTGTGTTTGACCAAGTCGTGTCCAAGGATTTTGGTAGTCCCTTAAACACTGCCAAAACTTTAACGGGGCTCTTAGATTGGACTTGTGCTCTACATCAGCACAATTCAGCTATGATTTGGACCAAGGTTAAGAGGCATTACTCATGTAAAATGGAAAAGTATGGCTCACCAGTGTCCAAATAATCTGCTCAAGGTAGACAAAGTGAAAAGGCCAAAATACTTTCCTGGTTACTGTTCTCTAGACAGGTTTTAGGAGCATGGGCTACCCCACCCCAAACTTTCACCACATATTGTAATAAGTTAGCTTTATTGAAGATACCATGAAGTAAAAGTATTCAATCAAATTAAATTTCTACTCAAAATCTACCTCTGGTCTGTGACTTTCACACTAAGTAGCAGTTAGGTTTTGTTGTTGTTGTCTGTTTCAAAAGTATTTTTGCTTTTGTCAGGGAACTCATGATATCCTCTCATCAGAATCGCATTGAGCAACTCCGAGAAAGCTTCAAGCAGAAACTCATAGATGCTGAAAGATGGCCATCCAAGGTTTGTAAAGCAGATGTCTCAGTCGTGTCCAAGTACCATTGAAGCTAAGGGATAACTTGCCATAGCCATTTACTTAATACTGAATTCAGACACGGCCTTGCATTATTGAAATTCAGTGCAAACAAGTTTTTAACAGAGTGGATCGACAAAACTCTGACATGTGTTCCTTACGCATTGCTATGATGCAAAACTGGGAATTGGGCAGGGGTTATGGCTAAATCTGCAGTGTTCCGTTGTATCACCTGTTGCAATTCGACTGTACGTTGTTCAGACCTTTTTACAGTGGAATTCATGTACATTGGGGATTTTTTTTCTGTTTGCAGATGGATGACACGTTGCAGAAGGAGAGAACAAGACACGCTCAAGAAATGCAAGAGATGGAAGCAAAGATGAAAGAAGCCTTCCGAATAGTACGAAAATATTGATTAGATTTTCCATAGTTCTCTGGGCAACTAACTTTTTCAAAATTAAATTGTGAAATTTTGTTGACTCCAGCCCTTTCATCCCGTGGAACCATTCTTGCCTAACTCTGATGATTTGTATCCCTTTCTAAGGAGTTGGATATCGAGAAACAGAGGCATCAAGAGCTGACCGATAAATACAAGGTGGAATTCCAAGAGAAAGAGAACAAGGTAAAATTCAAAATTCTGGCAACTTTTGGTGCTGAAATGGCTGTTACATTGAGGTTTCTGCCTGAAATGACATCACACTGTTGCTCATGAATATGAAAATTTGCATAAGCATAAACAAAAAAAATGCACCAAAATGGGAAAATGGCAAAACGAAAATTGAAAATAGGGTAAAATGGTAAACAGGTGCATTTTCAAAGATTGCATTAAAAAAAATTACATTGCATTGGCCTTTCAAGTCACAAGGTACTTCACAAGTCCAGTCACAAGTAACAGTAGATGAACAATTGAACAGCTTTGAGTTCACTTAGGATTGCGACTTATGATTGTCTTGTGAGGACTTATGATCCATCTTGTCTATGACAGTGTTGGATAAGTGACATAAGAATGTTCATTTTCCTGTTAGTAAAGGAACTCGGCACAGATTGAGTCGTTTTTTGGGAACTTTCATTTGGAGATTCAGGCCAAAATAGGGCCACTTCATCACATCACTTCATCACATTTCTTGGTGATCGGACTTCCATAATTTTTAAACTAAAGATGGTACCAGCATGCGGTTTTCACAGCAGTAATGCTGAGATTGTGCTCTTTTCAAATCTGTAAAAAAAAAAAAAAAAATTACCAGGGTCGACAAGCGACTCATTTAGCTTGATTGCATCACATATATATGCTCATAATCAGTTTTGGCTCTTTTAAAATTTAGTTCAAAGCTGAGTTACGGAGTCTCAGCTCACGACATAAGTCTGAGCTAAGCCAACTCGAGAAACAGGTGTCGTCCCTCAAGACGCAGGCATCGACTGGTGAGGAGTCACTTAGGAGAGAGGTTCAGGGCCTGAAAGCAGTCATTGGGGACCTGGAGAACAGACTTGGTGAGTAAGACAAGGAGAGTAGAGAGTAAGATTGAGATTGGAGGGGATACTACTAATATTAATTGTAGTGCTCATATAGCGCTTTCCATCGTATCAATTATTACCCCTTTCATCAGGCCATGAGACCACGTGGCAGCCGATATCAGTGCTCAATCGGTCTTCGACCCTCACAGGTACCCATTTATACCAATTGTAGTTAAGTGTCTTACCCAAGGGCACAAACACCATGTTCCTGGCAGGATTCGAACCCACGCACCATCGTGCATAAAGTCAAACACCGTAACCACTGGACCATGGCGCTCTACAGAGGTACTGAGGTTGAGGGCAATTATTTTCAAGACACACCTTAAACCTTTGACTGCAGAATTTATGTACAAAATATAATGAATAACTTGGAGATTTTTCCCCATTGCTTCTGTCTGCAAAGGCGTGGTTCTGTGCTAATTTTAAAGTACAGTTGAACAGAAATACATCTATTAAAAAATATGTGGATAAGATGGGTTTGATAAATGCGTTGAGGAAAATTTGGCTCTTTGGGATATTTTCAGTTTCAGGTATCCATCCTCTTCATCTCTTTGCATTGTTTGAAATCAATTTCCTTTTTAATTGCTAACACTTTTGATTTTTTGTTCTCTTACAATATTTTCAACTTATATGTTATATTCCAACCAATAAAACTCCTTTTCCTGCGTTGGATGTCCGCAAACCTCTGGAAAAAAAAAGTTTTTATGTTGGGCACAAACAGATCGCTTTGCGAGCAGACTGGCTCCCGGTCCATACATTATTGATACTGATTGTGGGGCGGGAACCAGTCAACCACGCGAGAACAGAATTATTGTCTGGAAGCCAATATTTTGAAATTGTAAAGTAATAATTCATTAACTAGACGTGGGCCGATTTTCTTCCGATCGATGTCTCATTCAAAAGTGAAAAACTATTTTAGAACTAGAAAAATAGAAATTTTTAAAAGGAATGTATTTTTCGGGATGAAACTCAAAAATAGCACGGGGAATTAGTGCCTTCAACCTACTGGCTTATACGTTATATGGGGGGGGCCCTGTGGTCCAATGGTTACGGTGTTCGACTCGTGTGCCGTGGTACATGGGTTTGAATCCTGACGAGGAACATGATCCTTGTGCTCTTGAGCAAAGCACTTTACTGTTATTGCTTTGTCCTTCGGATGGGATGTAAAGCCGTAGGTCACGTGTGTTTTGTAATGCACGTTACAAAACCCAGTAACACTTATCGCTAAGAGAAAGGGTTTCCCCCGGTGTTTCTGGCAGTGGCTGCAATATGCGCCGCAGCACCTTGCAAACCCTTATAAGGTGCTACATAATGGGTCCCACATTTCTCATAAACTTTATTTACCTGTCTTTGAAAATAGACATCATTACCAGCGCCTTGAGTACCTAATTGTTGGTAGATACGTGCGCTATATAAGACTCCGGTATTATTATTATTACTTTGTTATTCCAATTTTTTTTATGATTTAGGTAAGGCAGGATCTGAGAGCGATGAATTAGTGGCTAGCCTGAAGGCTGAGCTGAGGGAAGCTGAGCAGGACCTCATGTCCAGCAGAGATGAGAGCCGAGTAATAGAGGACACATTGGCACAGTCAAAGGAAGAGGTACAAATCTGACTTGCTGTTTATTGAAATAAACAAGGGGGACGAACCTGTGTTTACAGGAACGGAGTGCCCATCTCTCTTTCATTAGCGATTGGGCCAGACTCATATGCTGCTGTGGGGGGATCGCCACACCTCCTCCACAGCAAGTCTGTTACCTTCCCAGCATTGAATAATACCGGTACCCATTTAACGCCTGGGTTGAGAGGAGTAATTGAGGTAAAACGCCTTACTCAAGGGCACAACACGCATGGCCATGGCGGGGCTCGAACCCACAATCTCACGATCATGAATCCTATGCTCTACCGCTAGACCACACGTGCCCAAATTAAACAAAATAAATCCAAATACTGGACTTGAGTTACGTTTTGTCCGACACGGTCGGACTTTGTCAGGCAACTGATGACCTGGTAGATTGGTCACATGTCTACATGCCTCTTTTATTTGCTGTCTCTCTGTATCATTGATTTGCATTGTATGGTTACTAGTTTTTTCATGTCAATTTGAAGAAGAAAAAAATAAGGAAGAATATCGCCACAATGACCATGACCACTGTTCAACATCTGACTGACAGATTTGTGCAGTAGAAAGACTTTTTTTCCTGGTTGTATGTTTGACTTCTCAGTTGTGATTCTTAAATATTTTCTTAATTTCCTGTCCTTCTGTCATCATTGTATTTCTTTTTGTAGAATGACTTTCTGAATTTTGTAGCCTGATTTAGCTCCATCTTTGTGGTCCAGTTTGTTAGTTTCAGCTCGCAGTTGTATCCACTTTCCAATCATTTTCCTGTCATTCCTGTCATCTGATGTTCTGCTTTTGCTCCATCCTCAGATACTCTTTCTACAAGAAACTGTCCGTCGAGAGTGCGAAGAGCGTTTTGAGCTGACAGAATCCCTCAGCGAGGCCAGGGAGCAGCTGTTAGCCTACCAGCGTCACGGCACCCTCGCCGGTACCCTCACCGGTACCCCTCGGCCTGCCTCAAGCACCAAGTCACACAAGTCCGACTCCAGTTTCGGCGCGACTCGTAAATCCAGCACCGGGTCCATGCCGCCTGGGCAGGGTCAGAAGCATGGGGCGGGCCAGGCACCTGCTTCTCCTAATAAGATAGCTTCCAGTAGTATCAATATTGGGTTTAATGCGGGGCAGGCCAAGCCACCTGCTAGTCGGCCGAGGGATGGGAGTATGTCAGACAGTAGACAGAGGATTGCTGCTGCTATCGGCAGAAGGTAGTAGGAATAGTTGATCTATTCAAGACATGGAAAGGGTTGTTGATGATGAGGATTTGTCAAAACGTGTGACAGGGTCGTTTCAGATGGCATGTGAACTTCAATCAAGTACAGTGATTTAACCAAAGCTCAGCTGACTGTGAGCGAACGCTGGTAGGTCCCGTGTGTTGTATAAGGCCTAACGCACGTAAAAGAGCCCAGTAACGCTTATCGCTAAGAGAAGGGGTTCGCCCCGGTGTTTCAGGCAGGAAGGATGTGTATGCATCAAGTTGGTGTGATGTTCCCCCGGGATGCTTTGCCGACTATATGATACAGATACAGATACAGATGTTTGGATTAGTGTATTAAATATTTGGGACAAACCTCCCAATGCTGGTAATTTCATGAACACTATATACGAATTTGTGGGTTCGTGGGTTTGTGAAAACTTGTAGGTTTGAACTTATGAGGTTCGAGTCCCACCGAGTAAGCTTGTGAATATTTTCGCACAAGCCGTCAGTCAACACTTGGGTTTAACCCAACATTAAATCCAGTTTAGATTGCCACATTATAAGGGGGAATTACAAGCAGGTATTGTGGAAAATTATTCCCACTAAAATACCACCAAATTTTCAAAAGGTAACTGAGGTGACTAAGGTACTTTTAATGAAAATTGTATATTCCATCCAACTACCAATTACCGTCCAAAAATTGTTTTAATTATTAAAATAGTATTTTGACTACTTCACTGTGCATGCCTTGTTTTTAATTTTGTAATATTGAAATATTGTAATATTTTTTTAATGGAAGTCTCCTATGTTTTACTAAAGGCAATTGCTAAAAAATATACCGTCCTTTTCCCCCTTTTTTTATTACCTTTGTATAACATCAGTTTGTATTTGAATGTGAAAAGGAACAGGAAGACAGGTTGCTGGTTTTCAGACATTTACTATAGTACAAAAAAGTCCTCAATACTTTGTACAGAAAGATCTAGAAATATGACAGTATTTTTACATCTTAGTTTATTCATTCTTGAGAAAGATAGTGTGCCTCCAATTTCCAGTTGTTTTGCAGTTGTTTAATTGTACATGTTTAAGGTTGACTGTATATATTTGGTAAAGATAATTAATATAAATAAATTATATTTGGAAACCAGATATTTTCTCTGTATCAGTTGTCCTTAAGTTTTGGGTGGGGTGTGAGTGGGTGGGGGGTGTGTGTGTGGGTGGGGGCGTGGGTGGGGGTGTGGGTGGTTGGGTGGGTGGGCGAGATGGGTAAAGGGGACCGAGTGGGGAGGACGATGCTACTACTGTACTAGGAGCAGTTGTGAGGTGCAGGCACTTTTGTCCCCCAACCCCTCCCCTCCCTGCTTGCATACTGTGTTCAACCGTGAGAAAAAAACATTGTAAAAGGGCCATCCAAAAAACTTGCGACTCCCTGCACATCGTACAAATTGTGATTGTAATAGTCAAGGTAAAAAAAAGCAGTACAAACTTCTAGTCGCTACTACTAAAACCCTTTTGCCATAAAGGAATGCTTTCGACGGACAAACGAATACGCTCCCTAAAGGTATGAACAAAAATCCATTCGCATTTCAATTACCGCCCTTTAAAAAGGACAATTTGGAAAGAATGAAGTACCCACACGTCACTTCCTTGGTTGTGTACAAAGTCTATGGAGAGTCGAGAACATTTTCAGAGTATTTCCTAACAAAATTGGAAGTGTTTGTCATATTCATGTCTTTTCAACACTATTACAATGACTGATCTTCATTGAGATGATTATATGATGCAAAAAAGTGGCCTCTGAGGATGCAACATTCTTTCCGAAAATTGGCCTCTCCACTCTACCCTTAGAAAATATGGAGATAAATATCATGGACTGCCCTCTCTAGGTATAAAAGCATGCAATTTGATATGAGTGGGACGGGTTACAAACTATCGGGAAGGCATTAAATTTGTGTAGACTAAACATGCTAAAACAATACTCTCGTAAGAATTGCTGCAGACTTTATGGCATTACCCAAAGTAGTGTGTACGGCTTGAAATACTTAACGACTTGACGTCTAACGTCATATTTATTTACAGACATGAACAGAGGAAGACCGTCAATGAAACGTTGTCCAAAACTAATTCAGGCCTACCTTTTTGTTATGTGTCCTTTTTCTGCAGCGGGTAGGTACTACGTTTCACAAGGCAAACTTACAACGTACCATGGTTCCGTCCGTGAAACATGCCGACAAAGTACGTTTTCCCCACGTCCACTTCGGTGCAACACGCCTTAAACTGCTCTTCCGTGAAATTCCAGTCAAACACGTAACAAGAAAACCTTCCAGTAGAGTCTTGGGAATTTGCATATCTGTGGTTTGTAAATGCCGGCAAATCTCTTTAAAATATGACAATTATTTCGATAACCTCGCCTAGTCCGTTCACCACCAAACTGCACAGCATTCTCTTGCTGCAAAAAAAGCCATCGATCGTAGCCACCTGTTTTACTTCTGACCAATCACGGAGCTCCTGACGTGCGCGCAGGTGAGAACCCACCAATAATAAGCGTTATTGAAGAATTATGCAAATAGGACCAGCAGACGATATTTTGGATAGAAAAGGACTCGCACATTCTGCAGATAAAATAAGACAACAATCTTTTTAACGACATGTTTATTCAGTAAAGTATACTACATTTATGTACCGTTGTAAATAATACGGCTATCTGAGTTGGAAATGTTACATTTTATTTATCAAAAATTAAATCGTTCATTACTTCAGTGGAAGCTCTGTTTATCAAGTATATATTTTACAGTATAAAATATATCTAATATTTACAGCAGTAAATTCATTATAACTAAATCAATATTAATTGAATAATTGAATACACAAATTCGTTGAGTCATCTGTTATCTTGGAAAAACCATTAATCAGAAAAGTGGAATGATTAGCAATGAAATCTAAGTTACATAGCTGTACAGTGTATTTCAAGAAAGGAGGGAAAATCAAAATTTATCAAAATGGATACTTTTTTTCATCATTTTTTTTTTTTTTCATTTTGTAAATTATGAAATTGCCCTTAACTTTTCCATTCCTTAACTTTACTTTTATCTTTCTACCGTAGGTGCTTTTTACTGCAGGTATACCGACCGAACTTGTGAAAAATAAATAAACTAAATCACAAAGAAATATCTAAGATTTAAAACTTATAAGGCTGAATGAATATATTCAGCTGATTCTTCGACAAAGACAGAAGCAAGACAAAGTTTGTAAGCTTAGAAACATTAACATACAAAAGGCAAGCGGTAAAATAATTTCCCTTGAATTGTGTCATTCAAATTGAACACTAAAGGCAATTAGAATACGGATGCTACTGTATACACATTTTAATTTGATTGAAAACAAAGAAAGACCAAATTATTTAGTTATAATTATCACCCAAAATTAATGGAAAAGCGTATTGCAGTGACTACGAGTACATGTAAAATTTGAAACAAAACTGAGAAGCCATTAATAAAAATGATGAATGAAAAGTACACTTGAATACAACAAATTCAAAGTTATACATACACCAAAATGAAACAAATCATGATTAACAGAACTCCATAATAATCAAATTAAGTATGTTTGAGTATTATAACGAATTTTTAAAGTAAAACTACAGTCTTTTGAATATAAAATTATTAAATGTCACTGATCGAAAAGATTTCTCTATTGTCCACATCTAGAGTTGCAATTGCTACAAATATACAAATGTCCAAATAAAATGTTACAGCTGTCGCACAAAAATTTGGGAGCTAAAACTTTAAAGGTGGGAAATTAATTTAAAGTAAACTCTTTATTGCAATGATAACTGTAAGTAGGGAGGTAATAGTTTATTTCAAGAGTACAATATTAACCTTTGTTATCAAACCTTTGTTTTCATTAATGGCATGTCCAACTTCTATTAGAATTACCTGTGGGGCATTTCAAGGAGGCACCAAGGCTTAGACCAAAGAACAAAAGCATTGCTCCCCAGTTTGCTAATACTAGGCACAGTTGCATTATGAAACTTTTTATGGGTGGCTAAAAACCCCCGAAACGATTCATTTAGGAATGGATTTTTGGAAGGAAAAATTAGGAAATATTTAAGAAACATTTTGCTGAAATGTAACGAAATTCAAGGTACAAAGGAAAACTTGGGAGCTACAGGATTTGAGTGGGAAATGGGGACCCCCCCCCCCAAAGAACTGCACCTCTCTACTATGCTCCACTCTGATCCTACTCAACATGCTGCTTTGAAATGATTCTTATGACAAACCTATTCCTTGCCTGCCTCTCCTGAACCATGTACAACTCAGTTGCATCCGTAACTGCTACCAGATAGATACCTTTTGAACAGCATTTAAATTTAAGATCTGTCCCCAGAGAGGGCTCTCTATGCAATAGGTCTATTCAACATGTTTCTCCTTGACTAACTATCGAACCACTCGTCTTGCATCCCCTCCTCCATCTCCCCATCCACCGGGATTTCTTCAAACTCCAAGGATCGGACCGAGATGTCCGAGACGTTGTCTCTCTCTGGATCCTGGCCGCCCGCCTCTCGGCGTTTCAGCTCTGCTTCGACCTCCTTCATGATCATCTCCTCGTCCCATATCACGTCTTCATCCTCTTCGCTGTCATCTTCGTTGTCAACTTCATCATCCTCTCTGTAGGTCCTGTTTATGTCTGAGAGGTCCCACTGTTGGTATTGAGGTTAAAAGAAGTTTTTTTAAATGAATAATTGGGGTTTTTTTTTAAAGGGGGGGGGGGGGGGTTGGAGCCACTATAGTCTTGTGGATGTGGGAGTGAGGTAATGAGGAACGGTATAGAGAGGTGTATAGGGAGGCATCGTAGTCTGTTCAAAACTCCCTAAAAAGAAAAACAAAAACTAACAACACAAAAACAGCTAAGCCAGGAAAACTAAGATGAAAACTAGAACAATCACCTCCAGATCCTGCCCAAGGGTGTTGTTGTCCTCTGCTCTTGGCTTGGCCGCCGCTTTCTGCCTCCTCCCTCCTCGAGGATGCTGCGGGGGTGGCGGCAAGGCCTGAATCGGTGACCTTTGACCTGTGGCCTCTCCGTCGGTCTCTCTGTCGGAGCCCGAGTAGGTCGCGGCCGCGGCCACCTGGCTGCGCGTGGGCTGCTTTTTGAAAATGAGAAGGGGAGTATGGTGTTCACGCAGTATAAGACTCTGTGACAAATTAAGGGCAGAAGCATGCACTTTGTTTTCATTCTTGGAAGGTAATTGATACTGGGGAGATTTCTTTTACGCTGCTCAACTGAAAGCCAACAAGTTGATTTTAGATAGGAGGAATTACATTAAATTTTCAATTCAGCCTGTTAAGCTTACACAAGGAAGTTGATGCCAGTGTAACAGAGGCTGGGTTAACTTTTTCTTCATTTACTCAAATCTTTGAAATTCTATGATACAAGTTTTAAATTTGAGACTTTGAGCGCATTCAGCAAAGTTTGACAATGCATAGTGAAATTGCCCACATTTCAGCAGGCTTCTCGCAAAAGTAGCTCCTTTGAAGTCATTAAAGTTGTATTTTTTTAAAGAGGAAAACCCATGAAATGAGTCAGGAACTGAGAACCCAATCCACAAGTAGGCCCGGGTGGGAACTGAACCCGAGCCACAGAGGTGGAGATGAGAGGAAAGGACCACTGCATAAACCTGACTCCTCAATGTCTGATAATAAAAACATAGTATAAGGCCAAAAAAAAAAAGTCTCCGGTTTCTGGTATGGAGCTTGCCCAAAAAGTGGTGCGGCGATGCGGCTTTTTTTTTTTTTTACCTGATTTTTTTGCTTCAAATGTCGGCTGATGACTGCAAATGGTGCCCAACTAAACTTAGTGCAAATATATGGGAGTCCAGAGAGGCCACATAAAGCTTATTCTCGACCATAACCCAATCTAAAAACACGTTAAAATTGTGCAGCAGTAGGATTCCAGTCAAACCAGTGAGTTTGGCGGTTTTGAGACATCATCTTTCATTGAAAAAAAAACTTTTTCATTTTGCCGACGCGCATGGCTACGGCGACGCGCGCGCATACCAGAAACCGGAGACTTTTTATTTTTGGCCTAAGGGATGAAAGGCAGATTATCTTACATCATCACTGTCCTCCTCTTCTTCATGTATAGCAGTCAGTCTAGGTGCTTGTGTAGGTTGCCATTCCTCATCACCATCATCCCCCAAACCACTCGCATCGTCCTCTCGATACTCCTCCACTCCGTGGACGCGACCTTCTTCCCAGCGCTGGGCGGCTTTTTCCCGGGCTATCCGGCGTTGCTGACGAGCCATTAGGTATAAAAGCTGTGGTTGGATTTCCTGGGTTAAGGAGTATTTTTCTGTTTCAAAGCATGTCGCTTTGCCTAAGTGACTGGTAGAGAGTTTTTAAAAATGTGAACTGAGATCGAAATGTGTTGGATGATTGCGATAGTCAGTAGGGATGGCAAAAAATTTCTGAGAAAGTGCCCCCATTTTTTTTTGGTAATTTTTTTTTGGTAATTTTTTTTTTTAAAAATAGGTTTACTACTAGTAACGATTTTAAAGGAGCTGGCGGCTTTTATTTCATTTAAAAAAATGGGCAAAATGTCGCGGGGGGGGGGGGGGGGGGGGATGGGTGGGGTGGGGTGGGGGGATGGGTGGGGTGGGGTGGGGGGGGGGTTGGCCCACCTGCCACCCCACAACTCCCCCTCTGATACTCCACTGGTGACAGTCAAGATTAAAAAGTTTGATAATTATTCCATGAATGGTGAGGATGCCATCATTTTTTTATGGGTAGTTAAATGTCACCAATCAAAAGCAAAAATGACATTAAAATTACTGTTTAGTGGAAATGATATGGAGTCCATGTTTGTTGAAAAATACCATTAAAAAGTTTCAAATTTAGCAGATTGGTTATCTGCCTCCAGATATTTTATGTCTAAGGGTTAGAATTATATAAGTTTTTAAAAAGGACCTAATACTTATCAAAGGATACAATAAAATCGAAAAGAGTGCACACACCGCTGGAGAGAAAAGGAACAAAAACAAGAAATTATTCTTAGTGATGCATAACAAAAAGTAATTGCTCAATATCTTGGTTCAATATTTCACAAATTGTTCACTCCATTTTTAATTTTTTGGTGTAAATATATCCATATGTCTGGCTACAAATTTTCAAATATTTTATTTCAAAATAATGGGCTCTTAAAGGGAAAATACAACATTTGCAAACATCAAAAAACAAAACCACCAAATCATTTTGAAATACCTTGCTGGACTGTTAGTGAATGAAAGTGTAAAGCATCCTGTAAAATCATGGCACCTGGTATACTGTCATTTCCAAGAAAAGTGGTATTTTTTGTATCAATTTCCAACGCTGGTCGGCCGACCAGCGTTGGAAAAAACTGGCTTTTTTTCAAATACTGGCCCCAATTGACCATCGCACTTGTTTGCAATCGATTACACATCTATGAACGGGTACAAGCCAGCTAGACTGGTTCCCTGACCTTACAATTCCCCAATGTATGTAAACTGCTCTGTTTCTTCTTATATGGAGTCTGGGAACCAGACTACAGGAAAATGATTGTTTTTCTTGGTTTTTATAGCATTTTCGAACCCAAAACCTCAAAAAAAGTCAGTGTAACTATATTTGCTATATATTTCCAACCCCCAATTCCATCCATTTCTGAAAATTACAGCAAAAGCAAATGATGTATATTCCCTTTAATAAACGCACAAAGAATGGTCCAAAACCTAGGTGGGCTTACCTCATGAGTAACCATGGCAACGCATTGAGCATGAACTTCAGCTCCTGGTTGTATATCACGATGGACAGAATGTAGGCGACGTTGGCCATCATGGAAAAATTACAGACGTGCACGTGCCCCAGCAGGGACTCCTCCTGGCGAAGCTGCATGTAATTAGAATAAATTTGCATAATTAAACAACTGACCAATCACTCTGCAGCAAAAATGAATAAATTAATACATTACAGAGATGGCTCCAAGTACACACTTTTTTTCATATGATTTCAAACTGGTTATGCTTTTGGCTGAATTTGTTGCTAATTCAGGCCGAGTGTATTCTTTTGAGTTTGTGATTGAGGAGTTTATACACCTCAAATGTGTTTGAGTAGATAAGTTGTTCGCTCTCTACCATCAACGTGTAGTGATAGTGGGGGTAGTAGAAATCTAGACTTGATGACAAGTCGTTAGACTATAGTGGTTTATGTCCGTCATCAGCGCCAGAATCCGTTCATGCAACGTGAGCGCTACAACCATTCATGCCAAAGTCATGTACTACCACACGGCATGGTCAGTCTGTGTCTGTAATGCAGCACACGCATGGGATGGGGGGAGGTGGTTGTTAGTGCACATTTATGGACCATGTCCAAATTCTAAATGTTTTCTTTGTTTTGATTTCCAACACTTACCCCATCTTTGACAAGAGGAACCTTCGCCAGGCCATAAATGAAAATAGCAAACACACCCAGGGTGAAACCAAAGTTGTCAATACCTGACTGAAAACAAAAAAAACAAACAGAAATTACAAAATTGTCATCATTGGAAATATGCAGGATTTTTTTTTCATCAAAGAAAATGAAAAGAAAGAGGCTTCACTCACGTCAGAGACCATCAGAAGTTTTCTTCCAGGACCAAAATTCTGCATCTTCTCTGGTTGCCATGACGACGATGAAGCAAGAGGCATGTAGACCATCGCTGGTATCCATGCTAGGAGGAGACACATGATACGGGTGCGGTTACCGTTCTGCTTGTTCCTCGCTCGTGCTGGACTCTTCCATTCACCTGTAGGGTTGTATATTGCTATATTTGCAGGTGAATATGATATCGTCAGTAAATGAAATGAAATGATCCCTCTAAAAAAATAGAACTATTAATGAGCATGATGACTTTATGAACTTTATAAGGTTATGTTTACATGAATTTGAATTTTAATATTAATATCATACTTTAATACATATAAACTGTTTTCTAAGTTGATGGTGTCTATGAGTTTCTAGGCACAACTATGCAATACGTTATGCATGTCATATTCAGTTTTTCTTGAAGTTGATAAGTATTTGTGCACATTCTGAAAGTTTTAGCTCCTGAAAAAAAATGGCAGAGAACCAGTGAGGACTAGTGCTTTTCAATTGAATTTTGGCTGGTAAACTTTTTTTCTAGGTAAAGCGCACATCTAAACTTAAAGGATGAATTTTTCTTAGGAACACATTTTGTGCAACTTTTAATCGTCTTAAATGTACGAAAACTGTTTGACATCCCTTTTTGAGTGCACTTCTACGTGTAAAAATTGTCCATGATTTGCTACATAATTGAGGGTGCTTTTGCTGTGATGTCATTTCAGGAAGACACTCTTCAGTTTAGGGGGTTTCTGTTGAAATAATGAACCCCAATTTTGCTCATTGAAAACATTTGTGAGAAAAGATGCTCACTGGCTTTCTGTCATGCACTGACACAACAACGAATCACCAAAGAAAAGAAAATTTCTGACAGCAAAATATCCAAAATTCTAGCAACTTTTTGTGCTGAAATAGCTGTAACATTGAGGTTTCTGCCCGAATTGACATCACAGTTGCACTCATGAATATGGAAATTTGTATTAAGCATAAAAAACCAAAAAGACACTCAAATACCCTTCAAATTGGCAAAACGAAAATATTAAAAGATTACATTGGATGGGCCCTTTGTCTATCAGCATCAACCATTATATACATTTCACATTGGCATTTATTGCTTTTGCAAAGAAGTTTTGAAAACTCAAATGCACAAAATTCAAAGGTTTTCAGACTTACTGTAGGGAATTCTATCTGCTAGGTGAGGTTTAAAGGTGCACCAGAGGTATAAATAGTGAATGAAGAAGACAACATCAGCACCCATGAAATAGATGGCAATCAGCACCTTTAAAAGCACAAACAAAAATTAACATAAAATAACTTAATAAGTGGAAATTAGCATGACTCTGAAACTGGCAAAAGATAACAACTTAAGAAATAATTAGGAAATTGTTCTAGATGAAGCATACATATAGAAATAAAAATGCCTTCAGTGCAGTTAAAAAATATCTATTTTAATACCAATTAAATGTTCCCCGTTAAAAAATAACAATTATTTTACATAGGCAATTTGAATATTAAATAGAAACATGCCCACTTTTAGATAAACAGAAACAGTTTTGTATTTATTTTATCCAATTATTTGGTTTCGATATTGTCAGCGATTAGCAAAACAAAACTCTAGACCCGAAGCCAAACCAGATAGCTTAAAAGACCAAAGGTTCACTTTTTGTTGACTGTTTCTCTGTTGTATTTATTTGTTGTATAGTGCTCAAATAGTGCTCAAATATTCGTGACTAGAATTGACATGAGCTAAATATTTGACTCAACTCGACTCGAACTTCTTGACCTAATGACTCGACTCGAGCCACTTCTTTAAAATGACTCGACTGGACTCGAGTCACTTCTTTAAAATGACTCGACTCGACTCGAGCCATGACTCGACTCGACTCGAGCCACTTCTTTAAAATGACTCGACTCGACTCGAGTCACAAAAATCATTGACTCATTAGAACTTTGGTTGAAGGTCGAGTTGGTGGTGGAGGTTTGGGTGGGCAGTGGGAAAGGGGGTTAGGGTTGAGATGAGGAGGGTTAGGTAGGGTTGAAACGGGGCTATCAGAGGTACAGGAGATATGCTTCGTCCCTACCTGCGTTCCAAGCTGTTCAGAGAGGCGAGCACCAATCACATTACACAGGTTGGCAGAGCAGATGTGAACTAGGGTTAAGAACTGTCGACGACTCGCATTGCCTTCGCGATGTCTGGCTCTCAATAAACTGTAACACACATCGCAAAATGATGAAGAAAACTGTTCAAAATGCAGAACTTCTTAATTTAGAAACCATAGACACAGAAATTGAAGCCCTTGTATTTTTCAGTTGTACAAACCTTTTTAAAGTGAATCAGAATAGGTAAGCTGCAAGCTTACTTAGAAATCAGAAACAAAAATAGCAAAGCAACAATTGAGGGCAAAACACAAAATGGAGAATAAATCTAGCTTTGTGGTTTTGGAGATTTAAGATGATTTAATTTCTGGTAGTCACAACTCTTAGACAATCAATGTCCTTTGTATTTTACATGGACTGTATAAACTTTGTCATTCTGGAAATAGTAAAAAGTTGAACGCTTACTCAAGAGGGATATAATATTTTTAACCCAAGTAGAAAAATAAATACTTACAAAAGATGGGAGATCAGCCACAAACATATGGAACCCATGGCAAAGCAGAAGGCGACATATTGCAGGGGCCCATCTAGGCACATATGCAGGCTGGCCCAGACAGCTTGTGAACCGTCCACGCACTCTTCTGGGATATCCGTCGCTATAGCTTTCGCTGTAGCTTTCGCTGTCGCTGTAGCTGTCGCTGTCGCTGTTGCGTCTGTGGTCTGATTGTAATCTGCCATCTTGGTTGCTATGGCGGCGGTCTCACTGTTTATTTCTATAAGAGTGCTGGTCTGTTACCTTCTTAATTCGTCTCTTGTTGGTTTACAATATGTTCTCTGGGCAGTCAAAGCCAAGACTAGGTTTGATACATATTTGTGACGCAGGTGGACATTGTGGGTAGTTTAGTCTTTTCCTCTTGTTAAGCTAGCTAAAAATGAAAAAAGAGATTTTTCTTTTTCAAATTACCTGAACAATGTTTCACTGATTTTTGGTACCGATATTTTTTTAAAGCTATCACGTTTTTCTTTTTGACATTTTGCACTGACCCTAAAAACTTAATTATTGGTGTATAAAAAGTTCATTAGAATATTTGTAAGAACATTTAAACTCATCATTGAGTGAATTAATTTCAGAGAGTAATTCTAATATGTTCGAAGAAAGGATGCTCTCATTTGGGTTTTATTCTGTTGCAGAAAAAAAACATTTGTTTGAAAATTATTAAAAATGAATATAAATTATTTAAATGAATATAAATTTTTACCAATTGCAGATGTCTGCCACATACCATAGTCAACCATATGTATACAAATCTTCCAATGAAATGCTTCACACTGGTGTATTTTTAAACATATTGCTATTCCTTAATGCATAGACTTCAGCATATCCATTACAGTTAATGGATTCCTGATGACAGTAACGAAACATATGTCAATATTTGCAATCATTGATACACATCAGGGTACTTATTTGAATACCAAGCCATCAGGATATGTAAATCATCACACTGGCCTTCACAAAACTGTTTTTTATGGCCAATTTGATTCATGAACTCTGACGAGCCAGTGTGGTTTTCAATTGTTTCCAAATTAAATTTAACAAGTAAAAACATAAGGCAATGCTTCTCACTGTAAGTTAAAACTCTGTAACTGCAACGATTTCAGTAAGTCATTTAAAATGGAACATGCATGGAAAAAAGATAAGCAGCAAACCCCGCCCCCCCCCCCCCCCCCCAAAAAAAACCCCACGAAAATAAAGTCAATGAAACGAATTTACAAAGCTAGTAATTATATCCGTAATTGCACGAAAGATATCTCTGCTTTTCCTATCTGAATTCAGTTTAATAACAGTGGAAGTACAACTACAAAGTGTGTGGCCTATTAATTTTGTCGACACCTGTTTTTTTAATTGATTGAATAAAAACGGCAACATGTGTGCACGAAAAAATAGCACTTACCCAATTTCAGTTCACGGTCAGATGAAATACATATGGACTTGTTTCTCTCAGATGTTTATTACCAACCGAAATAATCCATTACTTTAGCTCACACTACCAGCATTTTTTCTTCTTCATTACCGCTGCTTCAGTTCAGTCCGCGGCCATTTTGGATTTCACGCTTTGAAACTCCTTTGGGGAAAAACACACGTCGACAGCAGGCCGCCAAAATTAGCAACACACCTCATTCGGTTGGCTCCACGCAGGCAGAGCCGTGGAGCTGAATAAAACGGGTCTAAAGGTCGCTCAAAATCATACCTTATCAGTTTAATCAAGCATTTCCAGATGCCATTAAAATGTGAAGAGAGAGCCGGGTTTACTCGCCCCTTGAACTGTGTGTGGCGGGAATAGTTAATGATTAAATTTAGTTCAGCGCGAAATGGTGTCCGCAGGATCTGTCCCACTGTACACTTTGCCCCGTCTATTTGTGCTAAAAAATATACTTGAAAGCAACTTTCGGGTTTCTAAAACTCTTTACAATATTCCACTATTGTATCGAAGATTTCAACCTCCGGTACCGAATTGCCACACACTGGCACAATTGAGCAAATGCAATATAGGTCACGGAGCAGGCAACGGCGGTCGTCCAACACAATGGCTTCGATTTCAGAAGTGCTGGAATAATGCATTCGAAACCCGACAAGAAAATATAATTTATGAGTCGGGTCAAAAGATACCAGGAATGTGCCATATTTTACATTCCTTGTCTTTTGTGAGTTTTGTCACACCAAATAACTCAGCACAGAAAAATTGGAAAGGTTGACTATATTCAACTCTATACCACTGGAAAGACGGATCTGGATCTGGAACAGCACTGCAAGCAATATTTTTGATATAAATATCGCTGCACTGTAAAATAATCTTTGAAATTTGAACTTTCCAACAAGTTAGTCTTTGGGCAGAAAACAAATCATTTTTGTCCATGCAACTTTTCTCCGACGAAAGTGCAGAGTGCAACTCAACAGGTCACCATGTCGCCGTGACGTATTTAAGTGATTGACTAATCAGAGTGCTGATTGGCTGCAAGTTAAGAGACAATGCATGACGTCATTTAAGCACTTGCGCAGCACTTATCTGTATAACTGAAATATCCTCATACAAATTCGGTTGGCGTTTTATGCAACTAGATCAAAATTATTCTGATGGAAATGTATCTTCGTTTTCAGTGTCTATAATTTACTTCTTTAATTGGTATGTTTGGTGAAAAGAAAAAAATGCATGCAGACATTGGTTTTTAGGTCAAAAGCTTTTGTCTACGTATTTTCCACCATGGAACTACAGTTGATCCATTTTATTTTAATACATTAAACATGAAAGTGCATTTTATTTTTTATCGAGTTTTAAGCTGCTGTAAATGAAACCGTGAGAAATACATAATTATTCAAATTAAAAAAACACACTGCAAACGCCAGTGAGAGTTTTTCTATTTCTTGTTTGAGAAATTTATTCCAATCTTTCAATGACTCGCTATACAGACATAAGTTAGGCGTTTCGAGGGAAAGTTACCAGAACGTTTTATTTAGACATTACAAACTTTTGTCCCGTATTCAAATGTGTGATTTTGTACGTTTCCACGGAGATTGTAATGTAAATTTTAAGCAGTCACAGAGGGTTTTGAACATAAGATCGTTTTTTTAATGAATTTATTTTAACCGTATTTTCTTCCTTTTACGAAGTCGACTTTTACACTCGTATCCACGAAATAAGCCGCTATACGGTAACTGTCAGCCAACGATATACCATGCAAATAATCGAATTCAAACAGTCATATAATGTTAAGAGAAAGATTCCAGTACACTTAACGCAACAATATTTATTGTAGTTTTGATGCTCTGGTCATTCTGTTAAGTCCGATCATTTGATTTGGGAAAAGCTATGGTCACTTTTCCATACTGATTCTAAACTGTGACACTTTTGCTTTCTGAAAATGAATTATTTTATAAACGAAATTATAGGGAAAGAATGAATTAATACTCTGTAGAAGATGAACCATGATGTTTACGACATGGACACTGAACGATTTCCCTGACCAAAACCAACAGCCTTAGGAAATGCGAATTGTAAGAATGCATTGGAAATAAACGTTAATTGTTTGGCGAAAAAGTGATTAGTTTTATATAAAATCTTCATAGTAAGTTATTTATACATATTTTAACAAAATGTATACTACAGCTGTCTCTTTTTCTTTAATTTGGAAAATTCGGAGAGGGCCGACTGCAACCGAAAACTTCCAAGTTAAATCAATCTGTAATTAACCTATCTCCTATAAAATTATTTCTAATAAATATAAATATATTTACATATGCAAATATTTAAACTCTTGCGCTGCCACGTCAAAATACACTTTGAAATGAATTTTAAAGAATCAATTTATTATTTATTACCATCTAAATAACTAGCCACACCTCCATTTTGGTCAAATATTTATACACCTTAGGAAAATTCGGGGCCATCAGATTCCAACAATCATAATTAAGCACACTCATTCATGAATACATGCTATTGGTCGAATGTTTGAAGGGGTGTGGTTTTTGCTCTAACCAGCTCTCTCATTGGACAGACTCGTATCCAATCAGCATGAAGGCAGTGACCGACAACATGAATATCGGGCATGATTGTGAATTACATGTATACACAACTCAGATTGAATTTAACCTCCTCTTAATAAACGCAGTAAAATATGCTAATCTAAAAGTGGTTACCCGTTTAAACCGACTGCATTCGTCATTTCGCTGGTACCTTACAACCGACGCCCAATGCAATGACCGAATGGAACAAAAACAAGTCTGAAATACAAAGTTCTGAATAAAATAACCATTACCAGAACTTCTGAAGTAAATTTCGCCGATTATTTTAAGCCAGGTACCACCAGGAAAGATAGGAAAAATACCAGTTTTCCCCGACGGAAAATCGATTTAAGACAATATTTTAAAAATGTAATAGTTCAATTGTATTTGCTTTGCGCATCGAATCAGAAGGAAAAATATGAGGCTAAAGTTGAAAGTATCATCAAAATTCTTTAAATAGCTATATATGAGGCTCCATTCCTTTGCCAAAAACATGAGCTTTTTTTCCATGGGAAGAACTACATTATAGACATGGTCAAATCTTATTACCTCCTCGAACCGTTAAAGATGTCACACAAAAAATAAAAATTAAAAAAACAGCAAAAACCACATGCGTTTTCAATTCATGCTTGCCTGCCCTCGAGAAAACAAATTCCTACAGTCAGGAAATTTACAAGAAACATCCATTTCTTTTTCTTTATGAAGTTAGGCCTGTCTGTTACCACATTTTAATGACCGCAGCACGTCTTTGCCCCCCTCCATTTTTCATAGCACACATGAAGCACCATATGTATTCAATCCTTACTTACTTTAAATAAACACTGTTTTTTTAACAGTTGTTTAGAAACACTAGCCGGTAATGGACCGATCCAGTAAGCCCCTCCCACTGCACACGTGGGCAAATTAACACGTGCTCCTCTCCAATGCCACACTACATTTTCCTGCCGCGCGCGCGCATACGCGCGCGTGCACGCATGTCGGACTTTTGTGCACGCATGTCGGACATAAATCACGGCTGTGATTGGTCAGAATACCATGGGGCGGTGCTTACTGGATCGGTCCATTGTCTCGCAGTTATGGCAGAGTATTATTGTATTCCTTCCTATGGCACCATATTGAATATCAGAATTTTTATATTCATCCTTTATATCTAGAGTGCGTCTGATTAATCAGTATATTATACAAAGCTGCTTGTATGATTACTAGGTTTCTTGACAAATAAAATTCAAATCTCCAGGGGTATGTAGCAGGGAGAACCAACGTCACTTTCAAGTTTAACTTTGGTAGAAAAAAAAGTTAAGAATTACATCTCTTCTTGTATCAGATATGGCAGCAAATTAATATCGGTTACATGTGAACTTTCTCAAAGAAAATTGAACTCGGTGAGCAATTATTTAATAATAATAAAAAAATACATGAAATGAGAACTTTTGATTATTATAATTCATTATGTGTTCAAATACACCTCAAGCTTAACTGTTTAGCCAAAGTTTTGATTTCGAAAGAGGTTAGAACAGTCGAATTAATAGAGGGTAGGAATTTAAAAGGGGAAAGGTTTTGAATATGCAGAGAAAGTGATGTCGTGCCAGGCAGTTAGGACCCGCCTTTATTCATATCTGGGACGAGTTCCGGACAAGTTGCGGACATTGTATCGGGTATAAGTTGCGGGATTCTGAACAACTTCCCCGCAATCTTCCCGCAATGAAGTTATCAGCATTGGTGTGTCAAGCAGTTGCTAATGAAAATTTCCCCGCAACATGTCCGGGACAAATGCAGAGCTTCTTCCGGACAAAGTGAACGATTCTACCTGCGACTTGTCCGGAACTCGTACCGGATATGAATTGAAACGGGCCCTAATTCAAAATACATGTAGAAACAGGTTATGAAAACTGGAGTCAGATACCATTGGAAAGGGTTAAAAAGTGGGTATGATGAAGTACTGTCCAGCTGTAAAAAAATATCCAAAGCTTTTTCGATAACTTAGGGGAGAAATGTTCCGGATTCTATGTTGCATCACGGCTCCGTATTCATAATATTTACAACTATTCACACAAATCTATGCACATTATACTCATAAATAAACTAAATTATTTGCTTTTGTTGTTAAAAATTATTTAAAATCTAAAAAAAAAAATTACTTACCCTTTATAGGCATTGATTTTTTTGTTTAAAATATAGTAGCGAAAACAATGATATAAATAAAAGGTCTGCTATTTCTATTAAAAGACGTTACTATACTCGAGTAAATTAGTTTGGAAGATATTCTTATTATCTGTTGTAATACCAACATCCTTCTTACAAACTATACTTGTAAATAATTAAGCACGGGATTCCAAACTTGAAACCACTGAAATTCTGATGGATATACTACTATCAACAATCGGAATCCATAGAATGGGATGTTCAGTATAACACAATACATGTAGTCAGTTCTATGGGTTGTTTAATGGATAAGTCATGGGTAATCCATGCAAAATCCTGTGTTTTCATATTTAGCATACTGGCATAGGAAGTCTATGAGATCTTCCCATGGGATCTTCGATGGGATTTTCGATGGGATCTTCGATGGGATCTTCTATGGGATCTTCCCATGGGATCTTCCATGGGATCTTCCCATGGGATCTTCCATGGGGTCTTCCACAGGGTCTTTCCATGGGATCTTCCGCGGGATCTTCCGCAAGTTCTTTCCATAGTCAGTTCTATGGGTTGTTTTATGGATAAATCATGGGCATAGGAATGGGATCTCCCATGGGATCTTTGATGGGGTCTTCCATGGGATCTTCCCATGGGATCTTCGATGGGGTCTTCCATGGGATCTTTCCATGGGATCTTCCACGGGATCTTTCATGGGATCTTTCCGTGGGACCTTCCACTGGATCTTTCTGTGGGGTCTTCCATGGAATATTCCATTGAATCTTCCATGTGATCTTCCATGTGATCTTCCATGGATCTTCCATGAGCACCCCACCCTCATACGATTTCCTCTGGCATTTCCATTGGTTCCATGGACTTTTCCCATCGAACCCATGGGATATTTCTCAGTGGACTTATTCATTCCTGGGGTATTACTCACTAACTCTGCTTACTTCTCTTGCAATTTTTTGTGGGGGCCAAAAGTAGTCGAAGGTGGTAATTTTCTACAAAAGTGATAAATGCATTAAGTTTGAATTGTTCCAAATCCTGCTTCCATTCATTCTCACATAACTGAAAATTTACTGTAATCTCCTCACATCACACAAGCGAACGCATATTTTTATTCTCTTGTAATATTAATTTCTACACCCAGTTACTCAGCTGTGGGTGGAGCCAGGTCAACAGAAATAGAGGGGAGAATAATTTAAAGGGGCACTCACATTTTAAAAGTATTTTGAATCTGGTAGGGTGACAACTCATTTTCTACAGGAAAAAAATCGGTACACATGATTTTATTTATAAAACAAATTTCAAGGAAAAAGGGCCAGTCGTAAATTTTTCGTAAAGATTTTGAGATACTCCGTTTACTCGTCCTAAAAGAAATCCAGAAGATTGTTGAATATATGAAATAAAATACAATACTTTTTGTTCCTGAGTATCCAGACTGACTTTTGTTGCAGCACATTGTTTTGTGGTGGGTGTGGCAAATTGAAGCTCTTTTTCCACAATTGAAAAAATAAAAAGAGAATCAGCAAGCCAAGAGTGACATGGCACTTATTTACATTTTTCAAAGTTTTGTTGGGTTGTGCCAGTTTTGAAGTTGCGGCTTTTTAGGCGTCTGCTGAAAAGGACTATAGTACAGCAAAAATTTAGCGTATGAACCTAGACAATGAGGTCTTGGTAAAGATCAAACCGAGTTGCCCACTTTTTGAGATTACTGGTCTGGCTTTCTTCCATTACTGGGGAGCTCCAAAGCTCGCTTTGGTATTCACACAATGAACTCCTCTTTAGTAACGTGTTCCTTTCCCGGTGGTCTTTTCCCGGGCTAAGCATGCCAGCCCCGGGAAGATGCTGCGTACCTGCGAACTTGGGTCTGCCAGCTTCGGCTGCATTGCGGGCTGACGGTATGGACTCGCTCGGTCCTGCTACTCGTGGAGGGCCCTGTTGTAGGCCATCAGCCTGGGGGTTTGGCCAGTATCAAATCAGGGCATAAATGATTAGAGTGCGCATGCGCAAGATATACCGCCCCTAGAGTGGTAACAAGCATTTTGATGAACATTTTGGAAAAAAAGGGTGATAACACCCAAAAAGCTGCCACCGCTGCAATGCCATCACATATTTTCCAATTATGGAGGTGTATACCTTGCCAAAAATCGCTATGACGATTATTCCCCTCATTTGATACCAGTGGCCAAAATTTTGGACCGAGGCTGATGGCCTATTGGTTGACACAGCCGCAGGGGCGGCTGAGCTGTAGCATTCTCCTTGCCTACGCGAGGCCTTGTATCGTGAAAGTCTACGTGTTTTAAACAAAGCTAAACAAAATGCACGTGTGATTGATATTCAGGCTTGGAAGCGTCCCAGCAATGGCTGCAAAAACCGTCACCGTGATTTCAAAATCGGATTGGTATATTGGGCTTACGATAATAAGGTACTCTTAATTAAAAAATTAAAAAAATTAAACCATTTTGAGCCAGCTATATAAACTCTCCATTGCAATGGTCTTTTGAAAGTGGTCAAAGAGCGCCCTCTCTGTTCGTGAACGGAGCCAATACATGATTTTATGGTGCACCAACTCAAAGATCACCAACCAACACCTTAGAATACGAACACTGTAACAAGTATCAAGTATTAAACAACGTGGCTGTTACATCTTCAGCAGACGAGCATATTGATTGTAGCTTTGTGCTTTGACAGTAAGAAGACACATCAACCCAAGATCAACCCATCTCATTTCAAAACATCACACCAGCAAAACGACTCGCTTTTCCAATCAACCGGAGGTATCATCTTTTTATATATATATATCTAAAATACGAATCATGATCTCATCTTTAAGACATTTATGATAATAAAGTCCATTTAGGATTTGTGCTTAATCAGTTTCTTCTTTAAAGGGAGTATACATCATTTGCTTTTGCTGTAATTTTCAGAAATGGATGGAATTGGGGGGTTGGAAATATATAGCAAATATAGTTACACTGACTTTTTGGAGGTTTTGGGTTCGAAAATGCTATAAAAAGCAAGAAAAACGATCATTTTCCTGTAGTCTGGTTCCCTGACTCCATATAAGAAGAAACAGAGCAGTTTACATACATTGGGGAATTGTAAGGTCAGGGAACCAGCCTACCTGGCCCGTACCCGTTCATAGGTTTGTAATCGATTGCAAACAAGTGCAATGGTCAATTGGGGCCAGTATTTGAAAAAAAGCCAGTTGTTTCCAACGCTGATCGGCCGATCAGCGTTGGAAATTGATACAAAAATACCACTTTTCTTGAAAATGACAGTATACCAGGTGCCATAATTTTACAGGATGCTTTAGACTGTCATTTACCAACATCCTATTAAGGTATTTCGCAAAAACTTGGTAGTTTTATTTTTCGATGTTTGCAAATGTTGTATATTCCCTTTAAGAAACAGTCTTACTGTCTTAAATGTCCACTGAGTTTACATTGAGAGCAGTGAAAATGCATTTCTGGTTGAATTTTGCTACCCGCAGGAAAGTATGTCTGCTTGCCATCGGAAAAAGAGTCCGACTAATTTTCAACTGACAAGCCAAAAGTAGTGTTTCGAAGATGGATAAATGGAAAGCCGAGTACCAGCTACCAGTAATGCATTCTACATTGATGTTAAGATTGGTAACCGTTTATAACAAAATTGAAGAAAGTTTAGTTAGCACACTTTTTTCCTTCTCTTTTTTGCAGCATTGGCAAGCCAAGGCTGTTGTCTTTCCACCGGTGACTTTGTCATCCATGTACATCATGAGGGCATTGCAATAGCATGCAGCTAGTTCCCCTGGGGTTTGATCAGCTGGTTTGCAAGAAAGCAGGCAGTTTAAGTATGCAATTAAAATTCCAGGGGGGGGGTCATTTTAATTTTTTATACAGCACCAAGTAACTAAAAAAAACAATGGCAGCGCTCGTGTTGCCATTATCCCCACTGGAATCAGAACAGCAAGTCTACTTTTTTCAAGGCAGTACATGCATGGAGCTATGGAGCTTGATAAAACTACACCGATCCAAGTTTTCATTTGCTTTGTGCACGCCCTCTTGAAGGGCCTCATTTCCGTTACATTAGAAGCATTTCCCTGATAGAGGGCAGCATTGACTGATCCTATAGGCATCCAAATTTGCTAGTTCAAGTTTTTATCAGGTTAAGGACATAGTCCATCATTTGTAATTTGTGCATTTTGTTCGTTTGAAGCAACAAAAGTGTTCAAAATCTAATGAAGGATACTGAACAACGATGAAGTTTCAGCTAAGCTTCAGCTGTATATTCCGAGAAAAACAGCATTCTAGGATCTCAATTTCAAATCAAAAGTTGCTAAATCATGTTTTGAATTGTTTTGATTGCAGCTTTACGCGATGTCGTGCACTGATCCGACGAATTATAGCAACCGCGCACGCCTGTGCGTCGTGCCAATGCTTGCGCGCGCTGCGCCGAATAACAAAACGAACTACTAATTTAAATTTTCCCACGGTGCTTCTTAAGACGCACCGTTGGAAATGCCTTCTTTCGTTGATTTCTTCAAAATGAGAACTTGCCAGAAAGGATAATTTCACAGGGAGTTTAGTCCCCTTACTATCTTTCAACCAGTATGTTTTTCAACAATAATTACGCCAGTTACTTTTTTGGATAGCTGCAAATGATGGACTATAGCTTTAAAAAGCATAGTTTGCAGTTCCCAGTTCAATGTTGATGTTGCACAGTAAACTGCAGGTTTACGATCGAACCAATCAATTTTCATTCACAACTTAGGCCACGTGTAACCTGGGCATGAACAATAACAACTTACTGCCATTGTGAAGTTGGTACATTCAGTCATGTTTAACGGGGTAGCATGCCAAAATCTACCCATGATATTTAGCACACACACTGTAAATGCAAGCATCTGTCTTGCACTATGTATTTCTCCACATCTCGCACCGTCTCTCTCACCCTATTTGTCGCGTCACTCCACTCAGTTATTGGTTTAGCTCATAAATAAAACCGATACAAAGAGAATATCCGCAACAAACACTGCTAGAAAGTCTCTGATTTTATAATACTCTGTACATGTAAGAAATTTACAAGTGAACCGAGAGCAGTCGGTGTCATTTAGGGTTGCCCCTCATCTTGGACGACCCGCCAACCTTTGACGTCGTGAGATTTGTTCTGACTACTTTCTTGTCCGTGGCGTTGCCGAGCGTGGGCGCCGCGGCCTCGCCGTTCTGTTTGCTGGATGGCGTGGGGGCGCCGTTCGTGGCGTTGATCTTGGGCATCTCGCCGTTGGCTTGTCGCGTCGTCGTCTTGTCATTCTCCGACTTTTTCCGTTTTTCTTCCTCCATGGCCTTGGCCATCTCTGAGTAGTAGTTGAGGGCCTTCCGTACTGGCTCAATTATGTGCTCCTACAAGCAAGAAAGAAAATCATCAGTTTCTACCTGTCTTAAGTGTCCATTTTCAATGCATATTTATTTTTCATACACTTTAGTAGGGCTGAGCTTTGAAACCGGGTACCCGACTACCCGACCGCTGATGTCAGGAACTGCTTCTAGATTATGGGATCAGGTACCTGTAATAACTTTACAAATTACTTAGTAACTTCTCAGACAATGTAAAAGAAAGAGACTGAATGACACTTGTGGAGAACTTTCAAAATGAAAACCAGGCTAGATAGAAAAACAAAACAGACATGTTTATGACACTTGTGAAAATGAAATTTACACCGTGAAGCTCACACATATTGAGCTCACTGTTCACACTTGTATCTTACTGTATTGATGTACCGATGTGGCAGTATTATCCTGCGGACCTTTATCAGGCATGCAACTAGAAATTTAGGGAAAAAACGAGGAAACTCCAAACCGCATAAGACTTTGTACAGTATTTTTCGATTTGTAATGGCATTCATGAGAAGTAAAAAACAAGGAAATCAGTGGGTCCGAGGAAAAGTTGCATGCTTGCTTTATGAACAATCTGTACAGCAACTTCCGAGACTTAAGTTTTGGGGTTACATTTCTTTTACAGGTACGCAGGTACCCGTGTTTTTCTTAGACAAAAAACATGGCCTGGAGAGCATAATTAATTTAATTTAATTAAGCCCTAATTAAAAATATGAAACATTTACCCCTTCTTCCTAAAAATGTGAATGGCTCAAAATGCATTACAGTCTTTATGCTATGGCTTTTTCAGTATGCATTGCGAAACGATTATTCTTGATTCAAACGAAAACGTTGCTAGAAAATCACCAGTAATTATTTTGAGCCATAAATTCACCAATTCAGCTCAGCTGGCGGTAGGCGACAATCCGTCAGGTCAATATTTCAAAAACAAGGCTAAGTGTTTTGAGGATGATCTAGTCCATTTGCAGCTAGGACCGGAATAATGTAATTTATTACTCACTTTAAGAAAAGGGAAGGCTCAGAAATGGCTGTCCAAAAATTTTTCTTTAACCAGTGCAGTTCTCTTAAATGTTTCTATTATTTCCATATAATTATTAAAAAGTTGTTCCAGTTCACTTGAATAGGTTGTGACTTGACTTGGGACTGGATGACATTTGACGGACTCGTGAGGACATGTGAGAACTCGTGAGGACTTGTGAGGACTCGTGAGGACTCGTGAGGACTTGTGAGGACTTGTGAGGACTCGTGAGGACTCGTGAGGACATGTGAGAACTCGTGAGGACTTGTGAGGACTTGTGAGGACTTGTGAGGACTTGTGAGGACTTGTGAGGACTCGTGAGGACTTGTGAGGACTTGTGAGGACATGTGAGGACTCGTGAGGACTCGTGAGGACATGTAACGGACTCGAATAAAACACCTGTCCCAGTTAATTTGAAAAGCTTCTGAATAAGCCTTTTCGGAGTTCCAACTGCGCGCATTCGTAACCTGTGACAATGCACATTGTTTGTCTCAAATGCCCTTTGACAGTACCCACAATGCATAAACAGCCTTTTTGTAAAGTCAGTGGCGCGATGATGTCAAAGGCCATTTGAGACAAACAATGCGCGTTGTCACAGGTTACGAATGCGCAGTTGGAACTCCGAAAAGGCTTATTAACTTGGGCTTTGGGAACTTGTGATGGACTTGTACACTTGTGAAAAATTGTGATGGGATTTGACAACACCAGACCTACCTCCAGCTTCGGGAGTAATACCCCGATGGCCTCGAAGAGCGGAAGCAGAACAAACCGGATGAAACCAGTCTGTGAGGAGGGCTTGGTGACCTTCTCCCGGTCCATGAAGGGTGCCACCGGTAACCCTTCCAGCTTCTCAACGTCGCTCTGTGGTGATACACGGGAGAAAAATGACACAGAAGCTTGAATTACGCTTTGCATGATGTGTCATATACCAAAGTACCTGTACTACATCGTCTTACTTCACTGATGGATTAAAACCAATGATTGCTCTAGTGTTTTCGGACATTACAGGGAGGACCAGGTAGGGTGATTTGGGGTGTTGGGACTAAAGGGTTAACAAGTGGCAAGGGGTCGCGATGGAAGTTTAGGGCCAATAATGAAATACACCATGACAAGCAGATTCCAATGTGCCACATCAAAGAGCAATTATCAAATCAATAATCAGGAGCACAAATATGTTCATTTAAACCTTTGTTCTTGGAAGTCTTTAATTTTGGTGTTATACATCTTCAAGTGCAATTGTTTCAAATATTTAACATGACAATTATATCAAAACTCAGGGCATTAGTTAAAATTATTGAAGATAGTTGAATGGTGGGAGTCTCTAGCACCCTCTATGTCAAAACCTGGTTCAATCCACGACTGGAGAAAATTTGAAAGTTTTTCTTGAATTTAATTAACATCACGATTTCTGTGACAAATATATTCTTAATCAAAATTCTCACATTCCTTTCTCCAGTAAGAGTGGAAGAAAGTGTTAAGACGTCTTTCTATATGCACGTTTTTTAATCCGTTTTAATGTTTGCGTTTCATTTTAAAAATCAATCTCATAATGCAGCACACATATTTTCTGATATGGACGCATACGTTGCATGTCCGTTTCGATCGTCCATCAGAATTGCTCCATGGAGCGATTTCAACAGATATAAAGCAACGCCCATGCAACGGAAGCGTAACGGATAAAAATATGCGCATATAGAAAGGCGGCTTTAGTTGAGCTCTCCGAAGTGTAGCGTCTGTGAGCCACAAGTTGAGGAAATCAAGAACACACCCCTCCAAAAATCTGAAAGGACTAGTTTTGGTACCTGGTTGAAGAACTCTTGTAGTAGGCAGTCTATCCATGGATCTGAGACATCCATCGGTCTGGCCTCATTGGAGATGTCAGCTACCTTGATACAGATCTGCATCAACTACAAGGAGAATAAAATAGAAACAAAGATTTTAGTGTTAGGGTTAAAGAAAGTTTAGGATTCCCAATTGAAATGGCTAAACTTTGCTAAGAATTGGAACTCTGTGACCCAAATTCATTCAATGATACAGAAAAAGGTTAAAAAAAGAGATAAATTGGACAGGTTATCTTGGAAGAATCATTTATAATCCAAAGCAAAACAAACAAAAAACAAAATCAAAAAAATCTATTTTGGCTACCGAAATTTTGGCAAAACGAAACATTTTTTTCGTTCTAAAGTTTCGAAAAATCATTGAAACAGGGTTCGACTTTAGCGGTAGCCCGCTAGCTAAATGCTTGTCAAAACAGCAGCGGGCTAGTCAAACTATTCTTTAAATAGCCCGGCTGGCAATCAAAAATTATTGGGCTATGGGAAAGATGAAATGACAGGAAGAAATACATCATTATATTCAGGAAGCAAACCTGTATCAATTTCTGTCCAATTTTTTTTTTATTTGGTTGTGGATTATTATTATTATTATTCTGGTTTATTAAAAAATTAATTGCACCAACAGAAAAATAAAAGCTCAGTGATTACCGTGTTGAGGTGGTCTTTGCTGGAGTAGTCAAACTCCGGCACGATGGCCTTGAACTTATTGAGGATCTCACTGTGTTTGGCCATGTCTGTTGCTAGGATACAGCTGATCATACCCTCGCGTACCCGTTTATATCTCTCGTGACCCATGTTCTTGAAGATGTTGCAGTGAGGCTGTGAGAAAGACACCAGAAAATTAGGATAAACTTGCGTGATGTTGTACATGTGTGGGCTCAACGAACAAGTACCCCCTCAACGGTACGAAAGGGAGAGTTGGGGGAGACCACTGGGAGGGACATTTGAACGCATTGCCAACGACGCTTGACACGCAAAGACGCTATGGCTTTGAGCACATACAGAATAGAATTAGTCATCCATATACAAGTACTTCGCGCTATATGCGCACGAACCAGTCTGCGCACGCAGTTTTTCTCCGGGTACTCCAGAAAAATTAACACTTTTGATCTGGCTGTGCTCTGTGGTAAGACATAGCGACTGCCTGAGGCGCCTTTATATGCCTTTAGCTCGACCATGTTGTAGCTGCATCCTCCCCAATTCACCTTCTGCTGTGAGTGAGGATGTTTAGGCCAAAAAAAAAAGTCTCCGGTTTCTGGTATGCGCGCGCGTCGCCGTAGCCATGCGCGTCGGCAAAATGAAAAAGTTTTTTTCCCAATAAAAGATGATGTCTCAAAACCGCCAAACTCACTGGTTTGACTGGAATCCTGCTGCTGCACAATTTTAACGTGTTTTTAGATGGGGTTATGATCGAGAATAAGCTTTATGTGGCCTCTCTGGACTCGCATATATTTGCACTAAGTTTAGTCGGGCACCATTTGCAGTCATCAGCCGACATTTGAAGCAAAAAAGCCGCGTCGCCACACCACTTTTTGGGCAAGCTCGATACCAGAAACCGGAGACTTTTTTTTTTTGGCCTTAGGCCCCTCCCCAAATTTTTATTAATTGAACTAAAGATTATCCCAAGAAAATTCTCTTGATCCTGCCACCAATAAGGTCTTGGACCATTTCTGCCCAGGGAAGGTGAAAATAAATCCAAAGAAACAGAAAGAAAATGAATGGACACTAGATCTCCAAACTTGGATTACTCACCTTTTCCAAAATTTGAAAGGCTACAGAACAGTGGTGGTTTTCAAGGGGAGAGATGTCGTTATACCTGAGTGCTAGCTCTGTTCTTGCATTCACCTGGATGGAAAAATGGAAAGATTTCTGTTAACGACAGAAGAAAAACTCAACAAAATAATTTTTTGAAATGGCACAAGCACTTTTGGACAAGTTTTGTGCAATTACGTCCAAAGCTGAATGCTTATTTTAAAAGTGGACTGGTGTCCTCTTATTGGTCAGTTTGAGAAAACAACCAAGACAACAGCTTTACCCGAAAAAATACTGTGTCTTCACTGTCGTTTTAATTTAAGCAAATCTTAGTGATCTGTGGGGTGATGGCTGCAACAGTCTGATTTTTAAAGAAACTGGGGTTGAAAGCATCAGCTTCTTGTCAGAATTTCCTACCTCCTAACAAATTGAGAGACATTTATGTTGTTGAAGGCACTGAACTACGGGCGTAGGAATGATCCCTGCCAAAAAGCAAAACTCAATTTTGAACTTTAAGTTACCAAACGCAAACAACAGATTTAAAGTAAGGGATTTAAGGTACATGCTTGCTGGTCAGGGCCAATAACTGATGCACCTGTGATGCCATGTGACAAGCTGTGATTGACTTTCTGATTGACTTGTGATAACTTGTGATGACTTGTGACAATTGACTTGCGATAATTTCTGATGTCTCTTGATTGACTGGTAACGACTGGTGATGACTTGTGACGACTGGTGATGGACGTGTGATGACTTGTGACAACATCTGATTGACTTGTGATAACTTGTGATAACTTGTGATGATTTGTGATGACTTCTGATAACTTCTGGTTACTTCTTAAAACTGACTGACTTATGATGCCTTGTGATAACTTCCGATTGATTTGTGATGACTTGTGATGACTTCTGATTGGCTTTTTATTGACTTGTGATTAACTTGGAAAAAACTTGCTATTACGTAGGGCAACTTGTGAGGACTTGTAATGACTTGTGATTGATTGGACTACAAACTCTTCTTACCTGATAAGCGTTATTGTATCCTGGGTGGTCGAGATCATGGCAGATTGCCGACGTCAGCATGATAAGCACCTCCAGCTCTCCTATTAAATGACGCAGGTCTGCTAGCCAGGTCATGCCGTACATCTACATCAGAGACAAGAGAAAAACATACGGAAATTGGGTGAAGATTCCGATGGATATACCATTATTATTTAGCAATTGCCGAAAGCCTTTTGATTTTATATCAAGTTGGGAGTGAATTCGTAGTGTTTATATAGAAAACACTGATCATTTTTTGCATTGTTGTTGGTGCTGGTCCCAGAGTGCCACCCTAAAGTTTTCTTTGTACCTATCCGACCGACTGACTGCCTGTCACTTATGAGTCGGGCAGTGTCATTGTATAGGATTACCCCATAATGCCAAAATACCAGCCCATTGTGTAGACCATCAGCATGAAATTCTGAATCAATTCAACAGACTTTTGTGTGTCCTGGGACCGGCTTTACCCCTAGGCCTGCCTGTCTAGTTGTGACTTCGGTCTAGTTCTATCAGACCTTCCATATTCATGAACTCTGCTTTTTTCAATTTACGAAGTCCATCAAGGTTGACACAAAATCAACCAAAGTCTCTCCTTCTCCGAAAATGAGGTTTCGCCACCGTGGCAAAACATCCCAAAGACCGGAGACTTGAGCCGGTAGCAATCTAATCCGTGCCAATCTTCAAACATTGGGATATTTAACACCTCTTAGGCAAACAGGCCTGGCATATAATCAATTCTTACACGCTTCATATGCCCCCTAGACTCTTGTGGGTCCCATTTCCGTAATTACTTGGTGACACCGACGGCAAAGTTTAGAGGGGCGCTGCAGAACTAGAAACAGGTCTCAATTTCGTGCTCATGACTCCTATACTCTACTTATCTTAGCCCAATAACTCTGTGCTTTCCACAGAATCCACGCTTACAGTTGGACACAAGCCAAAAATATCTCGCTAACTCTGAAACAAGCTAACCGCTATTGTAAAGATTTCTGTTTCAGTATGCAAAGATTCTTCACTGCCTGAAACTGGGCACGGTGCTTCTCTTTTTATTTTTCCACTACTGCTGAGTCTTTGTGTTCTTCTTCAATAACAATATCCCTTTGAACCACTTTTTGTTTCAGGTCAATGAAGCCATTTGCAGTCTTTTGCTAAGTACTACAAAATATAAGTAGGGAAAGAGAAAATGGCGCCAGGCAATTTCCAGCATAATGAAAGGCAGTGTAATGTCCATGACAAAGCCAATTTACCACGATATCTAATGAATGATTCAGAGAAATGATCCAAATTTCCTCGCCTGTAATCTCCTTGACTATTACTAGATGATGGATGTATAGATTTGAAAAATAAAATTTCAGGCTTATTCACTGAGGTCTTAACCCTAAAAAGAATGGGGGGGGAGCCTCAACTTTTTTCACGATAGCCTTGAAAAAAAATTGTTTCGCGACCCGAGCTGTTATGACTTATTAGCTTCAAGCCTTGCACATCTTTTGATACCAAAAACATAACAATCGGACCACGGGTTGCTATGCAGTGAAAATTTTCCAGCTCTACGTGCCACGAAAACTTTTCCCATATACGTCGTGTACACAGAACAGAGTTACCATTCCTACATATGAATAATTAATTAGCCATAATTCCAAAACCCTTTGACCTATAGTCATGAAATTTCTTGGGTATGTTTATGATGAGTTGTTCTATGCATGTACCAAGTTTCACAATTTTTTGCCACTTGATGGCCGAGATCTTAGGGGATGCTCCCCAGCTGAGAGATGGTCAAAATAACCTGGCCCTTTTAGGGTTAAAAGCTCAGCCATGGACATTACACAATGTTGGAATTGCCCTGCTGTAGGATTTTACCAAACTCGCTTTTCAACTTTTTACTGTCCATGCTGCCCCACTTTTTTAACCCTCTGCAGTACAATCAGGCATTTAAAATGACGTCTTCCACCCTAAATAAAGACCACTCATCAATAAAACATGAACTGCAATGACGTCTTCTCCGCCAAACAACTGCAAAAGATTCTTCATCAATAATTATGAGCTGGAATGACAAAAAGCAAGGGCAAAAAAGAGAGCTGAACTTTCTGTCGACTTTGATCAAGTCTCAGTGGAGATACAAAGCGGCTTTGCCGGCTGTCCATCAAAATTGACTTCTGGCATTTTAAATGCCACCCCCCCCCCCAAAAAAAGAGAGGAATTGATACAAACTGCGATAAATAACGCCACAGGTGCTTCGTTTTCAATGGTTAGCAATTCCCTACGTACTGAACCTCTCACCCACTTTACTGAGACTGAGACTGAAACCTAGATGAGATACCTGAACATGAAGAGTTTATTTTCAAAACGCGATTAACGCCATTTTGTTCTCTTTAGAATCCGATCTCTCCTGGCTGCCCAAAGCTAGTTTCGGCAAGTTTTTTTTATGGTTAAAGACACTTTTTTAAAGAAGACAATAAAGTAAAAAAAAAATGAAGTGCAAATACACCTGTTATATTGTTTTATTCTTAAAACTTTGATAACCTTGCAAATTTCCAACTTTTTTTTCAAATGGATATTTTAGATTTTGAAAAGAAACTTTTTGCACGTAACTCAACGCAATATTTTCAGTACATGAATTTTGTGGAATTCACTGACGAAACAGGCGGAACAACCCAATTCAATTGTTAACTTACTTGCCACTAAAAATTAAGCACTTCTTTCAAAATTCAACCTTTTGACAACTCATTACAGGTAGATTTTGTATCGTAGTAGTTACAGTAGACTGGTAATCGATTGATTTTTGGTGAGCGCAAACAGTTTGCTTTTAGCCTTATGTTCATCTTTGCTGCTTCATGTGACTCAAACTGAGCTTAATCAAACTTAGTCTATGTAATAGACCATGGCGAAAGCCATGCATGGTCTATTACGCGTGAACAGATTTGCTGATTAATTAGGCAAGACCCTGCCTCTTGACCTCCTAGATATCGACCTGTCAGCAGGCGCTTTCTATATCAGGTCTTCGGTCATTCACCCGTTGCGCGTCATAGACATGGAAACAAAACTGTGTCACAGAGCTCTGTATCATGTTACGCGAATGAGCGCCTGGCTGTTGTTGTATTACAAAACACTGCATTCGAATTGACCAATCACAGTTTTAGTCCTGATTTTGGGATGAAATGACGTCACGATTTAGTAAAGTCGACTCCGATTGGCTGGCACACGGCTTGCATAAATTTGCATGTCTGGAGATATCAGACATTATACAGGATTTGGCTCTGTGGATAACGGGTGATACTCAGATTAAATCAAACTCTGGCAAACTTCAAAAAAAGTTACTGCAACAACTGTTTGTAGTAAAGACTTTTGTTAGATATTTGTTTTGCATCTTAAAGATTTGTGAAAGAATACTTTTATAAACAGCACTGCAGGATAAAAATCCAGTCCTGTTGCAAATATGGATCCCACCAATGACTTGGTTCTGAGCAGATTACTTTGATTACAGAGCAAAAAAAATAATAATAAAGATCAACAACTACTGTAGCTGCCTTCATTTGAAGTAATCAACACCTAAAAATTATCCCATTTTCCCGCAACAGTTCTTACAAGCACATAAGTTGGGTACATGGAACCATTTTTTCCCCATATAAGCTAGGATATTGAACCTCAAAGAAGCACAAGTCTTCTAACGACTTAGAAGGGGCAAGGACATTTCAATGTTGAAGTCTCAATCAGTTGTAAATTATGTGCGGTGGCTTAGCCAGCTACGAGTCCTATCCGCACCAAATTCCCAACATGACTTATTTACAAGTAATTTCCGACTGTATGATGTCCCTCTGGGCAGTTGATACATCATGCAACAGGCTTCGGATTGAGGGGAACAGGGGGGAAAAATGTTCAGTTTTTCTTAAGATGGAAACCGAAAATGATGATCATGGAAGGCTAGACGAAAGATGGTTATGGTGAGGCAAGGAGAGATAGATTAATGCATGAAGTGGTTATGGAGTCTTAAGCATGAGCACGGTACCAAATATGCACATCTCTAGCTCAAGTACAGCTAAACAAAATATAAAAAAAAACAGCAGCAGAAATTTCTTTCAATTTTCATTCGCAAGATGAGGTATTTCTTTGGCTATCTAAGGTAAAAGTTTGTTTTGATATAAAAATGCCACAAATGTTGTTGTTTCACATTGAAAGAATAGCAAAATAATCTTCTTCAAAAACTGAATCAATTATACATTTGATTTGAAGAAGACATTTTTACGTCGGATACCTTTTTCTCTCCAGTATTTTATGATTCTGTCATTTTAACCCAACAGATATTTTTTTTTTAGCAGAGCACGGATATACCAGCTTTTAGACTTCAAAACTGATTTCTTCTTTTTGGCAAAGGCTTGGATTGGACAGAACCGGAATCACTAAGCACTCAGAAACTTGGGACTTGAACTCCCATGTGGTGTTTTGCAGGACTTCAGTCACCTTTGAAAAAGTCATTCAAGGTTAAAAGAATTAGTGAAAAAGATGTAGAAAAAAATACTCCCACATATCAACCAAAAAACAAAACAACTGCTCCAGTAAAGCAAGCCCATCAAAAAATGTCAAAAAAAGAAGAAAAATCGGGAAAGACATGGAGATTCCTGAAACCGGATACCTGGTCTTTAAGACCCCAAGATTTACTCGCAGCTCATCAATAATTCTAGACTACTGGAAGACGGAAAAACAAGATGCCTGCAAAACATCGGCAGGTCCACGGTGTAACCCTAGAAGCTGATTACAATCTGGGCACGTCCCAAGTGGACGGAATAAACGCCAGCGCTGAACGGCCAAACACGCGAGCTGTAAAGCTATCCAACTGTAATATTTTTGGACAGACTAAAGGTGAACCATCACCTGGAGTTTCACATCTCGGCGTGGATGTAGGGTTGTTGATTTGTTGATACGAATCAACACGTGTGGGACTTCGTGAGAGACGAGACAAGATTCTGAAATCTTAGGATGACAGTCATCAGAAATCTTCAAAATCTTCAGCCTTTTTTCCTTCCGCTCCCTCACCTGGGGGACATTTTTTTTTTTTTTTTTTCAACTGAGCTTGTGCTTTAAGGTAATATACAACATTTGCAAACATCCAA